TGTTCTCAACTTCTCCAATGCTTCATTCAGCTCTACCTATCTTTACTATCCACTCATCATATAAATCAGAGTGCTTAAATCCAATTTATTGAAACCAAATTTTTAAGACATTTGGGAAAATATCCGTCGCTGAAAAAACATGTTTGTTCTTTTCTGCTAGCCTTGTTGTTTGGTCCGCAAGTGATTTTCAAAGCCTCACGACCTCTCCCCAAATTACCCAAAAATGTCTACCAGGGCAAGCACCCCATAACTGTCTACCAGGGCAAGCACCCCATAAATTTGTGCTGCAAGGGTTATACCCTGTATGTATGTAGGAGAGAAGAAGAAGTCAGGTGGTCACTGTCACATGACTGTTTCTCTCTGCGGCTGCAATGGTTCCACTGTGGAATGGCCACTGCCTATATACCCCGTGTAAACGAAATTGTTGTCCTCTTGTGAACGAGATAGTAGGCCAGCTCCTGTGAACGCGTTTTCAAGCGAGTTTTGCCTTCGAATATCATTCAGAGTGACTTCAAACTGATTGCAACTGTTTGGTAGGCCGTTTGCTTTAAATAATCAACCTTTTGAGATAGAATTAAAGAGAGCATTAATTTCAAAATCAAAGGTGTCAGATGTACAGTGACAGAAAAAAAGTGGATTCCAAATTGATAGCATGAGCCATCAACATCTCTTCCAACCCAACCGTGCACAGGACGTGCAAAATCACCCCATGATCTTATCTGTCCTCTGGTTAACTAGACCAGCGCCTGCGTAGTTCAAGTAAAACGTGTCGTAGAATTATATTAGTGGTCAGGCCAAACTTCATTTGACGTGATGGGGGTGGGGCTGGGGGAAATCAAATTACGAACCCATCTAGCTGAGACTTTATCAAATATTGGTGTCAATGACGAGAAATTAAAAGCTCCTTGAAGCTCAGGATTGAGTTACGCGAGGATAAAAATAGGAAAACGGAAACGTGTTGCAGTTGCAGTCCACGAAAACCACATACGTATTCAGTAAATCACCATTCATGCTTATAATAGAGAATCGTTCAAATGCCTGTGCAGTCACACGTATACGATCACAAATACACGATAGTCGGGCTAAACGTCTGAAACAAAATCTGTCTCACACAAATGATTGATAGACAAGTTAGGGGTAAAACAAAAAAGAAAATTGACTTTGCACCGGATGAGTTTGCATCGAGAGATTGAAGTGAATCGCTAGTTTTACCACTGCACAGACTTTCGGTTTTATTGATTCATTAGGAAAAAAGGTGTGAATGGAAATGAAAAATGGCGTCCCTTAAAACTGTTATCAGTTTATGTGGTATTTTTGCAGTTAACCTTGATTTACGAATGATAACATCATTTATTTATGTATTACTCGCCAAACTGGTAATTACGTAATTAATCCTGGAAACAATTTCAAGCATTTTTAGCATTATCTCAAGTACTTCACGTTAAAATCACAGCAAATAAAGATATTTCCCCTAAAGTAGGTATAGCGCCCTCTGGTCTAAGTTAGGGTTGCCAAAGGTTGTTTGAATACATGTACATTATTACCCGTTGATTTTTTTTATCCAATTTTAAAATCCTTTTAATGAAAAAGGAGAAATTATTCAAAAAGAAGTGTTTCATTTTTTTTTAAACATTTTTTTTGTTGCTGAATTTTAGGAAATGGCCGTGTAGGCCTATATCAGGGAACAATACTAGGGTATTAAGGACCAACGGAGCAATAGTCCCCCTTGGGTGTGAGAGGACCCCAAATACCCCGTTCTAAGTTACATGTTACTCCCAAAATTAGAGGCCAGTCTCTGGATGCCTGCCTGGAGTGTATACTATATTGTAGCTAGTCGGCGCTGTTCTCCACTTCTGTAATGCTTCATTCAGCTCCACTTGTCTTTTTGGCCACTCGTCCAAATCTTTTTAAAATTTGGGAAACTGATCAGTCGCTGCAAAAAGACAATCGCTGGTTCTTTTCTGCTAGCTTTGTTGTTTGGTCCACAAGTGATATTCATAGCCTCGTGCCCCCTCTCCAAATTACCCATCAATGTCTACAAGTGTATGTATAGGAGAGAAGGAGAAGTCAGGTGGTCACATGACTGTTTCTCTCACGGCCGCAATTGTTCCAGTGCGGAATGACAAAATACCTTGAGTAAATATATTGTTGCCCTCTTGTGAACGATATATACCTCCTGAGCGATTTTCACCCCATGTAAGCGAGATTCACCTCGTGTGAACGAAATAATTATTACCTCCTGTGAATGAGATAACCTCCTGTGAAAAAAGACCACATTTACAAGGACGCCATTTTCGATCGTGTTCCCCGAATCTATTTTATAAATTGTATATTGTTGAATGGGATGCTGCCAGACTATTTTATGATTGCAGTGCGTTCCAAGCCCTACTTTCAATTTGTTTTAAACGTGGCTTAAAACGTTACGGTTTGTTTAAAATTATGGTATATGTTTAAACACAAAATGGCATTATTCATCAGAGCAGACTGGTATTAATTTGTAAGGAACTTTTATTTTATTGCTTTCATTTCTATTCGCAAGTTCTAGAAACGACGAGTTTACCTAGCTTTTAATTTATTATGGCCGACTCGTGCAGTGTAGTACTTCGTATGAATGAGATCGCGTGGAAACCCTTTTTTTCTCTCCCAATATTCCTAATTTCTTTCACAGTTTGGGAAAACAGCGGCGGTGGAACGGTTTTTAAACCGGGATGATCACCAAAAAGGAGCACCTATTAAAAAAAAGGGCATCTTCCGTTGCGACGGTGCAGCAGCGTATCCATATTTTCTTCGGGTTGCACACCCGTGCTGAAATGTCCACACGTTTTTTTTCCCACCGGACACTTGGCCTCCGTAAAATCAAATGGGGGGGGGGGGGGGGGGGATGGGTTTGGGGCTTGGTTTTCATATTCCTCGTTCATATCAGAACTCTATACCATTTTGGAAATATGTTACTGAAAACAAAGTAGCCGAAACTTTAGGGCCAGTTCTGTTTTTATCCCGAGGGGGCACATACGGGGGCACATTATTGTCCGCAAGAGGGGCACTTGGGTAAATCTGGGGGTTAAGTGCCCCCCTGCCTCCCCCCCCCCCCCGGTTCCGCCGCCCCGGTGAGAAAATATTCAGAGAGAAGCCGCTAAAAAAGTTGTGTTATTTTGAAAGCTTCTTTTGTCTGAAATATTTTCTGTTGGCAAACCACACGCTCATTGTGGAATCATTAAAATTGCCGTTCATTCTTTTTCTTTGTTTCATTTTAATGTGACAACTTTTACTGATAATTAAAGGTATATACAGGATCATTTACGAAAAAAAATAAAAATGAGACTGCCAAATATTATCAATTAAATATTATGTTTGATCGTAAGTAAATAATAAGATTTAACATACCTTGAAATCGTTGCGCGTAGTATACTGTCAGTTTAAGGAACGGAGGAATTTTCATTTCTTGGCGACGCTGCTGTCGATGCTTTACCTTGAGAAATATTGTGCAATTGTATTATCGCAGTATCCTCAAAAAGTGTTATATCTATAAGAGGGAAAATATCTTCAACAGGGAAATTTTTAACACTGTTTTTGACATTTTGAGTGGTGTTATTATTGGAAACGAACAAAAATGCATGAACAGCAAAATGATTCTTAGTCTTTAAAACTGTGCGGGAAAAAATGCAAGCGTGTTCTGCAGTCTTATTATTATTAAAATTGATGAATTATTCTTCACGATGAAATATAGCTACGGACCTGCTCATTATATCTTTGCTCTACCATACTTTAAACAACAACGATCGGCTGCAGCCGGCTGGTTTGTTCGCTTTACGGTCTGCTTCAGAAACAAGGCTGTTTATATTGCCCTTGTTGGTATGTTGTCATGGTAACTGTTTATCGTTCCCAGTCATGCGAAAGTTTGGATCAATAAATACTGGACAGAAATTAAAATGGGCGAATGCCATCATAATTTTTTTTTTAAATATTTTGTCATGAGAGAGTGCGCGTTGCGTGAAGACGTGCATAACCATGGCATATAGACCTTTATCATGCTGCCACCCTTTCAGTCATGTTCCCTGTATAACAGTACTGAATGATAATTTTTTGGGCGAAAAGGAACCAGACTATTTTTCCTTCAGCCTCGCTTTGGTTACATTGATTTGAATAGGAAAAAAATAAAATGGCTGCAACATGATAATGGTTTATTATGGGCAAACAAATGAAACTACTTACGTGTAACAAAATCATGTGGTTTAATTTGACAATCTCCACGGATATCTTTCGGAGAACAATGAGCATATCATTACCAAATATATTAATAACAGACTAGAGTCACAGAAATGCAAAAATACAATATGTAACAAAAAACAACAACTAAAAGCAGCTTATTTCCATTGTGCGTTCAAAAGTACATTGGTTTCGATACATGGAATTAATACATAGATGAAATTAACTTAAACTATCACAGAAATAAATTGTTATAAAATTTTAAGTTATACAGTTTTTTTGAACTTGTGAAGAGAAATGAAAGCAAGTTAATGTCTAATAATATCCGGTCTTTTTCATTGATCAATTTCAAATTTGTAATTAAACATTCCCTGATGTTTAAATCCAGAGTTTAAAAATGACGGTAAAATAAGGCTGCATTGTGATGTGCCTACATAAAATTAATAGTCTAGCGCCATCCCATTCAACAGTTAACAATTAATGAAATACATTCAGGGAACTCGACAAAACTGGCCAACTCGTGAATAAGGCCCATACTTTTGAAATCGCCCATCTGGCTTCCAACAGACGACGCCTAGAAACGCCAATGAGGGCGCTGTTCCCACAGCCACCCAAGGACAAGCTGGACTATACTATACATATCTATTACAACTCTCTGATTGGACTACACCTGTCATCTGGAGAAGATAATTTCCTTGGCGATGATTCAAAATTCTTTGGCGATTATTAAATTAAGTAGGTTTCACCTTCAGCTAATAATTTTGTTTTTAAGGACACTTGATGTTATTTAACAGATGACTTGTGGGTTTATAAAAGGCCCCTACTTTGTGCGTTGAGCACAATTTTGCGTCGCAGTCAAAAAGAGGGTCATTTTTTTTATGAGTTCGCAGAAGAATGTGGCGTGTGACTACCGCGGCATGTGTGGTATGTGCAGTCTTCGTGCTTAGCATTTCACAGCTCGTGGCTGCAGTGGTTGTGCCGATTTCTGTAATTGTAGGCGGGAATACTTCATGTTCTTTAGTATCAGGGAAGCGGATTATCCCCGCTGTGGAAGTAGCGTTGGAGACGATATCCCACCGCATCGTCAATGACAAGTACGCCAATTTCTCCCTGACGTGTGTATTTTCCTATCTGGGATGTTCAGAGCCCTTACGAGCCGATGTGGCAGCGGTGTCGGCGCTGTACCACAAGGGGGAGGTGGCAGCTTTCCTCGGCCCGCCTTGCCTCGACGCCCTGGTGGCGGCCGCGGACTTGTCCGCTGCCTGGAATCTCCCCCTGTTGTCCCCCAGCGCTAACTCAGACGTGCTACATGACAAGGAGAGATTCCGGACACTCACGCAGGTGGCTTACCAGACGAGTACCCTCCAGGACTTTGTGGTGACACTGTTTGAGAGATTCCAGTGGAAAACCACTGTGATCATCTTCGATTTGGCTCAAAGGGATTTGGCGCTTACCATCGCTCACGCTCTACATGCCCGGCATGTGGAAGCTCATGCCCATTTGCTTGCCTCTGAGAGCTCAGTCGGCATACAAAACATGCTCGAAGAAGAATCTACTGTTTCGAGAAGTAAGACCTAATGCCTTTCTTCATCGATGTCGAAAATTTAAGTTCCAACATTTTATCTTTTTTGTCTTTGTAACATGTATTTTTCTTTTTTTCCCCATTCAGTTATAGGTTGAACAAAGAAATTCCTTGATGAAAAATGAACCTCGGCATGCTGTCATTTTTCTTATAATACAAAACTGTGATGAGACATACTGTTTCTGTCAATGGTGAATAAGCCCCTCTTGGCCTCTTCCCAATTTTGAGATCATACTTTAGGCCACCCTTAGCCCTTTATGGGTGAAGAGGCATGTTGATGACTCCCGATTGACAAAATAGGGATGACTGTCTTTTGAGGCACAATCGGATCAAGACCAGTGAGTTGTCCATACGCTATAAGGTAAACATGTTAATGTTTAATCATGTAAAAAAAATCCTAAAATTGCAAGTGTTAGTTGTAAAACCGGACGAGATAAGCCATAAAGGCCAGAAGGCAAGTAACAAGCAACAAGCAAGCATGTTTACCAGCCAGGCAGCCAGCCATCCAGGGAACCAATTATTTGTATCAGCAAGCGTCTAACTTGGTAAACATGCAGTCGAGCAGGTAGGCTAGGTAGCCAGCTGGCCACAGTTGCCTGCCAGCAAGACAACTATAACAATTTGTTAAGCAAGTCTGCCAGCCAGCCACACAAAAAGCCAGTCGGCAAGCCAATGAGCGGGCTAGAGACAGCCCACAAACGGGTCAGCAAGCTAGCCGCAGCCAGCCAACAGCCACATCAAGCCAGCAAACCACCTTAGTGAGCAAACTATTTGCCAAGCCAGCAAGCCAGACAACCGGCCAGCCAGCCAGCCAGCCAGCAACCCACCGGTCCACCAGCGCAGCCAGCCGGCCTTCTATTAAGGAAATGAAACAGATTCCAAAATAGTTTGTACCCATTTTTAATTCCCATTTTCGGTTTTCCTTTCCCCCAGTAATTTTCATCAGTGCTGACGGTAATCTGGTTCGTAAGATCATGATCAGCGCATATCACCTAGGCATGGTCTCCGGCGACTATGTATTCTTCAGCTACCACCCATTCAACAACACCAAATCCTTTGGGCGTGACTCGTGGAATCAGGTAAGAGGGCGTGACTTCGTGTGACTCCGCCCCCAATATTAAGATAAGCCATCACTGTTTCAAAGGTTTCCTAAATTTCTGATGTTTCCCAAACTTTACGTATCCCATTGCTTTTTTCAACGGCATCACTATTGGAACACAGCGTGGTGCAAAAATGGCGTCAGAAATAGATGGCGGGGGCGGGGCGGGGCGGGGCGGCATGGAGCACGCTCCAATCTCTGCTCGAGACCTGAGCTCCCCCTCCCATACGCCACGCCCCTTCTCAGTGCCTATTCTAAATAGACGGAGCCCCATGTGCCTCCCTTCATACTGGGCCCCAGTTACAGCACTGGGTGTAATTGCAAAACGAAGACTTTATAATTAGGTTGCTTAAGTTTTGCGGAAGAACCCCTTCGAATAGGCTTCTTCTTCTTAGCGTGTCCACAAACATCAAATGTACTTCAGCCATTGTTGGCCGCATTTTTGGGCTATATCATTGTAGACTGCAAGGTCGTCTGCTGTGCACACTTGCTCCAGAACAGGACATTAGAGGAGATGCTGCATGGTCTGGGGTGCAGTTCTACAATCGCAGATTATACATCTCCGGCAATATCCAGATATCCCCATTTCTGTAGGCTCACTTTCGAATAGGCTGAGGACTGTCAACGCCTAAGGGTTATTCTGTAACTTTAGGGTCCAGAGTGTCATTTTGCCTGTCCCTGTTACCTCTGAACTTTGCAATTTGCCTTTCAAATATTATTCAGAATGACTTGGAACTAATTGCATTTGTTTGGTAGGTCGTTTGCTTCACATAATCAATCTTTGAGGAAAAATTAAGGAGTGCATCTAGAATTGCAAAATCGTAGATGTCAGGTATAACAGGGACAGAAAAAAGTGGATTCCAAATTGAAAGCATGAGCCATCACATATCTCAACTCAACCGTGCACAGGCCGTGCATGATCACTCCTTCGATCTTATCAGTTTCCTCTTCAAAAAAACAATAGGCCAGCGCCGGTGTAAACGTGTCACGAAATAATGTTGAATGTAGAGGTCAGGATATACTTCCCATTGACTGAAAGGACGTGATTTGGGTATCTAATTCCGATCTCCTCTAGGTGAGAGTTTATCAAATGTCGGTGTCAATGAAGAGAAACTGAAATGTTCCTGGAGAAATTGAGTTACTCGAGAACAGATAGGGAAATGGATTGTGTTACGGTTGCAGTCCACGAAAAAACCGCATAAATACGCTAAATCAAAAGTCGTGCTTTTTATAGAGAATTGTTCAAATGCCTGCACAGCCACTGTATGCCTATGTACGATAAGGAGTCGGGCTAAACATGTGAAACAAAATTTGTGTCCCAAATTTGATAGACAAGTTTTAGGGCATCGGACCGACCATAAACCTGAACCACTCAAAACAGACACAAAATGGACTCTAGGCAGTGGGATAAATCTGTGCCGGAGACTGGGGGATGACTAAAAAAACAAAAACAAAAAACAAAAATGCCAGGCCGTGGAAATGGGAAGGGGGGGGGGCCTTGCTGGACACCACATGACACTAGGGAAGCTGTTCGTGATACAGATGTACATCGTATGTATATACTTACGCCCCTTAAACCTTGCATCAAAACGGCACATTTAAAGCTGTTGTACTTTTTTCTCCCTTTTTCAGTACTAGTGAATGCATCGCGGTTTTGGGGAAGTTCGTAGATTACCACAAATCCGCCTTTGCGTTGACAACATGGTGATCGTTTTAACAATTAGATTCCAATTCATCGCCAATTTTCAAGTCAATAATCTAGCCTAAAATGGCAGCCTTTTTGGCTGACTTTTCAGTTGAACCAAGTTTACCATTATTGTCGTCGAATTGTTGTGTGTGGAAGATCCTGGTGTACGGTACATATGAGAAATCTTTTCTCAATAAAATTCTACAGAATTGTCCCTCCCTTTTTGGCCTTTTAGTATTGAATACAATTCCAGGTCACTCTATCGTTGCAATTAAGCAGTTGGAAGCAAGCCAGTATTTCAATTTCTCTTGCTGGGATTGAATTTGGAGCAATGGGGAGATATAATTACAAACCACTGGTACTCGGAAGCAAAACTAAGCTTTCAAGTGTGACGTCATTCAATTGGCAAGCTGCCAAATAAAATCCCTCAGTCGGCTTTAAGCAAAATATTTAAGCCCATCGAGTTTTGATACAAAAATTGGAGATAAAAGGCCTACTTTACATCCAATGTCTTTTAAAACCAAATAGTTGCCTGTTATATAATAATTATCATAAATATCATCATAAATATCACAATCCCGCGATTGGAAAGAAAAGAACTGATGTATTATTTTGTAAACCTAAATTGACAAAGTTGTGTTCATGCGTATGCCCACCTTATGGGTTCATTGAAGCCGCGGTACTTAATTCATTAGTTTTTACAGAAAATAGTTTGCCTCTTCGTTCGAAAGAAGCTAACAGGGCGGAAATTTGACGAGCACTAAAAAGCAATTTATCAAAACAGCCCCTAGCTTGATCAAAGCTTTGGCCTTGATCATACGTCGACAGACAGGGGGGGGGGGGGTACTACCGTGTGTAAGATACTAAGCCTACTAGGGCAAGGAATCAGGATACTTGAAGTCTGGGGTCTTCGGCGGAGAGGTTTTACGATTCGAAGCAACATACAATAATTGTATGCGTACATTCAGCTATCAATCAAGACGCCATGTCTGTTGTCCTTTGCGTACCTGTACGTTGCCCTCATACCAACGCTTCGATGAGTCGACTTTATTTCCGGGCAAATTAACCCAGAAAAGTGCCATTTTGACATATTTTTTGTTTTGGGTCATTATCAGAAAAGTGTCATTTATTCGAAAAATTGTCTAAACGTTTTTACCCAGAAGAGTTTCAGGTCAATTCCGACACGGAATCCAGGTCGAATCTGACCTTTGATTGTTAGGAATGCAGGGTCCATTCTTTCTTTCTGATATATATTATTGTTATTATTATTTCTTTTTGCTTTACTGACCATTGAACGTTTGCGTTAATTATCTCCATTCTGTGCTTGGTCAAGCACTAGCACAGAAATCAGAATCCTTTGGTACCGGATGCAAATTTGCGCATAAGCGAAAATGCATCACTTATCCGTTGGACATGATTACCGTTATCATCGAATTTTCTGCTGTAGCCAGCAAGCATTCTTCATTATTGGAAAGCATAAGCGTGAAATTGGATGTCAGATTTGGTTTTCGTTTAAAATAGACATTTCTAGTTGAGATTTCCTCTACTATGGACATTTCGTTTCCACGTCCTATAATGGCGTAACGGCATGGTGCCCAATTGCAGTTGCGCCACTATAGGACGTAGAAAACTAAATGTGGAGGCAATCATAGGTTTTTACAAGAAAAAAAACCTCGTTCTTGACTCCTTCAAATTCTGATTGGGTCGGGGGGGGGGGCACAAGTGGACACAGAACTCGTGTGGGGGCCTGTTTCCCCGTACCGATGCCGTTCGGGGACTAGGCCCACAGTTGCAGCTCAATTCTGTCAATTTGGACGCAAACGGCAAAATCATACGTGCAATTTACTTTCCCTCCCAGGTACATTTTCATCACAGACCTAATCGGACATAATTACAATCTCTGCCCACCCGGGTCGGGAGCGGTAATTGTAGTGACAAAGTGTCATGCCCAAGGACACACGCATCAGACTCCAGCATAGACTAACGTGACTCGAGTCCACAACCCAGCTGCAGACTCACTCCCTATATCTAAGTTGGGTTCCACCAAACCATGTGGCCACGGCACTCCAAAATTGAGAACCAAAATTAGCGGATCGTATGCGCTTTTTCAATACACATAAATTATTATACCAATGGAAGGCGGTGAGGATTCAACTATACACACTTATATTGCAAACCACAAATTGTAACTGAATTATACATGCCCTTTCCACATAACCCTTATTCTGAAAACAGGGAAAGGTCTATTTAAGGTACGATCATCAGTCACATGTGGTTAGCCGTGCATATCGACACTGAAAAGTTGCCTGGGTTAATTTTACCCAAGCAAGGGTGAAAACTGCAACTACCCAAAATTGGGTTATACTTTACTCAATTGCTTGGGTTATAATTTCTGTTAAATTCAACCAAAACTTGTGGTCATACAAGACCCAATAATATTGTTTGGGTTATAATTTCTGTTAAATTCAACCAAAATTTGTGGCCATACAAGACCAAATTTGGTATTGTATGACCACAAGTTTTGGCTGAATTTAACAGAAATTATAACCCAAACAGTTATTGGGTCTTGTATGACCACAAGTTTTGGTTGAATTTAAAAGAAATTATAACCCAAACAATATTTTTGGGTCTTGTATGACCACACATTTTGGTTGAATTTGACAGAAATTGTAACCCAAACAATTGGGTAAAGCATAACCCAATTTTGGGTAGTTGCAGTTTTCACCCTTGCTTGGATAAAATTGACCCAGGCAATTTTTCAGTTTAATGAGTTACATATGTTTACATGCAAACCAATGCTCACTTCGCAGCGCTCAAAAGAACCGCGATATGAATTTATGTAGTTGAAAACCGTATCCAGATAATCACATTTCAGAAAATTATTTTTTTGTAAAGTAAAATCTTACATACCATTCTGATATTCAATTCATTTGCACGTAACCTTGACCAACATTTCTCTTAGTTAAGTTCAAGAATTGCTGATCACAAAAGGAGTGCGTTGGGGTTTGACTGAAACCATTCATTTCAATTCATTTTACATCTACATTTACGTAGTTGAGTTAGCAATTTGTGATTCTGATTCGATATTTTTGTGCCAAACTCTTGGCTTCTTTTTGGAGAAAAGAGGAATATGCCCTAGTCCCATATAGCTTGCCGTTTATATTATGATGATTGAGTTATTATAATGGTATGCAGTGCCCGTACTGCAGGCGCGGTTCTAGAACTAATATTTTGAGGGGGCTAGCAGGGTGGATCTAGAATTTGTTTCAGGGAGGCGTGCTGAAATGTAGACCGGTTATTTTCTCCAAACACTTAGGCCTCCGAAAATCAATAGGTGTGTGTGTGTGGGTGTGTACAGGCATTACATTCATTGTGTGGACTTCCGAACAAAAGATGTCCACATAAACCAGGTAGAGGAGACACTGTGCGGACTTGGGCAAGTCCACACAGTGTTTTCCCATTTCTGGAAAACAGGTTTAGAGGCATTTTTGGGTTAGGTTTATCCGTAGCAGAATGAAGAGAAACACTAAAGGGAATCATAGAAAAAAAATTGGGTTGAAAGAGTTTTCACAGTTTGAGAAAAATGAGTTTTTTCACTGGTTTTTCTTAACTACACGAAAGCAATGGAAAGTCCACACTTGGTATGTAACGTAAACTTGTGTGGGGGTGTGTGTGTGTGTGTGTGTGGGTGTGTGTGGGGGGGGGGGGGGGGGCTTATGCCATATTTTAAAAGGGGAGTGCCAATAAAATCCTAAAATCATTCACACTATATTTACTACAAATGCACCCTTGTCACGACTATTTCTTTAGGGGGAGACCGTTCACATGTACATCACAATCCTTCTTTTTGCTAATGCAATTTCTTTTTACGGAATTTATTTGGGGGGGGGGCTAGACAAAATTTTTGGGGGGCTAAAGCCCCCCCCCCAGCCCCCCCCCCCTCCCCGTAGAACCGCGCCCGCCGTATGGGAAGATAGTAAATTGGACAATAAATATTGAGGACATGTCACCTTATCTTCAACTTTCCTCTAAGATTTCATAAAACTTGGGTACTGAAAGAAACGTGAAATACACACAGTCATGAAGAACAGGAGGGATAAAATCCAACTTATTATACTTGATCAAACAACAACATCAAGCTATTCATTGTGTATTACCATTGAATAGTCCGATAAACTACCATCTCCTTCAGCAATTATCTAATAAACGCCGCCTTAATTTGACATAGGCCTAAGGCGTTTTTATTTGTCCAGAATTCTGCATTGAAATCCAGAAAGCTTTCTCATGATGTCTGAATTGGCGTATGTGCAAACATTGGTGCACGTCACTGTACTCTCGAAGGCTACCGTCCATTTTCATAAGATTTCGACTTTTTAAAGAGGCATGAAGAACCAATGAAATTAAGGATAATAAGAAATAAATGCCCATTATTTAGTCTCCGTTGTTAAACAAGGAGCAGCTGCAGTGTTTATGTTCTTTAACAAGTGAAGCTAACATAATAAAGCGATAATGCAGTAAAATGTCCCCCGCTCATTAAGCTTTCTTCGACAAATATCTGTCAATTTATCTGTCCACCGATTATAACAGGCGTAATTACGTCAGTATATTAATATGGACGCCGTACACAAGCCCCGCTCAACGGTTACAAAGGAAGAGTTGGGGGCAGGGGCGGTGGAACCGGGGGGGGGGGGAGGGGGCATTCCCCCCCCCATTTCCCCAGGCCATCAAAAGTGCCCCTCTCACAGTTATAAATGTGCCCCCTCGAGATGAAAACAAAACTGCCCCTCAAACGCACACACGTTTGGAAGCATATGATCGCGCTACAAATGAAATTGTCTCCTATCTTGTAATGCAAAACTGCCCCTCAAAAAGTACCCCTCGCATTAACAAGATTGTGCACCTTCTCGAGATGGAAAACTACCCCTCGAAGCACAAATACCGCTGTCGCAATAATAAAAATTGTGCCCCTCTCGAGATGTAAAATTGACCATCAAAAACAATAGTGCTCCTCTCGCGATAACTTCTCGCGATGGAAAACTGCCCCTCGAAAGCACCATTAGTGCCCCGCTCGCAACATTCCCTAAAACATGATGGTGCTCTTCACGAAAATAAAATGGTAACTGAACTGGCCGTCAAAAGCAACAGTGCCCCTCTCGCGATAAAAACAATGGTCTCTCTACATAACTCTAGGTAAAAGAAACACAAAGAGCAGGATAGTCAACGTATTCATAATTTGTTCCTCGTCATATAGGTACCTTATTCTTTTCCTCCACTTTCACACCAACGAAAGGTGCCCCTTTTCTGAGCAAGTGCCCCTTTTTAGTGTTGCCCCCCTCCCCGTTTGAAAAGCGTTCCACCGTCCCTGATTGGTGACTAGGGGGGCAACTGGGAGCAGGGCTGTATTAAGTGTTCCGTAGGCCATATAGTATAGGCACCAGTGTTTCGTAGGCCCTACTCCGCACTAGGCACCAGCACCAATATCATGTTGATGTAGTAAACAAGACAGGCCGAACTGATAGCTCTAAGAGCCTGTTGGCTCACTGTGGTATATTTGTAACCCTCAAATTTTTCGTAGGCCCTCAAATCTGTCGTAGGCCCCTAAATGTTTCGTAGGCCCTATAGGCACAGTGCCTACTGTGACTATTGGATAAACCTGGCCTGACTGGGAGGGACATCCGAAATCATTATGCTAAAAACGCAATGGGTTTGTACCATCAATCTCCATTACATGTATACAGTCTTTATAATGGCGATCAATGGTTCTTACACACACTGAGAATATAATGATCTCATGCGCACACTTCGCTTTCTCTGCAAACTGGTCATGCACTGAGTACAGAAGCATTTACATGACTACACGCGGTTACATTCCAGTGCATGGGAGATTTGGGCGGAGTTTGATAAACAAAAGAGATATGCCGAGATATTGTTTAATTTTGTGTTACCCCTGACCCAGATTTTCAATGGAAACAAGACTTCTTATTAGGAACTACCGTACAAACAACCCCCGCACAATGTTAATTAAGGAGACTTCTGGTAGTCGATGTGTTGTGTATCACTGAATGTTTTCTTTCATAATATTTTTTCCAGGGGGATGAATATGACGATATATTGAAGGTTGCCTATCGCGCACTCATGACCATCCGTCTGTTCGAGCCCACCACGGCGGAATACGTCGCCTTTCAACACGAGATCAATGACCGCATGCAGCGCTACTACAACTTCACGCCTGAACCTGGGGACGAGGTTGGTAGCTTATTATTGGCCAAATACCTAAAGGGACATTGCGTAAAACGCGTTTTCGTGAAAGAGCATTCAAAAAAGAGAATAATGCATAAACGTCCACACAACCATACCTAAAAAAAACCCGGTCGTTTTTCGTGTTATTCCGGCGAGAACAGATTTTGGAGGTGAACATTTTTACGCTCGAAAATTAAGCAATTTGAGTGCTAGTTATTATTCCAGCCGCACATGTTCCTTCAGAAACGAACATTAAAACGAATGTGTATTATATTTGTTCATTATTTTAAAATGCTTACCTGAATATATGGGCTAAAGCTCAAATCCATTGTTGTTTGTAAATTGATCAAATTTTCGACGATTTCAGGATTGTGTGTCCCCGTAACCAATTTATTTAGTTCTATTTCATCGACGAAATCAACAAAGTATGTTTGAAAGCAGGCTTCTTCTCCTGTCCCACTTAGGCTTATAGCCTCAGCTCTGAATTCAGAATATTGTTACCTAAATCAAAAGTAAAATACTGGCCTCGAATTACATGATTTTTGATGTTTTTCAAACGAAAGCCTGAACCCATAGTGAGCCTATAAGCCCCTCAAGTCAGTGGCCTTCAAAATCTTACCATGGAGGTTCCTTCCTCCATGATCTCACAAAGCCGCCGGGGACAAGGCCTATAGGTTTTGAAAACTTCACAAGGATTCCTGATTATTAAGAGCACAGGCATAAAAGCTGATGGGAAGCCTGAACTACCCAGAGACAATGAAGACCTAGGTAGTCGTAATTAAATCCCTTAATGACAATTCTCGGAAATTCCACAACCAAGTTGCGCCCCTGAACGCAGACATTGTGCAGTAACTAAAAGTCACATCTACATGTATGTACGTTGTTTCAGATTGGTATTTTTTCTTTCTTCTATAGGTTAACTTCTTTGCCACGTCGTTCCACGATGCCCTTATCCTGTACTCCCTGGCCATTAATGAGACTCTACACGAGGGTGGTGACATCCGTGACGGCATGGCGCTACGAGAGAAGATGTGGAACCGCACTTTCCAAGGTGATCCTCTGGCTACTTTGCATAATGATGATGCGAGAGCGCCACCAAGCGTTTGGCTCGAAGACTGACCATCCCACTATTCAAATTAAGGGACAGGTTTCTGTGAATTATTCTCTTGCAGGTGTTATTCATCTGTTCCCGTAAATAAAAAATAAAATCTAATTTGAATCGCACGCGTCCAAATAAAAACGTAAAAACAATAAGGAATCTTTATAACTGTTAAAAAATAAAATACACGAATTGTTTGGCGACTGATGTAGACTTTTTCATCAATGCACTGCGTTTAACCGTGACAGGTCGCTCGCATCCGCTGCTATTTCCAAGGGAGCTGTTTTCGTTGATCTCTCATTGGTCAGATTCTGTTTTGGCCTATAACAACGTTCCCGCGCATGCGCACGGAGTGCATGTGCGCTTATCCAATGCTATGTTAATCAAGGCTCCCAGTACTGGGTCATTTTGCACGTCAAAAACTTGCAGGTTATAATTATGCACGGAACAGTCTGGTGCCTGGCCCTGCTGTAATTAAGAATTGTGTTATGTATGCGGTGTCCACAGAACAGACGGAATCAGTTCGTTAGGCTGTAGCTGCAGACGAAGGAAAACATAATAGGCTTAAGCAACGATTTTTCATGTATTTGGAATCACTCAAACTTTGATGCATGAGATCAAGTTCATTTCAATATTCTGCCCACATGTTCAAATTGTGTGGTGACGCGTGGTATTGCCAATCAGGATGCACACAGCAACCAATAAAACCTCGGATGCCTTGAGCCGTCGGAAGTTGCCATGCCGTACCGCGGTGAGTTTGTTTCTTGGGCCCGTAAGTGCTTCGACCTTGAACAATGATTGCGAAATGATCACTGAACTTCAGCAAGTGAACTCTGATCAAACACACTGCAAAAAGGAAAAAGCGGGGCGGATCCTAGTCTCATAATTTAATTAGTTCCTTTTCAAATCCAGGTGTCTAGAGCAGCTGATTTAATCAGTAAATAATCAGGTCACGATAAATTGCAACATATGAGATTTCTGTAAAAAAGGGTGATTGTGTTCTTTTACTATGTGAAGTAATTTATAGGGCTGGAAAGGAATATAATGCAATAGAATGTTGAGGATATATGTTTGTCAGGGAAGGGAGCATCACAGGAAATAAACAGTGTATGTACTTCCATCAATATAAAACAAAAATCCCGATTCAATAAAATATAATATTTATGTCGACGTCAGAAACAGCGGAGCATTCAGTGAAACCAATGTCATCCAAAAAGTAGCGCTATTCCGCTAGGTCACAATATAGAATAAAGCTACTTTTAGATTGTTTTTAAAACAGCATGGTTTTCATTTGGGACTTTATAACTCCAATGGCGCGACTTTTTTTTATTTAACTTATCGTTTGTTTTATTTTTTTTAGTATTATTCTTTATTATTATAATATATTTTAGTATTATTCTTTATTTTATTATCACTCTTCTTCGTCTATTTGTGGGCTTGAGATGGAAGGTCAGAATTCTTTGCCATAAGGTTTATTTTAATCCTTTAAGAAGATTTGATTTCGGAATGGTCGAAGGCCAGCGACTCAGCATCCGACAGGGACGAACGCGTCCCTCGTGAGTTTGTTTGACAAAAGTTCCTTAGGAAATTCATAACTTTGCTGAGAAAATCAATACCAAGTTTGTTTGTTTTTATCCCCTGGGGTACGACGGGTCAATGCAAGGGTAATTTGCGCAGCATTTTACCTGCCTTTTAAGTCACAAATGAATGGAAATTTGTTATTCTTTTAACCGAAAGCCGATTCGTAGTTACAAAAGCGTCACCGTTTTCACGAAAGGACGGTCATTGTAATAATTATTTTTAAAAAATATGGCTTTTTCGGTTTTCGATTTTTCGATATAATATTTTACTTTTAATGGTGAGCTTAACCATGAGTTGAGGGAGTAAGTGACTAAATGAATTTTTCTAATGACGCTTATAACAGGAGAGGCAGACATCGCAATGATTGCATTTTACGTTCCCACAAAGAGACGCATATATGCGCCCATGAACATACTTAAAGAATTCACTTAAAGAAGAATTCAGTAAGATCTCGGTGGCTTTTTTCGCATCAGATACAATGCGCATGAACAATAGGCAATCTGGCATTACCGCCCGTTAAAATCAGCGCTCTCTTGCCATTTTTCTCTTCACGTTTGTTCTTCCTAGATTAAGTTTGGCATTTTCTCCTTGGCATTTGGTTGATTTTTTGTTTTTTTTTCCATCAGGGATCAGTGGAGAAGTGGGGATTACAGCTAATGGCGATCGTGTAGCAGTCTACTCCCTCTGGGATATGACCGACACTGAAAACGGCATCTTTGAGGTATGGACCAAAAAGAAACCTGACGGTTATTCCCAAAAGGCACGGACGGATCGTTTCATGCTTGCAATTGCTGCAAAGAAAGCAGACCCCGGAGATTTGTTTTATCCGAGGATAACGTTCCGAAGGATACATTTGAAGTCAATCTTGGCGGTGACAACAAAAGAAAGTTGTCGGCGTCAATATAGGTTCGCTGCCTATCTAGAGTCTTAAAAAGATCTGTACTACTATATAGGTATTACTTAAATTATCAAAACAGAGAGACTTTTTCGTCCCATCTACATGTTTCGTGGGTTGTTTTTTTGAAGATCATGTCGCATTTCCACTTAGTTTTCAAATTGCAAGTTGTGATCACATTGCGGCAAGTTTTCGTGGAGAAAATGCAATTGGCTCTGTCGCGTTAACGCTGCATGCATGTGAGTTTAAAGTCAGCTAAGTTTAATAATATGAGTTAATCTCTTAGTCGTAAAACCAAAGTAATGGACTTTATTCACAAGTCGGCCATATTGAATTGAAAGCAAGGTAAACCCTTCATTTTTGGAACTTGCGAGTAGAAATGAAAGCAGTGAAATAAAAGTTTATTACAAATTAACACCAGTCTGCTATGATGAATAATTCAAAAGTTGGATTATGCATACACTACTGTTTGAAGCCACATTTATTAAAAAAAAAAAATTAAAGTGAGGCTTGGAACGCACTCCAATCACAAAATAGTCTGACACCATACCATTCAACAGTTTACAATTTATAAAATAGATACAGGGAACCCGAGCAAAAATGGCTTACCTGTGAACATGGTGAATAAGGTTTATCTTTGTCAATACCCGCAGCTGGTGATGAAGTTCGCTCCCATAATATTGCAGTGACGTCAGGTCATTTAGCACAAGTTCTCAATCTGAATCTCAGGACGTTGAAAATACACTCTAAAAAGCCCCTGGTCAGATTGACCCGAAATCCTGGTTCTATGTGGCCTGACACCTTTCATTGTCAAAATTGGCACACTTGCCAAGGTTTCCCGGTCAAAATTAACCGGAGAGTGAATCAGAGAAGTGTCTTTTGACCTCGAGAATTGTCTATTTTGACCCTGAAAAGTGTCGGGTCAAATGGAACCCGCATTTCGGGTCAATCTGAGCAGGTACTTTTTAGAGCTTGTCCGAAATTATGGTCTGTTTTTGTTCAAGGTTGTTGCTGATTACTACGGCATCTCGCAAGAGATTAAGTTCCACAAGCCGATCATCTGGCACGGGGAGACGGGGGAAGTTCCCAGGGACACGCCCATCTGCGGATTCTATAACGAGAACCCCGACTGTAACCCACAAGGTGTGCCTTACGTCTTTGAGAATGTTTGCTGGTCCCAGAGGGCCAGCCTATAGTCATTGAACCTGCCACTTGGGAATTAGACTTGCTTAAGTCTTACCTTGGCTCTAAAGTTTTAAATAGGATTACTCCAATGATTGGGCTTTTGTACGGCCCACACTGTAAACACGTTGGGCAAAACGGGTTGATATGTAGACCAACGTTGGTCAACACATCAACAGGTTAAACTCTTGGGAAAATTCTTCCCAATTGTTGGAAAAATTTTACCCAAATTGGGTAATTTCAAACCAATGTTGGGTAAAATTATATTGCCCAACAGTGTTTTACCCATTATTTTTTTACAATGCATTGTGTAGGCCACATGTATCAAATGACATCCAGTGAATAGTTCTGAATTAATTGCATGCTGTGCACTATGGGACCAGCCTTGCTAGACTTGCCTTGTCTTGTTTTTAAACATATATATACATTGATAAGTGTAGAATTTCAAGTAGGCACTGCAGTTTCATTTTTATACACTGTCATTTTCATTCGTCAATTTTGAAAGAAATGTTACCGGGTTTCACATGATAATTGAGTGTTCCATGGCGACGAAGCATGGTTCATACTTCATGCGAATGCGAAGCGAATTCGCAGCGCGAATACTTGCCATGCATGACGTCAAAATGCGCGTTCGCTTTCGCTTTCGCGCCGAGTATGAACCGGGCTTCAGGAGATGTGGGTTTTTCACCAATCAGGGGATGTGCGCATTGCAGTACATGTATTACAAAACTGTTCAGATTTGCCGTTTAAAGCTTCTAGCTTTTACTTAAAACCAAACCATCTACATCTATAAAAAAAGAAAGAACAGAGAATAACGCCCAAAAACTATCCAACTCTTAACTAAATGAAGACGTCCTATACGATCGTAATTTGTCTTAAGCCCGGTTCATGCTCCACGCGAATGCGAAGCGAATTTGACGTCATGAAACATTCGCTGCGAAATTCGCCCGAGTTGAAATATGTTCAACTTTTACGAATTCGCAGCACGAATACTTGCCATCACGTCACAAATTTGCGTTCGCTTTCGCGCCGAGTATGAACCGGGCTTTAAGTAAGTAATTAAGTTCGTGTATACACTTAGATTACACATTTTACCACTCTTTTAAGTTACTCACATGTATCACTATGTATACCTGTTTTTAATTGAAGCATTAGGTTAGCCAACAATTATATTAAATGTTTAAGCTTTATATTTCTAAGATGACAAGTATGATCAATCCAATTTAATGATCGTTATATTCCCCCGTACCATAATACCCGCAGAAAACAACACAGTGCTGATGGTATCCACGATCTTAGCTGCCTGTCTGGTCCTCATATCTGTCTGCGTGATGTTCGTTGTCTACAGGTCGGTATACTGTTGAGTGCTTTTAATACGGAAGTCCATTAACAGACTTAATTTCAGAGTGAAATATCATATGATTTAACTACACTTACTGCTCAAAATTGCTGATTGCAGAAACGTTCTACTTAATTTACTTTTATCAGAAAAGTGCAATCTTTTTATACTCTTCAATCATGTGCGTCCTTCGACTGTTGCGTGTCTACGGGAGTTAGCAATATACCTTGCTCTGCAGCTGAAAGAATCCTAAGCGAACCTGTAAACAAATTCTACAAATCTTGATTATTGTTATAAAGAACATGTATCGTGAAAAAACAGTCATGAAGATTGATTTATCTACATTAGCATAAATACAATTTTTGTTTTCCTTTCGTTTTCCATTTTATGCTTTATAACTTTGTTTTTTTCTTTTCGTTCTTTCTTTTTTGATAGGAGAATGAAACTGAACTCGGAACTTATGAACATGTCGTGGAAAATCCGCTACGAAGATTTGGTCTTTACGGATACGTTCAGATCCGTGTCGTCGTCCATTCGATCTTTGTCCATCGTAAGTCTTTATGCCAATTGTTATCAATCATTGACTGTTTCAGCAAACCGGAAAAAAAATACATTCGGTACATTAGTTTTTGTGCGACAAGTTGGTAGATTGCATGTTTTAGAATGCAGGATAAATCTACAGAGCCTACGTAATGATATACGCCACACTCATCGGACATCCAGATTGCATTGTTAAATGCAAGGAGGAACATTGGTACACTCTACAAAAGAGTCCCATGTCAGATTGTCCCCGGAATCCGGGTCATATTTAACCTGAGCATTTTTTTTTAGAATACTGTCATTTTGTCCCAGAAAAGTGTCATTTTGACCCGGAAAATGTCATTTTGACTAAAACAAGTGCCATTTTTTGACCTGGAAAATATCATTTTCACTCGGAAAAGTGCCAAGTTGACCCGGAAAATGGCATTTTGACCCGGAAAAGTGCCATTTTGACCAGGAAAAGTGCCATTTTGACCAGGAAAAGTTTCATTTTGACCCGGAAAAGTGTCATTTTGACCAGGAAAGTGTCAGGTCAAATATGACCCGGCTTCCGGGTCAAAATGACCCGGGACTTTCTAGGGCGTAACTACCCAGAAACGTACCTCCCTAACTACATGTAATGAGAAAATAATGCTCAACGTGCGGAAAGGACTGGTTCCAAATACTAAATTGAGCAGTTAATTCTAATTCTGTTTGGTTTTGTTTGTTTTTGGTTATTTTTTTTTTTTAAACCTTGAGTACTTTAAAGGAAAAAAACAGATGGCCATTGTGTCTTTGCAGGGAAGCGCAGACGCGGATGGTAACAACCGACGCCAGATCTTCACTAAAGTCGCACAGTATGAGGTAAAACAGGTCTAGATTTCCACTTAATTACTGGGGTAGGCTCTTAGCAGCCCCAGAATTGTGGACACTCAACATTCTCAGTCCCTTGACATTTAAAGCGTAAAGTTAAGACTTATCTTTTTATACTAATTTCAATGCTTGTGTATCAGTGTATTTTATTTTTTATTGTCCGGATAGACATTTTGTACTTAGGCCTACTCTTTAACCCCCTTTCAACATTGCATTTAATTTGTTTTAATTCTTGCTATTTTCTGTGGTACATTATTACGTAATCCGCGATTGATCATTGTTATGAAGACCGCTCAATACAAATTTTAATTTATAATTATTATTTATTGTTATGAATGTTTGTGAATGTGATAACGTGTATTTACATAACACGAATTTAAATGGAGGAACAAAAAGCCAAAAAAAAATGAACACTTGAAGTATAGGTATCTGACTTTCTCACATGGTGCACGCTGTATGGAGTTTGAGCTTTCAAAATTAATAAAGAAAAGGGAGAATAATAAGTAGGGAAGTAAAGGTCTATACAGGAGTGTAATACCAATAAAGCCCGTGAAAGAGTAAATGTGAACCATCAGAAACGATGCTATAGGGTGAGGTAAATGAGGTGAATATGCCGCTCGGGGAAAATGCTGATTACATCACCGATTTGCGTGGTAACCTTATGTTATACATCGGACGGCCGTGAGTGTACATTGTTCCCAGGGGAGTAAAGCACACACGATGTCGCATCCTTTCTCTGATGGCCTCGTATGAGAATAAAGCATTAACGTCAATTTTCCCATGGCAGATTGGGCAATGAAGGTTGAAGGATAATGATGTCTGCTCTCGTTTAGGATTCATCCAATCGCGAGCCTTTCCCTCCTCTTTGGTTGCATTAAAAAAATACTAATACAATGGACTTTTCCCCACGTAATTCGCATCTTGTTAATTGAGTTTGGCAAAATTGCTTTCCATTTCAAGAGGTTTCAGGGAGTCGGATGCGAATGCAGTTCCTGAGTTGCAATTAAGGCCCAGAGTATTTTGATTTCATTTGAAAGTTTGCAAAATAATATGTGTGTGGGCAAAATGGGTAATGAATGTTGAAGGATAATGTGAATTATTTTCTTGTCTTATTTGGGAGTCACTCGATCACGAGTTTGTCATGCCCCTTTTTAGTTTAGTTAGATGGTTTTTCTTGTTCAATTTCGCATCTTATTTGTTCAGACAGACAAACAGGTGTTTTCCATTATACAAGAGGTTCAGGGAAATCGGAACGAATACGGTTTCTGATTCGCAGTTCGAGCTTTTGTTTTCGTTTAAATGTGTTCAAATAAGCGTTTGGTCAAAAACTTGTTTGTCAGTTTTCGATTTTGTACCAAGTAGAAGAATTTGACAAAATGCGTATTCATTTAACGTAAATGCAACACAAGTATACAGAACAAATATTTGGCCTTTGCATTTCTTGTCACAACAATCTTTATTATACGGCGACAAGAAAATCAGTTTCTAAATCTGTATCGTACATTTTTACGCGTGAATGAAGATACCCAAGAGGATTACTTACTTCAACCTCGTTTCCAATAATAATCTCTTGGTTTGGAACTTGCTTTTATCGTGATTCAATATAGCGCTCGCAAGTAATGGATTTATATCGTGTACTTGGTGTTTTGTATTTCCAATGTGTATGATGTATTCTAACATTCTATGTGAATTATTACATTCACTCCACCCCAAAAACAATCTCTCCTTTCCATTTTGCTTATAATAATAAATCTAAAAATTAATGTGGCCTGACGTTGCGAACTTAGCAAGTTCTTCTTCAGAGGCTAAAACAGAAATGACAGAGGTACATACATTAACATGGGGGTGCACACAAACATGCAGGGATGAAAGAAGAAACACAAAAGGAGGATTAGGAGGGAAAGGTGTGGAAAGATGCAGGGGAGGGTGGATGAGAGAACAAAGAAACAAAGGGAGATGGCAAACCACAAGGGGTCTGGTATGAACAGGGGAGGGACCAGAAAGGGGAAGGATCAAAGGTCACAGGGAGTGGGAACGGACAAAAGAGTGTGGGAGAGAAGGGGGATTATGGGGGGGGGGAACAGTATGGAGGTGGAAAGGGATGAAAGATGGGGAAAGATGGGGAAACACAAACAATGAAGACCAGGTGGATTATCTGTAACAGAAGACAATGGAGGAAGAAAAATATTAATCATTTCCAAGTTGGATGTTGAGACCATGTGGTTGAATAGTTCGAAGACGATTCATCCACACTTTCTCTCTGCTGAGGCGAACTGAGTCCTTGCGATGGCCAAGAGATTCAATGCCCTGCAAAATCATATCAGAAATGGAGTGGTTAGGCAGGTTGAAGTGATGACCAACAGGGGTGTCTAGTTTCTTGGTGTTGACCGTTGACCGGTGGGCATAGAAACGCTTCTTGAGCGTATTCTTAGTCTCACCTACATACTGCACTCCACAGACCCTGCAAGAAATAAGATATATGACATTAGTTGTGTTACAAGTGATGTTACCAATGGTTCTGTGGGTAGTGACAGAAGAGTGGCCAGAAAAGGAGTCAGACTCCTGGATATGAATCTGGCAGACAACACATCTGGAACTGCACTTGAAAGTACCATGCTGGGTGGGAGGGGATGCATCTAAGGATGGGACTTCAGCTCGAACAATCAAGTCCCGTAGATTTCGAGGACGCCTGTAAGCCAATGTGGGGCCGTTGGGGATGGCGCGGGCAAGGCGATCTGAAGTATGGAGGATATGATGATTGTCATTAGTGATTTTGCGAAGGGGAGGGAGATTGGGGTGAAACGTGGTAACCAAGGGAATCATGGATTTATAATAATAAATAATAGGATACTGCACATTAGTAGGATAGGATTGTAAAAACAAATGTTTTCGAAATGTTTTCGAATCTACGCCGCGACGAATTAATTCCGTTTTTTACCCCAGGCAGCGCACATAAAAACAGACACTGATTTTAAGCACAGCATATTTCTGTATTGGCATACATGTCCAAGATTTTCGAACATGCAAATTATACAATGCTGCAGGTCAGTGGTGGGAGCGTACTGCTCGACACCATGATGGGAACGAGATTGAAACGAGTGCGAAAACGCTTGCCATTTTCGCGTGTTCAAACGGACGTTTTGCAGGACCGATCCTACCCAAGTTGTGAAAGTCTACAGGAAAACCTATTTTTTTTCTGGGTGATCACCAATTTCCATTTCGTACTCAGCTCAATGGATCTGTAAACGACGGACATGATAGACTGGTTCGGAAAAAAATCACTACACCGCAGAACCGCACTGCATGTCTGTTGATACTAAAACAGTCTTAATTATTGTACGGATTATTTCGAGCGTCAGTTTCATTGATGCCGTTTTTGGTTTTCGGCGGAGCGCGTGCCCTTGTTTAACAAACCCATTGTGCGCTCTGGTAATATTGAGGCACTTCTTCAAATAAACCTTCGTGTGTGTCTTTCTTTCTTGTAGGAATACTTTAGGCTGAGGCTTCATTTACAGTTGGTTGACCGATCCAATCTAAATTGACGCGTGATAGGAATATGCGCTTTCACGCCAGCACGAACGCAAATTGACCTTAGTTTCTAACAATTATTGCCGGATATTTATTTTGGAGGGCGTCTCTGTGGGAAAAATACCTTGATTCATTCAAATTGAATTGTCAGAGTATTTTGTTTTATCGATTTCTTTTTTTTGAAAAAAAATGCACCTCTAATGTTTTTATGTTTAGGCATTAGAACCGCGGACGTATATATATATTTTTGGAAACCATGTACAGATAGTACAGTCACTCACCACATTATTGGCATGCCTTAGTTGTCTGCGGATTGGTTCTTTTACTTCGCAATATATGCATAAAGAAGTTTGTATTTACGGTATTTTTCCAGGGTCAAAAAGACACCTTTCCGGTTCAAAATTACACTTCTCCAGATCAATTTTCCGTTTCATTTTGACCAGGAAAGCTTTGCGAAAGTGTCATTTCGACCCCCCCCCCCAAAAAAAAAGGTGTGAATTTGACCCTAATTCCGGGTTGAATCTGACCCGGGACTTTTTAGAGTGCAGTTTCAGATGATGTCTATCTCCCAACCTTCATTTGAGAATACGAGAGGGCTGAATCCCCTTTCCCGATGTCGCTTGATCGGCCCCACATCATCTGATAAAACTGTAGGGTCAGAAAGCTGATTTGATTTACTCCGGATGTTTTGTTTTAATAAAAAATCACCTCCTGTCTCTCCAATCTTATTACTCGATTCGTCCCTGCCCTTACCGCTGGTTGAAATTCCCCCTTATCAATTTTTCCATCTCCCCCTCCCCCCCCCCCGGAAAGGGCAGCGCTTGAGAATATGGCAAGCTTTTGAGTGCGGTTATAGACTTATAGAGTATAGCTCGAATATAGCTTTTTGGGAGGGGGGGTCGGACACATCTTAAGGTCAATGGCAATGGCTTTCTCTATGTAGGTCGATTTTTCAATTGTCGTGTTTTAAAAATCTTGTCTCCTTGACGATTTTTATCTTCTCTGTTTAATCGCTATTCAGGGTCGTACGGTAGCGCTGAAGCCCTTGTACGCCGAGAAACTGGAGCTGACGATGAGTCTGCTGAAGGAATTCCGCAAGGTGAGCCGACTGCCCTGTTTCCATTGTGGGTCCTTCACCTCCTTAGAAGACGAAACACTTGTCAGAACATTCCTAATATGATTTACTTGAGGGAAAGGATAAGAATACTGACTACATAAAATGCTCCCCAGTCACTACGTGACCATTGTCTGTCGATGTAGCGTGAGATTTGGACTCAATGTAATACAAACCTTTTCACCATGTCTCAGCGCAACAACAAACAACCTCATTATATTACAACATTGGATCGAGGTTTGAATTTAACGTAACCCCATTTGTTGTAACAGTTTCTTCAAAATAAAATATTTAATCGTTTGTTAAAAAAAAAATGAATCGTTCTGGTCTTAGTTTTTGCAGATTGTTTAATCAGTGGTTGATTACCCTCGACAAAACGGAAAGGAACAAAGTCAAACTTCATACAACCTTCTTCCTGGGTTCTTTTGTTAATGTTCTAGTAGACCTCTGGGTGCTTGTTTACCTGTTTAAGGTTGATCATAAAGTTTCTTCCAACGCACTGCCTCACTATGGAACCCCTAATATATATCTTGTTTTACAGTTGATTATGATCGGTCCCAGTTCAAACGCAACGTCAATAGTTATCTTTCAACTTCAAGTAATTTCCCTAGCTTCCTTTTCAATCCCTTGTTTGTGTAGCCCTCACCTTGAGTGGCCCTTCAATAGCCTGAGGACCATGTGATGGCCGACTCTCATAAAAAAACCAAGTTATTTATTGGTAATTGAATATCGCTTTGCCTGATTTTGGTACGTTTTTACAGCTACGGCGCATGGAGCACAGCAATGTAGTTCGTTTCGTTGGTGCATGCATCGACGGTCCTGACGATTTAAAGAACGCCATCATCACTGAATACTGCAATAAAGGCAGTTTACAGGTACAACAATGTTTTGTCATAAGTGAGGCTGTCAAATCGTATTAGTGGGAATAAATGTAAAACCAGCTTTGAGTCAGTTTCATTACGGTTGTGTTTATCAGTGGTTTATCCCTAGCATTACGGGTGAGAACATATCTCTTTCCCCCAACCCCTAACCTGCATGGATGGGATGCCAACATCGCAGCTTATTCCTCGGTAATGTCAGACCACCCCAGTTATTTCCAAGAAATGCCCTTTTTGTCTTCTCTAGGATATCCTGGAAAACGATGCCCTCAAACTGGACACCGATTTCAAGAACTCTCTCCTGCTTGACGTTGGCCAGGTATTCTATAATCATTTCTTCTAATCTTGTAATAATAATCCTGATACTATGGTGGCCCTGAAGGGACATCGCATATCGCAAACGTGTGCGCATACGTATGCGATGTCGCGAAATTTATCGCGAATATGTGCGCACACGTATGCAATATCGTGAAACAATTCGCGAATATGTGCGCACACGTATGCGATGTCGCGAAATTTATCGCGAATATGTGCGCACACGTATGCAATGTCGTAAAACAATTCGCTAATATGTGCGCACACGTATGCGATGTTGCAAAATTTATCGCGAATATGTGCGCACACGTATGCGATGTCGCAAAATTTATCGCGAATGTGTGCGCACACGTATGCAATGTCGTGAAACAATTCGCGAATATGTGCGCACACGAATGCGATGTCGCGAAATTTATCGCGAATATGTGCGCACAGTATGCAATGTCGTGAAATTTATCGCGAATATGTGCGCACACGTATGCGATGTCGTGAAATTTATCGCGAATATGTGCGCACACGTATGCGATGTCGTGAAATTTATCGCAAATATGTGCGCATACGTATGCGATGTCGTGAAATTTATCGCGAATATGTGCGCACACGTTTGCAATGTCGTGAAACAATTCGCGAATATGTGCGCACACGTATGCGATGTCGCGAAATTTATCGCGAATATGTGCGCACACGTATGCGATGTCGTGAAATTTATCGTGAATATATGCGCACACGTATGCGATGTCGTGAAACAATTCGCGAATATGTGCGCTCACGTATGCGATTTTGTTTGCAATGTCGTGAATTTTATTGCATACCTTTGTCGCATACCTTTGGGGTGATGTCATTTTTGCGGGCAATTTGTTAGTGACCTAGGGAGTACGCAAGTGGCCCTGGTCCCATTTTGTATACCCAAGATACTTCAAGGCAGGAGCTTGGGTACCAGGCAGTTACATTTCAGCGTGGCCAAGGTCATACCAAACTAAACTTAGCCGCGTTATGGGCCCAAAACCTAGCCGCGTTCTTAGCCGCGTTCTTAGCCGCGTTCTCAACCGCGGTATCAAAATCTCAAACACATAGAGTAAAAGGTGGTTGCCTCTCTGTTTGTAGTGAAAGGATTTCTTGGACTTTCCCAACGAAATGTTAAAGTTATACAATAAATGTACTATTTTTTATGCTTTCATCTAACCGAACCTTCTATTGGGCACATCATATTTTGGAGGGGGCCAATTTGGTCCACTAATTAGCTGTTAATTAAGGCCCTATCGAGGAGTCTCCATTTTCCACTCTAAAAGTGCACAAAACTGAATGCTGCTGACCTATAACACCCCTTTAAAACAAAATGTACCCCACATAGTTTTATAAATTTGAATTTTTATTGCATAATCCATTTCATCCATCTACTGGGAAGATCAAATTTTGGAGGGGGCCAATTCGGTCCACTAATTAGCTGTTATTTAAGGCCCTATCGAGGAGTCTCCATTTTCCACTCTAAAAGTGCACAAAACTGAATGCTGATGACCTATAACACCCCTTTAAAACAAAATGTACCCCACATAGTTTTATAAATTTGAATTTTTATTGCATAATCCATTTCATCCATCTACTGGGAAGATCAAATTTTGGAGGGGGCCAATTCAGTCCACTAATTAGCTGTTAATTAAGGCCCTAATCAGGAGTCTCCATTTTCCACTCTAAAAGTGCACAAAAGGGAGTGCTGCTGACCTATAACACCCCTTTAAAACAAAATGTACCCAACAAAGTTTTATAAATTTGAATTTTTATTGCATAATCCATTTCATCCATCTACTGGGAAGATCAAGTAATTTTATCTAGGTGGTATTATTAGCAGTTCGCAGCAGTTCATTTATCATTAATAGAACGTGCAGTTCATGTACAAATTGATCGCAACACCTGCAAATCACGGCAATTTAAATTTGCGTGCGCATATTTATTGGCTGAAATATGACACCACGTGAGTTTCAAACTTGCGCGCGCAAATTTCAAAGTTGCGCAAGTAGCAAGTTTGCGCTCGACAGGTTTATTAGTCAGACCCTATTTATATCTAACAGTACGTCTAGATTCCAGACTAGCTGCTACAACTCCCCAGTTCATTAGGAATTTTACTGAAAGGTATGCGACAAGGTATGCAATAAAATTCACGACATTGCAAACAAATTCGCATACGTGTGCGCACATATTCGCGATAAATTTCACGACATCGCATACGTGTGCGCATATATTCGCGATAAATTTTGCGACATCGCATACGTGTGCGCATATATTCGCGATAAATTTCGCGACATCGCATACGTGTGCGCACATATTCGCGATAAATTTTGCGACATCGCATACGTGTGCGCACATATTCGCGATAAATTTTGCAACATCGCATACGTGTGCGCACATATTAGCGAATTGTTTTACGACATTGCATACGTGTGCGCACATATTCGCGATAAATTTCGCGACATCGCATACGTGTGCGCACATATTCGCGAATTGTTTCACGATATTGCATACGTGTGCGCACACATTTGCGATAAATTTCGCGACATCGCATACGTATGCGCACACGTTTGCGATATGCGATGTCCCTTCAGGGCCACCATATGATACCAATAGTGTTTTATAACTTTTATTTTGTTGTAAACTTATATGATGGAAGATATATGCAGAAGGTTGGGAATTACACGTTGCGAAAAGTTATCGCCTATTGGTAAATGTTGGTTATTAACACAACATTTAGCTTAACACACACACAAAATGACCAGAGTGGTGGTTGACCCTACGACCTTGGGAATACAGTGCCAGCGCTCATGTTGAGTCATCCAGTTTTATGTTTGTGGTCTCCTAATTAGTTTTGTTCCTTTGCTTATTGGTGCAAGTCAGGATCGGCATGACACTCAATGGATGTTATACCGAGCTGGCGAAATGACAATGGGACTCAGAGGACCGTTGGCTCTGAAACGAACCGGTGGTAAAAAGTTTTACCTAGACATTTCGGGCAGTGAATTCCGTTCATCGTCAAGATTACGTTATGGAAGAATGGAAGAAATCCATGGAAACGCTTCTGTTTTGCCAAAACCTGTTTTTGTTGACTTGAATCTGAATCTAAATCCATCTTTCCATAACATTCTCTTGAGGATGAATGGAATTAATTCACTGCCTGAAATGACAGAAGAGTTTTCATGGATTTCTTCCATTTTCTTCCACCAGGGACTGCACTTCCTTCACCACAGCGAGCTGGGAGTGCACGGTCGCCTGCGCTCCTCCAACTGTGTGGTAGACAGCCGCTTCGTCATCAAGCTAGCGGATTTCGGCTTGCTGGCCTACAGGGACCACACTTCGGCCGACGAAGGACGTGCTGAAATGACAAGTAATTTAGGACCTTGGCAATAGTATAGAATCATGCTCTTTTGCTGTTGCTTTTTGAAATGATTATTTTATCATATATCGATATGGTTTTCTGGTTTCAATTATCTAAATTCTTCCTGAAATGTGACAGTTTTCCTGAAATGGAAGGTAAGTAGGGAGATATTTTTTTGTTAAGCTTGACAACAGAAGAGTTTTGCTCTTTTCCTTTTGGCATTGGAAATGATGATTATATTGTTAATCCTAAAGTCAACCATTAAAGGTTTGTCGTTATCTTGTTTCGAGAATCTAAATATGTTTTTCTGTTTGACATTTTCAAAAGCTTGGAAATTAATATCCAGGTTTTTTCCCTCCAAAAAGTTTGGTGTTATCTGTTTCGAGAATCTAAATTTTCCTGTAAGACTTTTTCAAAAGCATGGAAAACGTCCAATTTTTTTCCTACGAAAAGTTTTGAAAGCTTCAGAATTAAGTTCCGAAATTTTGATTGGTTTCAATGGGAGACTTTTTAGACACATGGTGGCAGCAAACACACCGGTCTTTTTCTATCGATTGCGTGATTTTGACATGCGCACACTGAAAGAAGCTGTTTGCTGCCACCAATCATCTGAAAAGTCTCACATTGCTTTGGTTATCAATAATCTTCATCTCTTACTCACTTACAGAAAGTTTGTGGAAAGCGCCCGAGTACCTCCGGCAACCCAGCAAAGCACCGACTAAAGAGGGCGACATTTATGCAATCGGTATCATCATGCAGGAAGTTGTGACTAGGGGATTGCCCTTTGACCAAGAGCGACGCGCGAACATGGACATCAAAGGTGAAAATCATTATGGTGGTCGCAATGATTGTACCTTGATTTAATTTGTTTTCCCTGAATTGTTTATCTTTTAAACGAGACTCATGCATTGTGAAAAATGACAATGAAATTTAAAAAAAAGGAAAAGGAACAATTTTGTTATTGAAACTAAACTTATAGTTTTTTTCTCTTCCAAATAATACTTAAAAATTAACAATAACAATATTCATTTTCTGTGGTTCAGAATCTATGTAGCATGATTATTTCCAATCGCTGAACAGTATCAGAAATGCATATATACCCAACAAAATTAACAAGATTAACTGACATCATGCAAAATACCTTAAATACCACCATACTAGAAAAACAAGACACTTCACTACTGTTTCAACATAATATGGACGTTTTTAAAAAAAAGGAAACGTGTTTTTACGGATTTGTTTGGTAACACTGTAAATCAGGCCTCCATGCCTATTCCGTTCGCTGTTCCCAACAGTCCTTCATCAGCCTGTAATCTAACATTATTTTCCTGAAAAATGAAGTAAACAGTACGTTCTCATCCTTAAGTCTAAAAAAACCCTTAAATGTACACGAAAACAACGTTACACCAGGACATCACCACATTACACTAGGGGAGCTGTTCAAGATACCGATGTGCCTCCTTTATGATAGCGCTTCGCACGTACGCCCGCCCTGCATTCAAGGCCTAGGGCGCCGGGTACTTATCTCTGACTAACAAGATCAAAAAAATATGTCTTAAGTCAATGGTTAAATAAGTAAACATAGTAGTTTCCGGCCCACACTTTAATAATTTCAACATGTGACTTGACTTCTTAGCATGTTGAAATGTACTAACTTTCCTTGTTCTTTAGCTATTCTAGAGAAGCTGACCTCCCCGCCCCCGTCCTCCAAGCCCTTTAGACCCCAGGTCGTGTCCGGTGACTGCAGCCCACAGATGCACGCTATCATGGCCAAGTGCTGGCAGGAGGCGCCCGCCGATCGCATCAGCTCTGACGCGTTACTGTCCGAAATGAAGAAAATGTGCAAGTACGTATACGTTCCAACCGCAAGCAAGCCAGGGGAGTGACGGATATAGGACTTTTCATTGAGGGAATGGTTGGGTTGTTTTAGTCAACGCATCGATACAAGTTATAGAGACAAAAGGTCTGAAGTGATGAACCGAGATATGAAATATTGAACATTTAAGCAATGTGGTATAGCCTATTGTTTTTATCGGTTGCGCAAAAGTACGAGTATATACACAATCTTTAACTCTAAATTGAAGGGCCTGGCAGAATCCGTCCCTGTTAAAGGTTGTAGGCTATCCGAGATCACCGCCAGTGTAGTTTTTTTCTTTGCTGCGACTGTTTCGGATTTAGATTTTTATAAAATTATAAAAATCGAAATCGGCCTCAGATATATTAAGCATTTGTGTCTTTACACATTTCTAAGCCAGATATGAAGAAACTTTTGATTTTGAGGTCTAGATCAGAAGTGGCCTCCAACCCCACCGTCCCACAGCTATGTCCTTGGGTATTAAACCTCCTTGGTATGCTTGTATCGACAGGGGCGGTTCTGGCGGCATCATGGATAATCTCCTGAATCGCATGGAGGCCTACGCTAACAACCTGGAGGGTCTGGTGGAGGAGAGAACCTCAGCCTTCCTTGAGGAAAAGAAGAGGGCTGAGACGCTGCTGTATGAGGTGCTACCCAAGTACGTGGATCTACTTTCACTATAGGGCTTTACTGGTCCGACCTCAATCCTGCTTTTTCGGTATTTGTCAGTGACATGACTATAGTTTCCACTTTGCTATGAAGAGGAGGAGCTCAATAGATTTAAGAAACTACACACTAAAATATCCAGGGATCCGGCGGGTAAATCTGACCTGATACATTTCATGGTACAGAAAAAAATTGGGTTCAAAATTACACCGTGCTAAGGTTTCCAGGTCAAAATGAATTAAAATTACATGTACCAGATCAAACGGAAACCAGATTACGGGTCAAATATATGTTTCTGTTATAACAAAAGCCTATTTTGTTGTTTGTAGATCCGTCGCAGATCAGCTGAAGGTCGGCTCACCCGTCAATCCAGAGTCATATGACAGTGTCACTATCTTCTTCAGTGATATTGTCGGGTTCACTGAGCTGTCTTCTCGAAGCAACCCAATGCAGGTAGATAAAAGCCCCCCCCCCCCCAAAAAAGAGACCATCTCAAAAGGAATGATCTTAATGTTTAAACAATAATTTCTGCTCAGCATATCTAACAAATAGAGCTAAGATTTTTTGATAATTACTGTCAAAAGGATCGCGATTGAAATTAATTTTACCCTATCAATTTACATGCCATTGTACGCTGACAGGTATTTTTTCCCTCTGTATAAGGTGGTGAATCTGTTGAACGACTTGTACACGTGCTTCGATGAGACTATTGGCAATTTTGACGTCTACAAAGTAAGTAAATTGTTCAGAATGCTAACGAGAAACGGAATTATTTTAATTTGATCGAGTTTTGTTTCCCGTAATTCTGGTGCTGCTTTTGTGCACATGCGACAGTGTGTGGGAATATTAAAATAAACCAGTATCAATTCGTTTCATAGCCTTTTTCAAACTAAGTGTTAAAGTTTACATTATTGTTATTCAGATTAGTTAATTGCCCTTCATCGACGTATAAACACTGTATACTCAGTATTCATACGAATTATTTCTTTATTCTTAAACTTAAAAAAAGCTCTGAGAAACTAGTTTATTTTAATTGCAATTAAATACAGTTGTACTTAAAATTGTCCCTCGTTTTTGTCTTCAAAATGATTGTTTAGGTTGAGACCATTGGTGATGCATACATGGTGGTGTCGGGCCTGCCGATCCGTAACGGCAATGCGCATGCGTCCCACGTGGCCAACATGGCGCTGGCGTTGCTAGGCAGCGTCGGGACGTTTAAAGTTTCCCACCGTCCGGACTGGAAGCTCCGGCTGCGGGCTGGCATACACTCAGGTCAGGAAGACACCTTTACGAAATTGTCCAAACATTTTCGAGAAGAGAATTTTTTTTTTGGGGGGGGGGTTTAAAGAAAAATGCTGGTCTCTTTTTTATTTGTTTAATTAAATGTGCTACAGTGGTTTAATATATAAACTTTATCATAAATTCCTTAGGAGACGGAATGAAATTAATCATGCCAACTATATTAAATATAAGAATATGTTAATCAACGTCTTAAGAACAGAATAGTTGAGGACCGTTCGAAGGTATTCACGGCTAGCTAGCCCTAGCAAGCACGTGCCCTCGGAGGTACAAATGCAGGCTGTTAATTCAGGAAACGTCACGCTGGGAGCGCTAAGAAAGGTGTTTGTGCCCATCAGGTTGCATAATAAAGGTTTCAAATGTGCACGATCATTGTCAAAACGTGCGTACTACATAAAGTTTGTGTATATTGTGCTTTTTGGGTGTGGCACCTTGAAAATATTTTTTTTCTATCGAATTGAATGGATATTTTTTTCTAGCAGTTATGAGCTTTGCAATTAGACATTGCACGAAAACAAATCAGCCCACGACAAGTAATCAATTAATTGTTATAAGGTTATATATGCATCAGCAGTTACTTACCGTAGGAAATTATTTGGTTTTAGGCCTACATTAATTTGACAAAAATGTCAATGTTATGATTTTCTTTCTCAAGGAGCTTGTGTTGCTGGTGTAGTGGGTCTCAAGATGCCTCGCTACTGTCTCTTCGGTGATACAGTCAACACAGCGTCTAGGATGGAATCCAACGGAGAACGTAAGTAATCATTCCAAAGTTGAGACATTTTTGAGAGACAAGATCATCAGTGTGTTAAATCTAAAACCTCCATGCGCGGGTGTGTACGTTATGCTGACGGCCGGACTTTCCATGGAAGTTTTCATAGCGAAACAACAGTTTGCTACGTCTTGAAATTCGCTACAGGTACCCCAAATTTCCCTTTAGTTCTAAGTATGAACTGAACCCTGGGGGGGGGGGGGGGTCAGCAATAAAGATGATATTGATGTAAGGCCTATCTTCTTATCGAGAGGTGACGACTTTCCGCAGTCGGTTTGGTACATGTATGAAATAATAACGTGCATTGTTTAATAAAATCGTAAAAAAATAGTTCATATAATACATAACAATGACAAATTATTGTCACTGTGTTTGAAATAACATATTGTGTGACTCACACAATCATTCTCGCATAAAAATCTAATATTTTTTCTCTCTCTTTATTTTGCCGCCAAAGCTCTGAAGATTCATATCAGCGACTCAACTGCGGGCATTCTTCGTGAGGAAGACGTTTTCGACATCGAAGACCGAGGCGAAATTGAAATAAAGGTTATTTTTTCATTCATTCGTAAAAATTGTATCTGTTCTATATTAGTTGCATTTAGGTGTCTCATTAGAGAGTATGGTGTTCACAAACATACATATAATAGCTTTGAGCTATTTCCTTTAATGTTTCGCGATTTTGTATAACGTGTTCCTCCCAAAAAGTATAAAATTACTTCGCTGTCGTCAACATTTTCTGAAGCATAAACTGAATGCATTAATAATGTGACACAACGAATGACATTTTCCAACATTTATTTCTCTAATACTGTAATAGATATCTAATTAATAACAATTGTAGCAACAAGTTATTTAGGACAGCAAACGTGTGCTACTGTACAGAACGGCGATGTATACAAAGATATATGGGTCATTCTATAAATTTGGGGTCCACTTTTTTCCCGTCCCTGTTACATCTGACATCTATGATTGTATAATTCTGATGCACTCCTTAATGCAGTCATCCTCCAAGAGTGATTATGAATAGCAAACTACCTACCCAACAAATAAACAATCATTTGAAGTCACTTTTAATGATGCTTGAATGGCAAATTTAGGTAACAGGGACGGGAAATATGTCACAGTTTGGACCCCAAATTTATAGAATGACCCATATCCGTTGTCTCGTCGTGGTAAATCACATTATTCAGGCGATTGAAAGACAATGTTTTTGTTTTGACCTCACTGAGTCCGCATGTAGATGCAGCCTTCCTGTGTTCTAATTTCTTGAGCACTTCTTCAGTTGCTTAATAACTTAACATGTGGTTCAGTTACTTAATTCCTTTTTATAACATACAACGTTTTATATTCTATTTGTCAGGGGAAAGGACTACAGAAAACCTACTGGTTGATGGGACAGAAGTAGCGTCATCTACAAATAAAACACCAAGTCTGGATATGACCAACAAATTATTGCATTCATGCATATTAAGAAGTTTATTTGTTTTGTCACTACTGCCGTTTTGTGATAATTTGGTCATTGTTTCTTCTATTTCCCCCCTTATTTTCAACGATGGAAAGACGAGAGAGTTATCATCGCCTTTAAGAACGTAATCAATTTTAATGCACTTTAATTAATTATAAATAATGCCACGTGATTGTCACGTACGATTCTAAAACTACGGTAAATGTAGGCCTAGTTGTTTTATTCGCTGTTTTGTTCATACAACACGCCACGTTTAATGCATTTTAAATTGTCACACTGTAACCGCGGGTATACGTATATACTATTTATTCAAAAGCTTATATTTTACGTAAGATTTAATTTCCAGTGTTTCTATCACCAGTCCCTCACAGATGCATCAAATCGTGTCCTTTGTAAATATAACTTAAACAATGGGTGTCTTTCACATGATTTTTACAAGTAAATGTCGAAGAAATATTGTTGTAAACTTAGTTTTAGTTTTCGAAAGGGTCATTAAGCCTGCATAACATACTTTAATGGCCGCAGATGCTGTTGCCGGAAATTGAAGGTTAACAGAATAACATCAATAGTATTATTTTTTTCGATCAAACAAATATGTGAGGCCCATTTCTTTATTTCAAACAAAAATGTCGGTTAGACAAACCTGAAACGTATTGACAACTACAAAACGGTCATAGGTGAGATTCTTCCAGGAATTGTCTAGACAGAATTGATTGTAGATTGTAAAATAGCCTGAATGAGAATTTTCGTGTTTTTTCCTTTCTTTTGGGGTCAAAGGTTTATATTTGAAAAAAAAAGTGCAATGGGCAGTTTCCAGTATTTCCTTTGTAGCCATATATTTATATACGTGTACTATATAAGCCCTTAATTCAAGTTGCTTTTTCAAATTTCTTATGATGGGGACGGAGGCGCACGGGGGTGGGGGGGGGGAGGGGCCTTACTCGATCACCAAGTATCACCATAATACCAACGAGCCATAACTGTTAAAGATTTGATGTGAAAACAAAAGACACGAGGGCAAGTTTTTAACTGTATATAGTGAAGCACAATGTAATAATGTTTTTTTCCTGGCTATATTTAAACCCTTTTTTGCAATTATATACGTGCGTTCGGGTATAACAAAACAGCTGACTGTTAATGTGAGTCACATTGAGATAACAAGTGCAATGTAATATTACTCATATTTTCATTGCATGTACCTATACAGTAGGCCTACATATTTGTCTTTTCTAGCTCGTTTTTGCATGAAAGAGATGGCCAAAGCATTCGACCATTAATTTGCGCTGCCACCAAAGCACACCAAGTATTATTAGCAGCGTTCTTTCTTTGAATTGTGCTCTTGGCAAAGTCTTTGAAGTAGGACACTGTCTTTGTAAGGTACAGCATGAGACGTTCACGTTTGCAGAGCAACACTACAATTAGAGTTTAGACGTCTATCTGTTCATGTAAATTTTATGCGACCCCGCGCGCCAGCCGCCTTTAGAAGTTGTGACGTCATTTAGGGCAGACATTTGGCTAAAGCTGTTGGTCAATGGACCGATCCAGTAAACACCGCCCCATGGTGTTCTGACCAATCACAGCCGTGATTTATGTCCGACGTGCGTGCACGCGCGTATGATGCGCGCGGAAGGAAAATGCAGCGTGGCATTGGAGAGCACGTGTTAATTTGCCCACGTGTGCACTGGGCGGAGCTTACTGGATCGGTCCATTGACCTATCGCCGTTTGCGAGTTAGCCACACCCCTTAGACAATCCTATGGAGTTTTTGTACACTATTAAAGTTTCGTTTGTCTCAGATTTGGCGCGTTCTGCGTCCATTTGTATATCATGTAATTGGACAATATTTCACAAGCTGCGTTGACGCGATTCTATCGCAATTCTACCGCGATAGGTCAATTAGCTATGTTTTTCTCATACAACATCGGGTTACCAAAGATACGACAGAAGGCGCTCGCTGAATGGTCAGAATTTGGAGGTCAAGACGCAGTGTTGTTTTGCATAATCTGCACGCATATCATAGACTACTGAAATGACGGTCAAAGGAGTGGATATACGATTTATTGTCAGCACTAGGTAATTCTGCAGAAACCATAAATATTAGTTTATATGAGAGAATTATATTACAAATTATATATATATTGAGCACAAATAAAAAATAAAAAATGGTTTATATTTTGTATAATTATGTCAGCCCACTGAAGATATGAATATTTATTAAACCACGCGCACAAACAATGCTGTCCACAAAATGTGCTGCATTATTTTCGTCTAACGTTCGTGCTTTTACATTAATAATGGTGCTTTTTCAACACCAAAACTAAGTTGATTCTATTTTTTTCCCATCCGTCAACGAAAACACAGTCAGCAAAGTAAGTCGTTATACGTAGAACCACACAAAGGAGTGTCTTAATGGATGTAAAAGAAGGTCAAGAGCAGACTCTGCAGAGGGGACAGACTTTTGGATACACTTGGGTAGACACTTGGTACGTGAATAAAAACTGACCTCAATGAAGATGCTCTGCGCAAACTGTCTATTTTTGCTTTGTTTTGAAGAGGGACATTAATTCATAGGTGTAACTACTGACCAATCAGGGCACGCTATATCGTGATGAAGACCAGGGCAATAGCATTCTTTAGATAATCCCTCACGGGACATTTGCTTTGCACAACTTGATATAGCGGGCAAAATAGTTTCACCATACGACCACATACGCCGGGATTCGAAAAAAAAAATAGAAATAGGCATAGGGTTTCTTTTGGTTGTTTAAATCCGTCGCACGCGGGCCCACATCTGCATAAATATTCCTTAATAGCACTGAACTATATAGGTCTCAGGAACCGCGCCCATATACTATGTATATTGACAATATACAGTATTTGCACAATATATTGCAAAAGTATGCATTAACAAAAAAAGAGGCTGGCAGGAAAAAAGAAGCAGGTGGGGACGAGGAACTAGGTTTTTTGTTTACTTGGCCCACGTGTTGGTAGCAAAGAAATTATTTGTTTTCCTCAGCAAAAGCCTCTATTCGGTTGATCAATTTGAGGATTTCATCGGTATATATTCGATCCCTATCTTTATTAATTACCTGAACAGTGCTTCACACCCCATGCCCGCTACAATGCTACATGGAGGCCAAACTCGTCAACGACAAATCATAACGAAAGGAGACACTTGTAGTAAATTACAGTACTTTACATTAGGGAGGCACTGGTCATTACGGAGACAATTTAGAGTCTAATGTGTAACTACCATTTCTAGAACTGATTTTATTGGCACAAGTTGCTTACATGTACATGTAGGTTAGGAACAGTATTAAAGTTTTTGTACAAATGGAGTTATTGGAAGGTTTCGTTTGTGCTCAAGTTTTTTGGTAATTATTTAACCCACAATACATACTTGTGTTAATTTGTTGTCGCATAAATAATATAATGAAAAACAGATGATGTTCAAACCTTTTCAACTGTGGTTTGGTGGGCACATAAAATTGACAATCAGAAAGTGTTTACTTTTTAGATTTGGTGTGACTTAGTGATCAGCACAATTGCTAAACTGTAGAACAGTCTTAAGCAATATGCTAATCTATTACGATAACCTTGCTATGATCATTCAAACACTGTGTTTTCCACAACAATTACAAACATCTTAATTGGTAGATTAAATATTCTTAGTAAATATGAAATACGACAAATCTACAAGTACATAGGGGTATATTACAATATAAAAAATATAAGCATGCTTGTTTCTTGCTACTAAAATAAATTTCATTTTGGGGGCTTTTTTCTGTTAACTTACAATTGTACATTTCAACGTTTGCATACAGTACACTGAGAACATGCTCTATTTGGTAATACGAGATGTTTCTACAATTAATTTCCCTGATGGTAAATTGTGCCAGAAGATTCAAACAAGTGGCTTTGGAAGATTGTGTAATAAAGTTCCACTAATTGTCACATGATGTTGTTTTTTTTCCCTTGAGTTTCTCATGGAAGTTACGTGTGTTTTTGTATATAAAAAATAAAGCAGCAAAGTTGTTAAATTTCAACCCTTGCAACTTGTTTTTAAATACATGTAGACTAAATTGATGAATGTTCTCAATCATCCAGATAGTTGAATTATACACTGAAATAATACAATCTAGTCAACTGGACTTACTATTTAAACTTGCGACGGTTTCACGTCCTATCCCAGATGCTTTTTCAGGCCGACTGATCTCCACGCGGCAAATGGTTGATGACGGGGTCAAAGAACTATCAATGCAGACTATTACTGTTAACCTCCAGGATCCTTTCATTAAAACCCACTGGGGTGTTTTTGAGGAATTTTATTTTAGGATTGACAAAAGTAGAATCAGTCACTATTCACTTTGACTTCACGTCACTTAAAGTTAAGTTTAAAGATGTGTCATTCTGACAATTCATAGGGGTGGAATTTTTAGGTTTCAGGTTACGTAAAGTAACAATACAGAGAGATGTGTAACTCTTGCGGGTCTGGAGGCTTGGGTTGCAACTCTATTCAAAGGATGAAAATGGTATTCAGAATGTATCTGGATAGGTTATGTACATGGTCTGATAACGCTGTAACACTTAAATGCCTGTACTCATTGATGAGGTCAGGTTTCCAGTCTATAAAACAGTGTTTTGTGTAGTCTCCTCCACCAGTCCACTTTCATCATACCAATGCCACAAAGCCCTGCTCTCTAGCCTTGTCTATCAGCTGCTGGCTGATCAACAGGCAGGTGCTGGCTGACCAACAGGCAGGTACAGCAGTGGATACCAGGCTAGTGCTTCACCATGTACTCATTCATGATGACTGGTTTCCAGTCTAAAGGTCAGTGTAGTCTCCTCCACCAGTCCACTTTCTTTATTCTGATGCCACAAAGCCCTACTCTCTAGCCTTGTCAATCAGCTGTTGGCTGTCCAACAGGAAGGTACTGTAGTGTTTACCAGGTAGTTCCTCCACCATGTACTAATTCAACGTCTGGTTTCCAGTCTAAAGGTCAGTGTAGTCTCCTCCACCAGTCCACTTTCCTTATTCTGATGCCACAAAGCCCTGCTCTCTAGCCTTGTCAATCAGCCGCTGGCTGTCCAACAGGAAGGTACTGTAGTGTATACCGGGATGTTCTTCAACCATTCTTTCCACTGCCGTGTCACTGACCTTAACGCAGCGGATCAAGCCCAGGTACTTCAGGCTGGGACAGCGGTCCGAGACGTAGGATGCACCGTGGTCGGTGACATTGCTGCACCAGCTGACATCTAGGTGCTCCAGGAGGGCGCTGTTGTCGCCAATGCCGTACAACGCTGCAGAGTGATTGAAGGGAATTCACAAAAGTTGTAGGTGTTTTTTGGGGGTAGTTCTCAGAGCCTTTCATATACATTGTATATGGATTAGTTCATTTTCTTAATTTTGATGTTGCAACTCCACCCCGAGATCACGACCCATGATTAAAGGTAATGCATACTGTTAGCAAACCAAAACTGCCAAAATATTATGAACTATTTCAATATAGGGTTGAGCCCTTCACCAACATATCTTTTATAAACAGTGTACATGTATGCTCAGTGTTGTCCCAATGGACACTAAGGACACAAAACAGGTCAGTGAAATGATGTCTGCACGAAATGACGACAAATACAAATGGTACCCACCTTGGTCCGTGATTGTACATGAGATGAGGAAGAGTGTGGTGAGTTTCTTGCAGAGGCGGGCCACATACAGCACGCAGTCATCCCTGACGTCTCTGGACAGGCTAAGATTGAGCGTGTCCAGCAGGCTGCAGTGCCTAGCTACTTCCTGCACGGAGTCCGAGGTGAGTGTGGACAGGTTGCTCAGGTCTAGCTTCTTGAGCAGGTGCAACTGTGATTGAAAAAAAGAGGGAAAATACTATACGCACTTCCATTGTGTTACTCCTTGATGAATCCGTGAAAAACTAGTTCCCAGGTTTGGAGATGTCATAAGCAGGGCAGGGCTGGGAAAAAAATGTTGCAACCTGTCGCCACATTCGCGATAGTGTACAAAGTCTATGGAGAGTGAAGAACATTTTTGTAAGTATTCCCTAACAAAATTGGAAGGGTTTCTCAGTCCCAGATTCATGTCTTATCATCATTTTTGCAATGAATGACCTTAATTGAGATGATATATGAAGAAAAAAGTGGCGGCAGGTTGCAACGTTTTTTCCCGAGGGCTGTTTTTCGGCGGTATAGGGTTGCATAGCAATGTTTCATTGTGAATAGTATCTTTAGTAATTACAAATCTACCTTACACCTTTTGCAGATTGGTATTCCGAGCTACTCAAAACCAAAATTATCGTGAAGATTTGAATTAAGTTCAACGTTTGAAGATCGAAAGATCGACTGTTGCAGTGATTCGGAATGACTCCAAAGTCGGTCATTTGAGAATTTATACATATAAGTGATAGGATGAACTTTGTGTCACGGAGATGTAAATTTAATGTAAGGTTGTGCCCTGCACCGGCTTATTTTTATTAATTTTTTTACATATACCGGGCATATCGGGAAAAAAAAGAAAGGTTATCAGAAAATAATGTGCAAGTTGGGAATGAATTTCTTTGAACTCTCAAAGGAAAGATTTTATTTTACTGTTGACTCAGTGTCAACTCTTCCAAGATGAATGGTAAGCTTCCAACAATGGTTTGCTTTCAGGATCACGAGGATAGGGCAGTGAGTATGACCATGTACCGGGGCTGGTATGTACACTGTACAGTAACAGAGTCCAATAAATAAATGTCTCAAAAATAAGTGAAAAAAATCAGAGAAATTCCTCAAAACTTACCAACCATAATCGAATTATACAGAAACAAATATTGCGGAGTGTAAAGTTTACTAAGGTCAGTTGTGAACAATTTTTCCACAACCATTTTTTTCCGCTTGTGAAGGGAATATATTTCCTGGACATCAACAGAGGCACAATCAGTTCACGTAGGGGGAATGTTTACCTTTGCTACGTGTGCCAAACCACGGGGTCCGATGCCACAATTCTGTAAACATAGGATCTCCAGATAGTGGGAATGTGAGGCTAGAGCCTCGAGAGTAGAATCCGTTATCTATAGGGAACAAAAAGGAAAATTGAGACGAAAACTTGACGCAAATGTGCATAATTAAATATTCACATGCATGAAATTGAGCACTTTAACCCCAACTCCCCAGCCTAATTTACTAGGAACCATACCCATTCAGGCAAATTCCAACACCCACATGGGAAATCTAACACACACTGTTGGACTTAGTTTCTGGAGGTATGCCAACCCCAGTATAAAAGACCATCAGTTTAGGGGTACTGTACCTATCCCAACAGATTTATACACAAACCTGCTGTTGAACTTTGATGGGTTGTGTTCGGTTAGGGTTAATTCTGTCACACACAATTGAAGCGCAAAACCGTTTACATGAAGAAAGATTTGTTATGGTGCATAGCAACAAAATACAATATTAAGAAAATTTGAGGGTGATGCCTTTCCTGATGAGGTAAATTCTCCAATATAATCTGTACCTTGTCACTGTCCATGAACATTAGTACTTTAAGCCTTGGACAGCTCCGAGCTATGACCTGCAGGGATGTATCAGAGATGAGTGGACACTGCTTCAATCGGACTTTCTGTAAAAGCGGACAGCCCTTGGCAATCTGAAACGAGGGATAAAGCAAAAAAACAAACAGTCACAAAGACTTCCAAGAAAGCAACCACAGTCTTGAAAATCATACAGATGGGAACTAACAGCCTATAGGTCTCTCTCAAAGACAGCCATCCCTGTAGGAGAACTGCAACTGCATATTTTATACAATCAAGCACGCATTGCGCAGTGTTGAGATTGTTCCAAACACATGCGCTTGTTGCTCGAAATGTGTTCGAAATACGACGCAGCCGTTGCGAGTTATGCAAGTTGACGCTCAAAATGCCGATGCACGTGGCTGGTCAGTAGGAAATGACGTCATCTGAGAGAGACCTATTGGACACAAGGCACAATAGACAGGTCCATTGTTGGTCTTAGGATTTAAGCAATAGAAGAGATGTATGAGAGGTCACTACAAACCGACTGGAGTGCATGGTCAGTGAGTCCGGAGCAACCTGTTACATCAATGTGAGTCAAATTAGCACAGTGGTTGGCTATCGACAGAAACGCTCGGTCTGTTAGCTGGGAACACCTGGGGAGAAAAAAATGAACAAAACTTTTCAAATAAAGCTTTGTGCAAACAAGTCAATGAAAGCGATTTTTTTTTGCACCAGGGAGATACATTTACAAGTTGTGTGAGACTGAATGCAGTTTGCATTACAACAAACTACGGGGTGAAATAAATGTATGTGAGTGGAGTGCCTTCTTTTAGTCTTTGTATGGGCATTCGTCCATGGCGCAATGGTTTTCTCTTTGCCACTGCTGATTGGGTACTTCTTTATGAAATACATAACAATTGAATCAATGACACAATGTTGTACCACAATAACAAATTAGAATCAGAGGAACAAACAGTTTGATTAGGTCAAAAGAGCATATCTATTGTTTGAACCCAGAAGATATGTAATTCAGATACTTCAACAAATACCTTTACTCTTACATAAATTATAACCAAATTTCATTAATTAATACCTGATAAGGAACAAATCCCGCAGCATCTTGCAATGTACCAGCGCTTTCTCTAACCCTTCGTCTGTGATTCGCAGGCAGTCCGACAAATCCAGAAGGCCCACGCTGCAATGGCGCGAGCACAACTCGACCAGGTCCCCGTCGGTCACGTTGGGGTGGTCGCGGAACCGCATCTGGTGCCACAGAGTCCAGAAATGCGACACGCGATGCCAGTGTTTGCAGACAAAGGCAGCAGTGCGCAGCAGCTCAGGGACAGTCAAGAAGGAGAAGACGTGGGCTAGGAGTTGCGGAGGAAGTCGGTTCAAGTGGAGCTTTGACGTAGAGAAGTATTCGTCGATGTCTTCCAAGTTGTCGTCTGTACGTGCTTCGCCATGTCCAAGATCACAAACAGAGCCATCTTGTCTATTAGTTAACGGAACAGCTTCATCCAACGTGCACAGCAACTGATGTTCTTCTTCAAAGGATCTCTCATTAAGCATGTAAGTTACTTCAGATAGCATCTCTGCGCATGAACCCGAAAGCCCACCGCTTATCCCTGTTCTGCCTGAAGAGTTTTCCTCTTGCGAGCCAGAGGTAGAACATTCCCCGGTATCCAGAGGCCTGATTTCCTGACCGGTAACCTGACTGATGACATCAGTGAAGACATTCTGGTCTTCCTCGTAGCTAGCGGCGCTAGATTCTTCCGGGCCACTCTTATCAGAAATGTGAAACCACCGTTTCATCAAGCCCTGGCAGAACTTGAAGCTCTTTCTGGGCCCGTTCTCGCCAAGCAAATTCTCTGTGGAGCTGGACAACACTCTCTTCTTGCAGAGTTTGAACTGGGACCTGAGAGGGCAGGCTTTATGCTTGTGCTGTTTCGTTCTATTTGACAGTGTCGGTGGTTCATGGTCTTCGGGCAGAGGCGAATCCCTGATATGAGGTTCTTGGACATCAGCCGTCGATGAATCCTGCCCATCCCCTGATGAGTAACTCGTACCAGGTTGATTCTGGTTACCATGACGACTAGGATTCGCCTCATTCTCTGACCCATTGGGGACAATGTCCTCTTCCTCGCAATTGATTAATTTATCCTCCATGTTGCCTGGTAATCAATCGTTCAATTTGGTTTTAAGCTGTTGAAAAATAAAAGAGAAATTCCAATTAAAAGCTGCATTTCTTTTTTACATTTCAAATAATAATAAAAGACTTTGACACCTTTCTAAATATGGTCAGGGATTTTGAAGAAAATGGCACGATCGATGAAAGCTACAACCAACAAGAACATTCCCAATATTCACATCTCATTTTGGGAAAGAATTCCATACTATGGACATCACTGATTTTTTATTGAAGTATTTACAAAGAAAACACTTAGAAATTTTCAGACCAGTCTCATTTGGTTTGAGCACAGGGTGTCAAGTGATATCCAGGTTTAGAACTCTATCCTTGTTTTGTCATACATTTACGTGTAAAGGCAGTAAAGCTGTTAAAACACATTTTTGTTTATGTTAATATAAATTACAAATGTATAATATCAACACACGGAATCAACTGCCTATTTCAAAGAGTTATGATGATGTCTGGAAAGTTTTGGGCAAAACAGGACACAATACTATTATATAAATACTGATCCACTCATTGTTCACAATTGTCCAAATTTATTGATATTTACATGTGAATATCCACAGTATACACAGAGTAAGGAACACAATGTACATGTAGGCCTAGGCCTGTGTATAGTTGATACATCCAGTCAGACTCAGCTCAGTGAGTTAGTTTTCCACCTCGAAATTTGACAAATATCGATACATGTTGTGCCATTAATTTGCGATGGGGTTTGTCCACACATTATCATTAATATAATAGGGTCTTAGGGGTATCAAAACAAAGTCTCAACTCATGTCAATATTATTAACAACAAACCATAATTTACAGCCTTTCCCACGCTGATGACATGGATGATGATCGATGCCCAAAAATGTTTTACTAAAATAGTCAAGAGAGGGCGCTGTCCATTATAGTTGTACGCGAAAACATACTGTATGGCAACGATCACCCGCCTCTACCCATTTCCTTGAAAGTCGCCCAGCTGAAGCAGGAACATTTCAGTATCTTTACTAATGGGTAAATGACAACAGTGACGGTAGTATCAGTATGATATTTAATTCATAGCTGTACCTATTTTATCAGAGACAGAAAGCGGACATAGACTATAATTTTAACTTCATGGCTTCGCCGCAGTTCAGTTTTCATGTGTAGAATGTTTTTACAACCTCTTTCCTAAAGAGCCAAAGTCGAACGTGAACATTCATTTTTGCATTTACTTTAGACCTGCGAAGGAGGTTGAGCTGAATAACTCGGCTGAATGCATGCTGTTCACCGCAGCAGCTAGCTCAGCGCACTTCCTGGTTCAAGCTTATTTTTTTGTGGTTCAAGTGTAGTTCAAAAGTAACTGAAAATTCTGGAATTTTGTAATTGTTTTTCAACTGTGAAATTGAATTCTTTAAGCTGGACCTCAAAATGTGAGCTTCTTGTAATCTTGATATAATACATTTGCTTGTGTTGTGGATTACGGAAAATTGAAAGAGAAAAGCGATGTCTGTGAATGAACTCCGGGCAAAATTTGGCGCACCACCGCCATTGCCGGGGCCTCGAGTGAAGTCCTCCGTGGTAACAACACCTGCTCCAGGCCCAGCCTTGCCCCCTCCAAATCCTGGCACTGGCAGCGGGAATAGCCGACCAACCCCGCCGGATATTAAAAAGCTTCCACCCAAACTTGGCACCAGCAAATTTTCATTCGGTAACTCAAAGGGGCAGGCCGAAGAGACGGTGAAAGAAGATCCAGCTTTAACGGAAGACTTTTACCTGCAAGCTGATGAGGCAAGGGGGGCAACGTCTCCAAAGTCTGCAAACTTTGTCAGCCCTGCTCCCAGCCCCAGCCCCAACCCCACCCCCGGCCCCCGGCTTCCTCCTCCGCGAAAGCTCAGTGCTAAAACTATACCGGTAGCAAGTCCTCTTCATCGGACACCATCTCACTCATCGGCCGAGGCCAGGTTCAACGGCCGTGGTGGTGGGAGTGGGGATGGAGTGTTTTCCAGGAGTCCAGCGGCAAGCAGCCCGAAAGAGTCGAGCAATGCTAGTCTTGAATTTCAGTACTATGCAAGTGAAGATGTTGTGAATCCGCTGTTTTGGGAGGGTACACATGATGTTGAGGAGGTATGTGTACAAGATTGCTTTTATTTATATTTATTTGTTGTTTTTATTATTTATTTATTTGTGTTTTATATTTTATTTTACTTTATTGCATGTTTTGCATACAGCAAGCAGTGTAAACAGGCAACTCATATACTGATAGGCCTACACAAGTCATGTTAACAGTACGTGTACATGTATGCCTCAACTGTTCGTATCGGCCCAACTAGGCCATTTTTATAGTTGGGGCGTAAACCTATGTAACACACAGGTGTTACGCCCCAACTGTAACATCGTTGGTATGTCTTAAACTATCCAACGTATGCTGATGGTCTAACATTACTACAGTTACAAAAATACACAGCGTAGGCCTATACAGCCTACAGGTAATTACATTAACTTGATTTTGAGTTTCCTGGATGTCGTTATTCAACAATGTGAGAGTGAAATGATACAATTCAAAAAATATTGTAAGCGAGGCTTCGCCTTGGCTGCTACGCGGTGGATCACCCACGTTCATGTATGTTCACAACTTACATGTAGGCTAAAATAAAACATTTCAGGCACTAGTAAAAACCTGTCACAACTCATCTTGTTTTTTCGACCAAAACCACGATGTTGAAAGCGTGAACAAATTAGTGACAGTTTCACTTTCACAAACATCGGGGAAAAACTATAAAACCAAATACACACAGAGCATTTGGACAACTTTATGACTGCAAAGAGTGGTTACTGAAACAGGCTTTGCCATACATGCCAATAACTTCAGCAAATTATTCGGTCAAATTTTACAGCTTTCTGTTTCTACTTAAGAAAATTGTAGTATCATCGCACCTAGCCCGACTGCGTCTGGTATGAGTTGCTCTACGACTAAGAACCTTAACTTTGGAAATTTTTGTCCTGGATGAAAAGATAATCTCGATCAAAATCTGTAGCAAAATCGCTACATCAGAGTGAAAAAAAATTCAGTCTGTGGGGAAGCATTGAGCGTCTGGCCGTACTACAGAGCTTGCGATAGTACTGTACGGCCAGACGCAGTCGGGCTACATCGCGCCTTACATACATGTAGCAATGATAGTCAGTTGTTGGAAAAAAAAAAGGAATTTTGGACTGAGAAATCTTTCATACTTTGTCAGAAAAATTCTTTCCACCATACACATACATGTACAAATGTACGTACATGTCCATTTGCACACAGCGTATGTACACTTCAATGAAATGTAGTCCATGGATTTTGCACACACACACACAGATTGGACAAGGAAGTTGGCAGTTACCAAAACAAATGTATGTGAATTATGATGAAAGGTCAAGTACACTGTACATGTACATTAACTTCCTCATTCTTAACAAATAAAAGGATCAATTGGCCATATCAAATAACCATGTTCAGTTTACACGGATAATGTAGAACGTAGAAGTGTTTATAACTTTTTGCAGATGCAGCTTCACATACATGTACATGTAGCCTTTACAAATAATTACATACATGTGTACATGTAGAATCAATAATCATTCAAGCATTTGTACCACGTAGTACATGTACATGTAATTGTTCATGTACGCATGACATGGATTGAAAAAATATTAACCCTAACCCACCTCACTCCTCCAAAATCCTCCTGGCGGTTTTGGAGGATTCTAGAGGATTGAGGATGAATGGTGATTGAATCAAATGAGGATTCTGGAGGATTGAGGATGAATGGTGATTGAAGCACATGAGGATTTTGGAGGATTGAGGATGAATGGTGAATGAAGCACAAGAGGATTTTGGAGGATTGAGGATGAATGCATTTTGAGGCAGGACTGTCTGATGATTTTGAAGGATTTGGCGTTGGTTATCCTTCATTTAAACACGAGTGCAAAGTTTTGGGATGAGGAGGATTTTGGAGGATTGAGGATGAATGCATTTTGAGGCAGGACTGTCTGACAATTTTGAAAAATTTTGGCGGAGTTGAAAAATTTTGGAGGATTTTGGAGGATTGAGGATGGTTGTAAGCAACAAAGGCCTAGGGGGTTAGGGTTAATGTGTCTTGTTTTACCACAATAAATGTGACCACATACATGTAGGCCTACTGGTAATGTAGGCCAGGAAAAATAGTGTGTTTTTTTAAATTGAAAGAAACAATATGGTGGGTGGGAACACCTTTTTTTTTTGGCTTTTAAATTTTTTTTAGCCAGAAAAAAAATGATTTAATTAATTTTTTTTGTTTTTGCATGCATTCATTAATATGTGAATCAACTGTTATTCCGCGTTTGCTGCGCTGTTTATCATAGGTTTCGCTGCATATTGCGATATTGCGATTTAAATGATATAAACATTTCCCCCCAAAAAAGAAATAAACATTTCAAAAAGTGTAAGACAGTGTCTGCAAAAAGTCGGATGGGGCAGCACCATAAGGTTTCTTTCACCCCACCAAGTAGTAAATCAAGCACGTGTGTAAATTTTTTTTTCCAAAAATAAAAGATAAAAAACCCAAAAAGTTATGGGCCTTACGCATGTGAAGGGTGCACATGTTTCAAAGAGGTACATGTACATGAGGTGCTTGGTCTTCCATTAATTAAATGAATACGTTCCAAGCATACGGTCATGGAATGGCGTCCTGAAGTACCTGGTACCATAACTTTTTACTTCTGTCATTTCAGTCATCTTGAGACTGCATGTGTCATCAGAAAACCATAGCAACAGAACCCTTGAAAAAAAAAAAACCTTCTCTTGAAATATCACGGGCCTTCATAAATGTGTGGTTTTGAGCAAGCTGTCTCCAATAGTTGCAATTCATGGAAAATGTGGCCGTCTGAACAAATGGTGGTCAAAGTTTACGAACAAGAGAATTTGTTTTATTGTAGTTTTCTGTAACGTGAACGAATATGAGTTATGACAACACACAATGTACATGTATGACATTTGATGTGTAGTTGGAACTGCAATTTTTGTCCAACCAGCAGTCTAGAGCCGTAGAGGTACAATGTACTGAACATGCATAACTTACTTTGTGCTTCAGGTTCTGTGTATTCATTCAACCATAGAGCTAGGACCTAGCTCTATGATTCAACAAACATGACAAAAGGAAAGCTCACACTGCTACATGTACATGTATTCAGATCCGGTCATGCGTAGTGAGTTCGGTTGGCACCTGTTCAATACAATAATTGCATCGCTAACAGGGGCCCAGGAGCCAAAGTTTAAGGCTAAGTTATTGGTCCACTTTGTACACATTTAATTTTACACCAGGGCTATGCATGTATTGCAAATATTTCAGTATTTGATCATTTGAATGACTTGGACTTGTGTTGATCAAAGTGTATCAAATGTGCTGATCAAGTTTAACATGTGCCATTCTAAATTGGCCACCGATTGGGATTTACATGCTCATGCAGTTGCTGAAAATCGACAAAGATGTAAAAAAATAATGCATGGCTGATATTTGACCTACATGTACACATGTAGGCCCCTATTAAATGTGAAATTTGTGTTACATACATGTACATGTATTTGTTCCTTGCTCGTGGCATGTACATGTACATGTGCAAAAGTGGATTTCACCTTGAAACATGCCAAAAGTGTGGCATTTGACAATTTATGATGAAACCACACAATTTATAGGATTTAAACTTGAACAGTGTTGTTTTTCATCATCTCCAGATTTCTCACATTTAAATAAACATTTAAATTAAGAAAAAGAAAAAGAAACTCTTCGGATATTCAGTTGATGAACAAGTACATCCAAAATGTACATAGTCCATGCTGCTGTGTAGGCCTACATGTACCGGTACATGTACTTTTGTGGTTATTTTGTGGGTTTTTTTGCGTGCAGTTGTAGGCCTAGGCCTATGTCATGTCTGTAGGGGGCCTGCTGGTACTTGGCTTCTTGTGTCAACAGTTGAAACAGAGGTGAACCATTTTTGATTGCATTATGATTCATTACACATGTAAAGTTACCCCTTCAAACAGGAAATCGCCAATTTCCTTCGGTCTTTTTTAAAGGTGAATCCAACAGCTGGTTCAGAGAGTTTTTTTTCCGTTGCCTCTAAATGCACGTCATTTACAAGTTGCTGGGGTTTTATTGACATTGGATTCACATTTTTTTTTTTTTAACACACAATATTTTACCCCAAGCCCCTCTCCCCCAAATGCTTCTTTCCGGGCGCCGGAGGTAACCTGACCGACCCTAAACATTTAGATGCAAATACATATATATGCAGTTGAATTTTTTCAATTTTTTTTTGGAAATTTAAAGTTTGTTTTTGTTTATTTTTATTATTAGGTTTTTACCTCTCACCAAGGTTTCTCAGGGCCCTGAGTGAAAGTGAGAAAAAAATCAATCCGGTGGGGCTTGAACCCACGACCCCCTGCTTTCTAGTGCAGACGTCTTACCACTCGACCACCGAGCTTGCAGGGATTGGCTGGCTGGTTCCAATCAGATTCAAAACCGACCAGCCGATCCCGGCAAGCTAAAAGAATATGAAACTGATGAAACACACACGCACACATCACTTAATTAACCGGCTGACATGACTTACACTTGTATTCCTCAATTTGATAGAGCAATCAATTTGATTTCATAGGCTTACACATATGTATGTATGCAGGATTTTGCTGATGGATGGGTGGGGGCAGCTCACAATCTAGCAGATGCCAATTAAGTGAACAGCTGTGAAACACCTATTTTTTATTAGTTCTCAAATACCCCACTGATATGTAACGCATACAATGACATACTGTTCAAGTAAACAGTAAAACAAAACAGTTCATATTCATCAAAACGTACCTGTGTACTTACCTGCTGTCTACCATGATCATTGGTAAAGCCAGTGGTCTCATATGGATCCATGGAAATGTGTTGTGATCAGCTGGTTATTAATTATAAAGAAACAGTGCTCTGTAAGGCTGGTTCAAACACAAACACACACCTTTTGATACAATTTAAGCTCATCCCGACTGAGACAGTAATCGTCCAACTTCCTGTGATACTTCGTACATCTGTGCTTGCTCGTCTAACGCTTGACCTCAGAAGTTTCTCCAAGGGTAACTGATTCATTCTTGATGCCCGTGTACTTCCCCAGAACCGTTTCCCCTCACCCCACCCTTTCTGTGGTGCGCTTGATTGCTTGTCCCCCTTCCCAGAAAGGAATGGTACAGGCCCCCGTCTGCGTAAACATACGTGTGTATGTGTAGCTAGCTGCACTAACCACTGTGGAAATCGCCCATTAAGTCCAGTAGCTCCACCAGAATCTGTGCGTCTAGTCGCTAGTTCTCCTTGCTCCGTGCCAAGTAAACTCTATAAGCTTTCGTTGAAGACGACCAGACTATATGGAAGTATGAGCAAACCTGTGTTGCACGTCCACCCCCAAACCGCCTTCAACCGGGAAGTGCGGACATTTAGTAACACGGCCATAAAATGGAACCGGACGGTGAGTTATACACAAATACAACTCGTAATCGGGACCAACTTGGGAGCAGTTTTTCGCATTCATGCACCGGTATTCAGCAGAAGCATGACGGACTTCTGAGGCTACTGTACAGTGTCAGTACGTGTACAACTTAAGTTCACTAAGGCCTTTTTATTCAGCTGTGCTGTGCAGAAACTACCGAATGTCTGAATATTCAATCATATCAACCGAATATCCAAATAGTATTTTACCAAAGAGAAATATTCGAAAAATGTGACCCATCTTGAAAAGATGACAGGAACATCCCTGATGTAAATTTACATTGTACATGTACTCATATTTGTTGAGTGGTTTTATATGTGTATCTTTTAAATCTGTCAAATGTCAGCTGGTAGTCAGCTTTCTCATAAAAATATATCGATACATGCACAATAGTCATAAACAAGTTTTAACCTCAATGTCGATGTTTAAGTATTTGAATATTTGAATAAATCCAAGTTCCACCAATACTCAATTATTCAAAAGTATTCATATAGGCCTACTACATTGTATGTACTCGTGTTGAAAATTAAGTCTGCTGCAAGCAGACCAAGTCAGATTGAGCAGGGGCCACCAACGCATACAAGTATTTGTAAACAGGACCAACAGGACCAACATACATGTACAGTACACTTTGGATTTTTACAGCCATGTGGGTAGATCCTCTCAGCCTCAAACCAGGGCTGAATTTTTAACCTGTGTACAGCACCAGACCTGTGCATGAATTCTTGCTACATTTAGTGAGAAAGTTTCCAAAGTTCTTTGGCTGAAGTTACTCTTTATTTGATGAACAATTTTTTCAGTAAAAATTTCTACTTTTTTGTGTGCAACTGGAGAAGAAAAAGCTGCATTTATAGGAAAAAGCTGCTCAGCCAATCATCCTCATTGATCTTAGGTGCTCAGGAACTGAGTACATTCGTCATAACTCTGAAGAAATGTACAGAAATAGTAAAAGTTTCATAGAACATTTATACATGGACTGCACCATGTACATTGTACATGTCATAAACAGTGGAAGTATGCGTCATACTCAAGGGTCTAAAAATAAAACAATTAAGTCCCTCTAGAGCTGAGTTGTGACTTTCCTTCAGACATGTCAGACCATGCATGTATTTTTTCCAGAGCTACATGTACCATACACGTATACTATGTGCATGAATTGTGTGTACATGTACATGAGCTTGAATCTCTGATTGTGAACTTTAACCACCTTTCTAGCTGATTCATTTAAGTATCAGATGAGAAAGTAAAAGTTGTAATTTTTATTAACTGTAGAGCGTGCATACCGTTACATGTATACATGTACTACACGTACCGATACCTTTGTATGATTATCTCTCCCACAAGAACATTTAGACAGGTATTCAGTATATCAGTACGTACAGCACATGTATACGTGTGACATGCTCAGTCATAGTTCTCTGTCAAGAGAAATGAAATACAGATCAGTTCAGCGATGCAGTTCTCTGACTTTCCTGACTTTGGACAATTTTGGGTAAAAAGTTTACCAAAGTTAAATTTGTATACCAGGATTCATGAAAACAGCTGAATCACTTTTGAGATTGCAAATGTGAACATGAATAATACCACGGCAAGCATATAACACAGCATGAGTTTTGTAAAAAAAAATCGAGCGCTTTTTACGACTCTCAAATTTGGCTGTGAAGACATTGTGATGTCAAACGATCTTCACATTCTCTAACATGAATGGCTTTATATACATTGTGTAATTCTAACATTATCGCCGACAGGTGCGGGGAGCCAGTCGCATGGGCTTCGGCACGGACCTGCAGGACAAGACCGCCCATGACATCATCCTGAAACTGAACGACCAGGAGCTGAAGCTGATGGAGACTCTCAAGCGTGTGGTCCAACACAAGATCAAAGCGGACAAGGAGTACGCCACCTCACTTGGACTCATCGGCGGGCTGGCCAACCGGTTTGAAGAGGATTCACAGATTCAACACAAAGGCTTTGCGGTCAAGGTGAGGCTTGAATTGAAGGGACGTTGGTCATCAGGCTGTCTTGGACACACGCTGGACACAAAAACCATTACTGTTCATTGTTTGGAGAAATCGGAGAATTCAAAATCCGGTTTTTTTTTCCCCTCCAAACTGGATAACAGTTACCGGTATCCAATTTTCTTTAGCTTGTGTCACAAAAAAGAATGGCTTGATTTTTTTTAAGGATGGTTTTGACTTTTGAATACGTGGTTTCCAAATTCGAAAGTGAATAGTGGAATTCAAATCAAATTTGTAAAAATCCCGATTTTAATCCCACCACTACCGGTTCAATAGACCCCTTGTCTATAACATCACATCTGAGGGCAGCTCTTTGCTCCTGTGTATGCATGAGTACACACATTGTGAATTCATTGCACTGAATTTAAATGACAAACCGCTCCTTAGTGAGGGCGCACCATGCAACGGGTCTATCAGCAAGATGCAGTTTACATTGTTTCTTTAAGCCAAATTTTGCCTCAAGAAATGTATAGGTTTTGAGCAACTCTTAAAGCTTTTATCTCGCCAGAAAAAAGGTCATATACCCGGTACATGTAGTCATGTACTGTTTTTTGAGAATCACTATGGATGCATACCGGTATTTATGGTTCACACAAGATCCTTGCACTTATCATGGAGATGGATGTTTAGTGTTAACAATGAAGGGAAATTATGTTTCTCGTTTTTTTTTTTTTAGTTTTTAATAATCCATTGTTGATTTTAGAATACAAGACAAGGACGATGAAAGTAAATGTGTGGCAATGATTATTAACTCTTCACTGACAGGGGGCAAATTGTGTTTCTAGTTTTAAAAATCCCCTGTTTTAAAAATACCAATTGATGTTGAAGTTGAACAAAGAAATGGACTGGAATCCTCTACCACTGAGATTTCAAGCCCTATGTTAACAGATCCCTATTACCAGTAGGTTTAAAGGTATATCTGTATACATGTTTATGTACGCACCTTCTCAAATTTCCCTTTCAACTGTCTTAATTGAACGTTGTGTAAATAGATTGCTAGACAAGAAAATGAAAGTACTTTTGAGGCAGTAGTTAACATTTGTGTGGATTCTTGCAGTTATCTTAGATTCAGGTACCTAACAATTTGACCTTGCTCGGTTGTGATACATCTTATATCCTCTCCACCATTCTCGTACTCACCTTCATCAGGCATGGAGCAACATCATCAAGGAAACCGACTCAGTGAGTAAACTGATCCGACAACACGCCGACGAGATGAACACTGCGATCGTGGACAAGCTGAGCAACATGATCAAGGAAAAGATGGACCTGAAGAAGCAGTACATGCAAGAACGGACAAAGATCGACATGGATTACATGAAAGTAAGACAAACTATTAACTAATAACTGTTGACGCAAAAGGCCTCTGCCCTCCTCACATTATTGTCTCACACTACCTGTTTTGAAATCAATGGTCAGCAGAACCTGATCGGGGCCAAAAGTGTCTAACACTAACAGGCATACTGTTCACAGTAACAGCGATTTGAATGGAGGTCAGATTTTTAAGATTTTGGAATGTTTACCTTTCAACCCTGGTCACGGTGAAGGCAGTATTTTACTTGTGTAGAGCATAGAAGCCATGCAAAAGCTGTGCTGGATTCTTGCTAGTGTGAAAGGTTTGCCAAAGTCTCAGGTTTCGACCCTGGTCCAATAAAGATTTCAGAAAGTTTGAAAAGCCTGAAATTGGTCCAAACCTTCCCACATGTACATGTCCTAAATCCCTGAAATCAAACACTGCGCAGGAGTTCATCAGCCACACATTTTTATACATTTAATTCAAGAGGTATCAACGCTGTGTATGTGTAGAGTTGTTGTTAGGCTTGGTACATTGTAAATTCTGCTAAATTCTCTGATATACACTGATGTAAAATTACGACATTATTGTACATGTATCCTGTTGTGTAGTGCAAACAGAATTGACAGGTTTGAAGATTACGTTTTCAGTTTTTAAGTTTTCAGTATCAGTTGCTGACTATGTATGAAAAGGTAACAACACAAGGAAAATGAAAGTAAACTTAAGGCATCGGTTTCCAATACTTTAATTAATTATAAAGAGTAGGCCTAAATTATAAAATTGGATCAAATCTTTTTGTTCGATGTGTACGTTGTAAATGTATGTACATATAGCTTTATTCTGCTTTTCCGCTAGATGTCTCAAGAAAAGTAAAAGCAGGCCTATATAATAGGAAACAAGGCCAGCTGTGCAGACGATGTACAGATGCGGTACATGTATTAAAAAGTGCGGAGTTATTTCCTAAGGGATTCTGTAATTTTTGTATTGCGGTCATCGGGACTAGCGAAGCCTGAAATCTGAACCAGGCTTGGACGATTATCTTGAAGGCTGGGATGAGCAAATTTTCAGTTTGAGACTCACAAGGACACAAGTTGAAGGATTTCCTAAAATCCCTTCTCATTTGGTTTTCTTAAGTCTTGCAGCATTAGACTTTATGTCATGAAGGATTGTATTTGTAGTCCATAGAGGTTTTCCAAACCACGGGTTTGCCTCCAGCTTCAGCTACTTCTCTGGAGCCAGAAGCAAAATTGTGTGCTGCAATGCCCATTGAAAATCTCGCTAATTGCAACTTTTAGTTTTGGGGTTTCAGGAGCTTCAGCGCTTGCGATCTCGTTATTTCTTAAACAGCATTTCCAATAAGGTACTGGTATCAAATTCAACCAGAAAGTTACCGTGACAAAACGTGTATTTTGGATTTTTTTCAGCGAGAAATATCCAAACAAGGATGATTAAAAAACTGCTCAGTTTCTTTTGTGCCAGGTGTACTGTACATGCATAAGTACATACATACATCATGGAGAAATGCATACATGTACATGTACATGTACATGTATGTATATACATTGTACCTTTGTACATTTGTACACAATGTATACAGTACAATGTATACAAGCAATTGAACTGCTTGTACAATGTACAAAAATGTACATGTACTTTTAGGGTCTCTAACCTGTATATTGAAACACCTGTCTAATTATAGACAGAGTAAAGACATGTAAGACTTGAGTTGTGTCTAATTGTATTAATCCATCCATCCTGTTGAAGTTTACACGTAGTAAATTAAATGTGTGTAATCATTTCCATTGTGACTTTGCTGTCTCTCAGGTCAAAGGAGAAGTCAAAGACAGCTTAGCGCGGTATCAGAAAGCAGCCAAGGAAGCGAAGGATGCAAAGGCCAAATACGAAGAGAGCATCATTAAAGGTCAGAAATGACGTCATTCACGATTTTTTTTTTTTTTTGGCACGATTTCAAGTTTCTAGCGCTCACTTTAGCAAAGTGTATAGAGCGACTTAACCACAAGTTGCAGAAAATTGTCCTTTTTAATTAATTTGTTCCTGTTACTAATTCTTCCTGCTCTCTGTTATATTTTCCCCGCTATATTTATGTTACTGTCAATACAAAACTCTCATAACAGTCCTTCTAGCTTTTTGTCAACATGAACTATTCTGTTCATATTCTTTGAGGTATTTTTCAGCCTTATTCCACGGCAATGAAAGTAGCGCACTCGGCAAAACGTCCCATGGAAAGCCTTAAGATAATTATAAACATAGAACAAAACGAAAATTACTAAAGTGGTTAATTAGCAGACATCTTGCCATTTTTTAATGTTAAATTTTGCATCGAACACGTTGAAGGAAACGAGAAGAACCATCTAGTTTGTTCTGTCATCATACCCATAAAATGAGTGAGGAAAAAAACCAAGGTTACATCTTCATACAAAACTGTAACTTGTAAGGGCATGGTTTATTACAGATAACAGATTTTCATTTTTTTGTTGGTTAATTTCAAACTGTACATGGACCTTTGTGTATAATGCACATACACTTTTCCAACCAACATTGTCTGTTGGAAGAGCATAGGTACATGTACATGTATGTTAAGATGGCAAACATTTCTTTGTAAATGCCAGTTCACACTTCTAGCTGATGCAAATTCCACGTCACAAAATATTTGCTGTGAAATTCGCCGGGATTAAAATATGTCCAGCTTCTTCGAATTTGCTGCGTGAGTAATTGACATGGCGTCACAAATTCGCTTCAGTGTTTGCTTTTGCGCTGAGTATAAACCGGCCTTAAAACTTTGTTTAAAAAACAAACAAACAAACAAACAAAGAGTGTAATCTTAGTCCTATTTGGGGTATCTTATAATGCCATGTACAGCCAAGCCTAAAGACATTGACAAAGCCAAAGATCGCTACAAGAAGACAGTACTGAAGGTCCACAAGTGCCACAACGAGTACGTCCTAGCGCTGAAGGCAGCCACACTGCACCAGGAGCATTACAGGACTAGTATCCTGCCTCGACTACTGGAATGTTTGCAGCAGTCGCAGGAGAGTCAGATAGCTCAGGTGTAAGTTGGTGTCCCTTTTTTATCACGGTGGGGTGGGGGAGGGAGGAGGGGGGAGGGCAAGGCAGTTACTTTGTACACTGCACCAGGAGCATTACGGGACTGCATTACAGGACTAGCATCCTGACTCGACTACTGGAATGCCTGCGGCAGTTGCCATGGTTGCAAGAGAGTCAGATAACTCAGGTGTAAGTTGACTTTCCTTTTATGTAACAGTGATATAGCCAGAGGGGTATTGAGGTTCTTTTAGCCACCCTTTACATGCAGATGGAATTTTCACGTCGTCACAATCACTGCATTGTTATCCGTACACCAAATTTCTTGGCACATTTGGATGTCTAATGGGGAAAAATCCAGACCATGCTTATTCATTTTCTAATCGTAATTTTGCATTTGAGTATGGTATTAGTGTTTGATAATTCATATTTACATGCATCCATTGACTACATTGTTATTTTGACCATTCTTTGCACATGGAAATATCACTAGAATTAGTTGAACTCAAAACTATTTTTTTACATATTTTACTTTTCTTCTCCTGGTTCTTTTTTTTTTTACAGCAAACAGACAATGTCTGACCTTGCAAACCTGTCCAGTACCTGCACAGGAGATTTTGTGGCCAGTCAAAACGCCGTCATGAGGAGTATCGCCGACCTCCGCCCAGACAGAGAGTACTCCAACTTCGTGGAGAATCACAAGTAAGATTGATCTGGAATTAACCTATCGCGGTAGAATCTTGTCAACTCAGCTTGTGAAATATTGTCCAATTACATGATAGACAAATGGACGCGGAACGCGCAAAATCTGAGACAAACAAAAGTTAACATACAAAATTCCATAGGGTTGTCTAAGGGGCGTGGCTAACTCGCAAATGGCGATATGTTAATTAAAAACGTAGCCAATATTTTGGTTCACGATGCTGTGCTTTGAGGATGAAATGAGACAGAAACCCAAAACAGCCCACATGACTTCAGCGTTGTTGTAATTGAGTCCATCACGAATCTGTCCAAAAGTAGAACCAGAAGTGCTTTCACAAGTCAAATCATAAGTAACCAGAGGATGAACAATTTCAAAAGCTTGTGACTTGTGATGGACTTGTGATGGACTTGTGATGGACTTGTGATGAACTTGTGGGGACTTGCAATTGACTCAACATTTTTAGTAGGGTTAAAAAAGAAGAGAAACATTTTTTTGAGATATTAAGAAATACCTACATGTACAGGCACAAAATATGAAAACAGTCCTCATCGCTTGTACATGTAACTCAATTGCTATGGGGAAAACATTTCCTTAACTAGACAGAATAAAAACAATGCACAACTATTGTCAAGATGATGTGTTGGTCGAATAGCTCATAGTAATTGCCTTTTTAGCCTACAGATATATATCATCTAGCTTGTATGCAAAGAGTTAAATGGTTTGGTTGAAATTTCAGCGGCAGTGTGTAGGATCTAGTGCATTCATTATCTGTGAGCAAAGAAATGATGTGCAGTACCACAATGACTGAAGTTTACTTTATTTCTCCAATTCAATTTCATTCAGACAAAATCAACAGCAACATGTATGCTGCACATAACAGTACATAGATAAGAAAACAAAGAACAGTTGATTTCGTTGGGGATAGCCAAAAAAAAAACCCCAAAACCAATTGCTTACAACATGTACAATAGGCTTCGTTTCCAGTAGGTCCAAGTCCATATTTCCTGTACTTTGATTGGCCTATACATTTTAGTGTTCAACTATCATACTCTCTGAATGCATTGCCTATTGCCGTGTGCATACGTGGAAGTTTAATGTGGTTGACCTCGCGTAAGAGGTCATACCGGTTGGCTGTTCTCAGAGTCTATCAGAGTCTATCAGAGTCATGAGAGAGTCTGTGGCTTTGTTCAGATTTGAAGCTGTTCTGGTCAGTTTGAGTGGGTGACTCCTTAATTCATTCAACACTGTACAAATCCCTCTTAATCCACATGGAAATGAGCGATTACTAAATGCCATGGCCTATTGAGCACATTTCTGATGCCCATGGGCAAAATACATAACACAGTTGTTTCAGTTTTTCAGATTAGTTTTAATAAATGTTCACACTTGTTTCTTGGCTAATTTCACATTCTATCAATAATTTTGTGCATGAAGTCTATTTTTGATTGTAAATTGTAATGCCTTCTTTTCTTTCGAAGTACATGTACTAATTAATTGCCCTTGATTGGATGAATAAAAAAAAAAATGAAAAAATAAATGCAAAAAAATAGGACATTACACACATTGTAGATCCTGTACATGGTGCCTGAATGTGCTGTATTCTCGTACAATCTCTCAGGTTTTTGATGTACATTGGCACGCTCTGTTGCATCTACATGTATGTATGGTTTTGCATTCTGCTGTGTACCGGTAAATGTTTTCCTGGAGAAGAATATTACTCAATATTGCAGAGTCAAATTACATATCCTTCCATCTTTGGTAATTATGGTAATGTAGACCTAAATTGCAATGAGGCTCCACATGATGTGTTCAATTTTCTATGGTACATGTACATGTACATGTACGTGTACATGTAGAACAAAGTAGAAAGTTTGTTTCCTGTTACATGTACTTGAACTCCAATGCATACATCTAACATTGATAACAAAGGCACATTCCTGTAAGGAAACCTTCCGGGTACCAAAGGCAGTGGAAACATTTCCATAATTTCTACAGAGGAAATGCTTTACATGTTATGCCATCTGCCATGTACATACACATGTACATCATGCATGCCATGTCTGGTACATACATCATGTACGCATACCGATAAAATGTATGTACAATTCAGGTTTCGAAATTCTGCTTTCCTAATTATCTGTGGTTGAGTGTGTGTACATACATCGTGTACATGTACAATGTAGCTATGATTCAGATACATGTACATGTAAGCTGGAGGGATACAGATCTGTAAACTTGACATGTGAATGTTCTCTTTGTCATTGGAAAAGGACATTATATTAGCCATATGGGTACATGTACATGTACATGTATGTAGATCTGCATAGGAGCAGAGCATACACATGTATGAGCACCACTGCCCATGCACATGTATCATTAAAACTAAAAGTAATGGTCTTCCCTTCTTTATTTACGGTACACGGTAATTCATTTTGTGGAAATAGAATAATGCAAGGCAAGACCCAATATAAAACAATCATAACATGTTACATGTATTTAACTCCTTTACACTTGTATTAAATTGTATTACATTGTATTTACTCCTCCATGAACAGGATGAGAGTGGGGCAGTTTAAGGAGCGGTATAAGGAGTAACAAGAAGGGCGGTTTGGGGCGGTACTAGGGCTGAAGGGTTCACAGATAAGCACAACATTGATTTGGAAATGATACCTGTAAATATGACCTTCCCTCCCCATCCCTTTTCCCATGATCTTATCCTGACCCTTCCGCTCCCCACCCCTGTCGTTCTCCATCCCTTTGGCTGATACTAAACAGATACCATGTTACCATGGTTACTACAATTCTTTTCTCTACTTGTTTTTCAGAGTTGAATCCCCAGCGCGGGAATATTTTGAGTTTGATTCCAGCGTCATGGAGGAGTTTCCTGACGGGCTGGAGGCCAATACCATCGTTGTAGATAACCTCACCCTGGAGTCAGCCCAGCACACGTGAGTCTTTTCATCTTCTGAATTTGAGCAATTGGGGCTTGTATCCTGTAATTGAAGGTCCTGGCCACCGTTTTTTTTTAATGAATCCTTGAACTTATCTTTCTGTCACGTTGACTTACATTTTCAGTCTTTGTATTACAAGAGATTTCAGTGCCTTTTAGGTTTTTATGTTGTGCACTTTTTGTTCTTGTCCCTATTTATAGACATGTACATGACATGTGATTTTGTAAATTCTAACTGAATGCACTAGCTGAATACTGCAGGTGTCCTCCAAGAGTAATTCTGTAAATCACTGCCTACCAAACAAAAGAAAACACTTGTTAAGCTTGAACTTGTTTTTAGTGATACTTGAACAACAAATTAGAAAAAATAATTAAAAGGGCAGCAAAAATATCACACTTTTGGAACAGAATGACCCATGTGTAACACCCTGTGGAACCTAGATTGACAGAGTGACCCATGTGTAACACCCTGTGGAACCTACATTGTAAATTGACAAAATGACCCATGTGTAACACCCTGTGGAACCTAAACTGACAGAATGACCCATGTGTAACACCCTGTGGAACCTAAACTGACAGAATGACCCATGTGTAACACCCTGTGGAACCTAGATTGACAGAGTGACCCATGTGTAACACCCTGTGGAACCTACATTGTAAATTGACAAAATGACCCATGTGTAACACCCTGTGGAACCTAAACTGACAGAATGACCCATGTGTAACACCCTGTGGAACCTAAACTGACAGAATGACCCATGTGTAACACCCTGTGGAACCTAAATGTACAGAATGACCCATGTGTGTCACCCTGTTCTTTATGTTGAGGGTACATGTAGAAATGTCTGCTCATGCTTACTATCTACGGTATTTATTCATGTTGATACATGTGTTCCTTGTCCAACATGCTCGAGCATTAAAGTGAGGAATTCCTGTAACCTCTCACATCCTTGGTTTTAGGTCTATAAATAGCCTGGTCACTCATACCTAAAATCCCACAAGCTAGGTTGCAACACATTAACTGTAGTTTGATATGATGTACGGTACACATGTACAGTACATACATGTGGTATCTATATTGTATTTGGTGGGGAAGGGGGGGGGGGTCTGATCAACCTTGAAAAGTAATATTTCTTGAAAATGCAAACCACATTCCTGTAAAAACATGATGAACAGGACATGCTCAGTGTACATGTACACATGTACTGGTACATGTGTGCGTACATTGTACATGTACACATTTATTCAAATGTTTTAAAATTCCTTGTTGGCTCTCTTCGCTGTGAAAACAGGATTAAGCACGAACTGAGTCCTTCAAATGCAACAAACATTTCCTGCGACAAACGTAATGGCACAATTTCCCTGTGAATGGTTTCACTTCACGTGCTTAAGCTTTATTTGTACGTTAAGGTATATTTTAATCCTTCTTTTTTGTGGAGGGGGATACAAAATGTTGTAAACAAGCCCAGTTTCTTTTGCGGACTGCCACGCCCACGTTTTGGCTGCAAATTACCGCTGACCTGGTGGAGAACTAATCAAATTAGGCCATAATGGAACAGGATACATTGGCTGAGTCTGTTAGATCACCACACGTTCTGCAAGTGCAATTATTACGCATACATGTATGTACATGTACATGTACATACAAATGTACATGTAGATGTAGTTCCTTGTCTTAAAATGCCAACCCTGGTCAACAGACTTGCTGAAAATGGGAAGGCGTTGCTGAATATTATTTCCTGAGTTTCATCTACGCTTTTTTTTTTCAAACGGGCTGGTCCATTATTTTTTTTGTGTGTTGGCCTTGGCTTTTGGTTTTGGTTTTGTGTCTTTTTTCTTGCATTGGTTTGTTTGTTTTATTCCCGTGTAGATCGTGTCAGTTTTTGGCTATGATAGGTGCTATCTCTTTTATAGCAAATTGTTCGTAACAAGATGTACAATAGATTGCTTCACAGAGCAAGTATTTAACAGTCGTTTATTATTTATGGAAGATTGACTGCTTATTTTTGTTATGATTATATTTTTATTAACTACCCCTCTCTGGCTGGCAATACTCTAACCATACTTACCGTTACATTTATAACTATCACAGACTGTCAAAAAAACCTAACCCCCTACCTCTCTCAACAGGCTGTCACCAACTACCAGAAATTCCTGTATGGATTAAACCATATCTCAAAGCCGGTTGAAGTGGTTTGATAGATAGGGTGACCATTAATACTGCTACAGCTTGCGTAGCATCCGTTTTAAAGGGTGATGCAGCCTTAATTTGGCTGGAATGCATGAGTGAACCTTAATTGTGTGCCTTCATGGTTACTGAGCTAAATCCATCATTGGCAGGCACCAGTGCTGACCCACCACATCTACTGGTATCAGTGTCAGTCAAGGCATAGTACCCTGCAATCATTGTACCTACAATCATTACATTGTACCTACAATCATTCTACCTACCACGGCCTATCAATTGTACCAATATGAGGCCAGTTTACAGACCTGTTGAAACCTGTCACCTGATAGAGTTTGATATATATAGGGTAACTCTCTACAGATTGTCTCCGAGAGAGGGAGGGTTAACCAGTACCCTAACCCTCCTCACTCCTCCAAAATCCTTCTGCCGGTTTTGGATGATTTTAGAGGATTGAGGATGAATGGCAAAGATGTATCGCTTTTTTGTTGAGGATGCATTACGTCAAGCCAGTAGGCCATACCCTGCATTGGTTATGCTCAGGCATGCATAAATCGGCCGTGTTTTCTCGTACATGTATTTTATCTGCACTTTTCTAAACGCCATTCGCACTGCCTCAAACCATAGCAGTAATTGGCAGAGGATTTTGGAGGATTGAGGCAGTGGTCACGCTCCACAGACTAAATTCAAGAAATAACGGATGATTTTGGAGGATTGAGACTGAATCCAATTTTTTTCTTGGTGGCAATTGGAGGATTTTGCAGGATTGAGGTTGCATCCTAGCCAGAGGGCCTAGGGGGTTAGGGTTAATATGAAGAAGTACATGTACATGTGTTTATTTTATTACTTTTGCAATACTTTTCTTAAAAGTACATGTATGTTAGATATTGAGTGAATACTTTGGAATGATATTCCAAGATAAAATTCAGGGAATAAGCCAAGCAATTGAAAAGCAATACACACGTCAGCTTGGGCAGTTGGGCGGGATGTGAACCATGGGCAACTGGGATGGAAGTTGTGGAAAGTATCAGTGCACTATCATGGCATCCAGACTTTGAAATAAACCTAACCATAACATTCCTGATTCCAGGAAAACATCTCTGTCGGAGAGCCTCGACGAAGTTCGAGAAGTCCTCACCACCAAGAAACAGGAATTGCAGTCCTTGGATGAGGAGATACGAGCCATTCCACCATCTCCCACAGTCGAAGAGGTTTTACTGGAGTAAGAAACCTTATTTGTCCCCTCTCCAATTGTTGAGCAAATGCTATCTTCCTGTAGTTGTTGAGAAAAATATTTAACTCAAACCAATTATGCATGTACTGCTAATACAAAAAGGTAGATTTACTGTAAACAAATAGGACATTGTTGGTTCACAAAATGTATATTTCTATAACAGATTTATGTCAAGTTGATATTTTTTTACATTTATACACAGAACAGAATACAAGTAAAAAAAATCTGTAAACCTGAATGTAAACCTTTTTTTTTAAGTGCTGAAAAATAGTCATGTTAAATGAGATAATCTCAATTTTGTTGTTTATGACAGTAGATTATGTGACCTCTAATAAAACTTCTTTATCAATCTTTAACATTTTGTATGCATAAAATTAAAAGGTTTCCCTCCTTTATCACTTAACAAGGAATGCAAGATTCACTTTTTCTGACATTGCATAGCAATTTGTGTGACATTCACCCGCAAGTCCATGACATGTAGGCGCACACACTTGGGGAAACTCGTAACTTAACCTCTCTTCATTGGCTTGGGTCATTTTATTCAGCTTGCTGTCCAAGCAGAAGAGGTATCGGGACGTCTCCCGCGAGATCCAGGACCTGAAATGCCAGGAAGCCAAGCTGAATGCCCAGGTCTGCATGCTGGACCAAAAACTGCCTGCCATGGGAGAGGAGGACAATCTACCCCCAGGGATCGAGCTGTCCGACACCCCTGTGGTCACTCCCAACACCATGCCCAAGAGCAATACATTGAGCACGCCAGGGGTGAGAATTTCACTTTTTTGGTTTTATATTTTATCAGGGAAATGAATTTTTATAAAAGAACCCATGTGACTAGCTTCTGTCAGTGTATTTTTTTTTCTTTTGGCATGTTTGGGGTCAAAGGTTCATATGTAACAATGACGTTCATAAAAGCCATATTTATACAGGATGAATCAGAATGAACTGGACCGAAATTAAAGAACATATTAAAATATATAACAGTTACCAAAACAAGTGCAAATGAGATATGTTATAGGCTGGTATTTTGGACATATTTGGTGAAAGTTTTGTGTACCATTTTGAAGAAAAGATTGAATACTTGGCCTGGACTATTTTTCAACAATGTTTTTTTGATACCGGACAATACTGGATTTTATTGTCAAAATACTGACGACCTAGGTATGGAATTTCACTTCTTTGCTTTTTCTTCGTTATGGCCATACATGTTTAAATGCGGGTAAAAGCCCTTAAAATCGGCCCGATTTGCACTATCTGGGTAATTGTGTAAATTGTGGCTTTGGATCTAGATACGGTGAAATGTGTGCTTCCTGGACTTCCAGCAGAGCTTTTGAAGTTTTGCTCTTGTGGCCTGTTTGTAGCTTCCCCATCACTATGTGTCTTGTATTTTGATGACGTAATAGTCTGTCCAGAAAAGTACCAGATAATGCAGAATACCGTGATATTTTTATGACAGTATACCATGGACACTCAGAATCCAATATTGCACAAGCCTGGTGAATATGCTCACTATTACAGCAAACAATTTGGCAATAATTAGCCAGCAATATTCCCTAGGGCCTTGGTCTCTGTTTCCTCCATCCCCTGGGGGATGGAGTCTACATCCTAAATATTGGAGGCGAGTGAATTAATAGTTTCTTTGTCTCCATCCTTCAACAGGAGAAGACAAAGAAGCTCGGAAGGATTACAACCTTCTTCAATCGTGGGGGAGACAGTGAGGTGAGTGATTGATACCGCTGAGTTCTGTCAACAACTGTCTTTATTTCTTTCTGTCTGGTAATGAAACCAAGGATTCCTCAAAAGTGTCCTTGGCACTGTACCTTGCAAGCCAGGAGAAACCTGTAGAGAGAAGACATTGAGAAGAAATTACAGTTTTAGAGGTAGGAGGAAAACTCTAGAAGAATATTCTAGGGAAAACCCACGGAATCAGGTAGGGACTAATGTAACCAAAAAATGTTTGAACGACCTAGCGTCCCACTCAAGTGGGTACGCAAAGCCAATTTTGTTCCCAGCAAAAGGACGTAAGGATTTAACATGCCGCTTAAGCGTACGTTTAAGGTTTTGAAAGTCCCCGGTAAAAGGTCATCAGCATAAAAATTGAAATAACTTCAAATTTAAGTAAGATTTGGACATAAAAATGCATAGTAGTATTTTAATCACTAACGAATGTCATCAGTCAAAATTTCAACCTTATACGATTTTTAATCTAGAAATGGCAGCACAAAACCTTTCAAATCGATTATCTCCAAAAGTGCTCTTTGTGTGCCTGAGCTGCATACGTCCTTTTCCTTGTCACACGACGAACTACTACCATATTTTCTGCTTAATTTTCAGCTTTATGAACTTAAGCCAAGGACTTATAAAAGGAAGAATTGTAGAAATATTCTGTTGAAGTTTATGAGGCAACTTGCATTATTTCTGACCCGTTTTTCAGAGAGGAGACCCCTGGTTTTGGTATCGGAGAAATACCAATCAGTCTTTGATTAGTTTTGTAAGTGTTGGCATGAGATAAAAAAAAAGCACGATGCACATAGGCATCATGATAATTAAGGTCTGCACGATGCATGAGAGAGATGGGGTTCAAGACCTGGTAATTTCTAGAGAGTTAACATTGAATTTGTGCAGAAAACACCAAATTTTGGAAAGATGTTTTGAGTGCATGATGAACATGTAATAAGTGTATGGGTTTTGTGTGTCGGCCTGGACATGGGTACCGGTACATGTACACTGTATTGATGCATGTGAAACTGTGCACATGAGATGTGCTCACTTGTAGTGGGCATAATGATGCTTGGTTGCATCTCGCAGAAAGGTGTGCATCAACTTATGTATTCTTTGTAAACAGTATTGAACAGCATGCATGGTTTAACAGAGAGCATGACATATGCCTGGATAAAGAATGATGTAGGCATGGGTTGGCCTACACCATTGTTATGGGGAAGTTTTTTATTGTTAGGCAAATGAGGACCGAGCTATGGGGACTTTCTGCTGTCCCCACAGCATTTTTGGTCCCCACAAAAACCTCGTACAGACGAGTGTACATGTATGTCCCCACAACTACAGAACAAGAATGGGTGTACGTACCGGTACATGTACAAAACACACTGATTTAAGGGTGCATCGTGAAAATTGCATATTTTATGAAGCATTTTTGCTTTGAACCTACCTGAACCCTACAAATTCTCTACTGTACAGAAAACTAATAGCACTTTCTTTGTACCCCGGTACCATACCTTGAAACTTTCTATGGGCATATTACAAAAAACCTCCGGGTGTATTTTGGAGGATTATTTTGGAGGATGTGGGAAGCTTCGAGTTACATGTATGCAGATTCTGGTATGGTTGTTCAACCCATTAGCATCTGTACTACATTGTATTACAATGTATTACATTGTATTACATTGTACCACATTGTATTACAATGTATGTATTCACTGAAAAATCAATAAAACCATAGAGTGCTCAGGCGGCTTTGGGCGGTACAGGGAGTAATAGGCAGGGCGGTTTTGGGCACTACAGGGAGTAATAGACAGGGCGGTATTGGGTGCTACAGTGACTAAAGGGAAATTCTGTAAATTCAGACGTACATGTCAAACAGTTTAATGAGCTTCGGTCAGTGGTGTGAGTGTGATATGTGTACATGACTAATATGTGACATCTAGTGAAGAGGAAACAATGACAGGCCAAACAAATCGTCGGGTGCACCACATATCGTCTATGGACTTTGTGCACACGATACGTCACTTTGTTGTGCGACCAACAAGATGTACTTCCACCTTTACGACTTTGTAAAATCATGTAGTCGGACGTACAAAAAGAGCTGGAATTTACAGAATTGCCCTAAAGGGTTAAATCCTACATTTCAAATGGTTGCATTCAGTTTCTTGATTAGAACCAAAAATTACCCAAAACTGATCAGCTCTTTCCTCATCTCCATGCTTCCCTATCTTCCAACATTTGCAGCAGAAAGTACCCAGCGAGATCCCCATTGCGGATGAAGAATGGTACCATGGTGCCCTGCCCCGCCCAGAGACGGAGGAATTACTCGTCAATGACGGCGACTTCTTAGTGAGAGAGAAGAGTGATGCCTCAGGCCAGTATGTGCTGTCGGCACGGACCAACAGTCGAATCCGCCACTTCCCCATCATTACAAATGAAGATGTGAGTAAGCAGTCCATAGACTTATCTTGCAAACTTAAAGCTACAGTCCATCAGTTGTAATTAGTGCATTTTGTTCGTTTGAAGCAACAAAAGTGTTCAAAATCTAATGAAGGATTCTGAGCAACTAACCTGATGAAGTTTCAGCTAAGCTTCAGCTGTACATTACGAGAAAAGCAGCATTCTAAGATCTCAATTTCAAATCAAAAGTTACTGAATCATGTTTTGAATTGTTTTGAATTGCAGCTATACGCGGCGTCGCGCACTGATCCGACGAATTATAACAACCGCGCGCGCGTGTGCGTCGTTCCAATACTTGTGCGCGCTGCGCTGAATAACAAAATGAACTACTAATTTAAATTTTCCTACGGTGCTTCTTAAGAATCACCGTTGGAAATGCCTTCTTTCGTTGATTACTTCAAAATGACAGCTTCCCAGAAAGAATATTTTCACAGGGAGTTTAGTTCCCTTACTATCTTTCAACCAAGTTTGTTTTTCAACAGTAATTACGCCAGTTACTTTTCGGATGGCTGCAAATGATGGACTATAGCTTTAATAGACCGTTTGATTAAGCCCTGCACAGTGGTATTCAGACCAACCCCAGCTCTGCTTAATGCCTGACATGCTTTGAAGAGTATTGTTGATGTACCCTAACGTGGCGCGGCCCCTAACGTGCCGAATTTGATTTTTTTTCTTGGCCTCTACTCTAGTGCCTTGCTAGAGCAAAACATTTACCTCAAATTTCACAATTACAGTAAGTGAAATTTGATCAAGCTCTAAACATTCCAGTTCATAAATCTTGAGTTTACGTACCTGCTTCAAAGTTCCAGAGAAAAGTGATTTCAGATTTTCTTTGAAGTGCACAGTGAACCCTTTTAAAATGCGCCCAAAAATAAGAAAATAATTTTTCTGACAACTTTGTAGTTGGATATGTCAGTGGAGATAATGATGATTTATCAGGCTTTATCAACTTTAACGAAATTCTTAAATATTAAGATTTTCCGAGATATGTTCAAGTCTTCCTCGACCTTCCTCGATTCCACTCAGAACATGTACCGTCTTGAAGGCACCGCGTTCTCCACTGTTGGTCATCTGATCCGACACCAGCTGTCTACCGGTACGCCGGTCACTAAGAACAGTCAAGCCTGCCTGATCCACCCGGTGGTCAAGGTCCGCGATGAGCATGACCTACGACACGAGGAGATCGAACTCAAGGACAAATTAGGAGCTGTAAGTTGGTGTTATTTTTTTTGTCAAGACCTGTCCGAGCAGTGTTGTAGTCATGTCCTTCCCAAGTCCTATAATTACACAGTAAGAAACTGCTATAACAAACACCCCAATTCAAAATTTTGGCGATAATTAACATACAATTTGGCTCCTACATTTTATCTACGAATATCACTAAAAAAATGACCACAAAACCAACTTAAATATAACAGTTTATTATCGCAGTAACCTGCATTATTTTTGTCTACAATACCCTTTTTTTTTTTAAATCATTCTTGGTGCTTTTCAAGCTGTTTACATTTTTAAATAGTTTGTAGGCAACTAGAAAATATTTCTACAAAGTCAAGGTATTTGAATTGTTGTGGTATAGGTTGAAAAAATAAATTCTTCACTTTGTTCATTTTTTTTAAGGATTTAAATATTTTTCCAATGTACATGTACATGTAGGGGTTAGAAATGTAGGTCACATGTGCTATAAATTGATCGGGAAAATCAACAGCGTATGACAAACATATGTATAGCCCTAAGAATTTCCGCCATTCTGTTTACGTATGCTTGTAAAAATGTTTTCATACCCAACCCCAAGGGACACTTCGGCGACGTCTTCCGCGGCAAACTCAAGAAAGACGGCACCCCCGTGGCCGTCAAGACTTGCAAAGAGACGGTGGACGCGGCCACCCGGCGCAAATTCCTGATGGAGGCCAACATCCTGAAGCAATACCACCATGACAATATCGTCAAGCTGATCGGGGTCTGCACCGATAAACATCCCATCTACATCGTCATGGAGCTAGTGCCTGGTGAGTTGAGGTGTTGAAATGCCAAACACCTTGACTAGTTTACTGGGGTTAATGATTTTCACTAAGTTGCAAGTCAGTTCTGACACAAGTCAAGTCATAAAACCTTCACAGTTGGGCAATTCCGTAAAATCTAATTCTCTATATACGTCTGACCACATGATGTACGAGGTCGTTAAGGTATCGGTGTACCGTGGTTTGGTCTGTAATTGTTTTCTACTCATTAGATGACACATACATGTATAAGTGATGTATCACATTCACTTATCCAATAGCAGCTCATTACAGTGTCTTACATGTACGTCCGAATTAATGGAATTGCCCAGGTCCAACCAGTGTTGTAGTTGAGATGGTTGTGATAACAAGTACATCGCAGATCCAGTCACTAGTGAATGGGGCGCTGTGGTCTAATTGTTACGGTGCTCGATCCCTGTTGATCAGGAATGAGACCGTTTGTTCTGCAGCAGCTCGAGATCAGCGCAATTTGGTCTCTATTTTCACAGGTACCCATTTACACTCCTGGGTGGAGAGAGGCAATTGTAGTAAAGTGTCTTGCCCAAGAACACAAACACCACGTTCCCTGTCGGACACCGTAACCATTGGACCACAGCCCCCCACAAATAAATCAGCCAGTGATTGTTTTGAGTCCAATCAAAGTTTTTGGATTTTGTTTTCCTCACAAAAGTGTAGGATGTCGAAGATTATTTAGTGTTTATGAATTACATTTATTATAAAAGGAAAACCCAAATGTCAACATTATTTGGGGAAACCTGTACATTATATCACCTTTTTTTAGTATTGATTTCAGTGTCTGCCTTGTTCACACAGGTGGCGACCTGCTGTCGTTCCTTCGCAACGATGCAAACGACATCAGTACCAAACAAATGGTCAAGATGGCCGAAGATACCGGAGCTGGCATGGCGTTCCTAGAAGCCAAGAACTGTATACACAGGTGCAACCGCTAATTGATTATTATATAATATGGCCATGTGAAAAAATGTTCTTGTTTGTTATTTCTAACCTTGAAAATCAACAACACCAGGCCATTTTTGTTTAGTTTATGTGACAATTATTTAAAAACCAAAAGATAAATTTCCCAAGTTTGCTGATTGAGCTGACCCAACAATGTGCAGCCCTGTGGACTGTGTGGGTTGACCCTTTCAACATACAGTCCACAGTGACAGTCCATATTTTAGACAGCTGATGTCACAGCTAATTACACTCTTTTTCAGTGTACACAAATGAGAGCTGGTAACTGGGTCGTTCTATAAACTAAGGGTCCAAATTGTGGCATTTTTTTCCTGTCCCTGTTACAAATTTACTATTCAAGTATCATTTAATGACTTCAATGATTTTGTTATTTGTTGGGTAGGTAGTTTGCTATTCATAATCACTCTTGGAGGACGACTTTATACATGTGTGTCATGTAGGAGTGCATCAGAATTTATACAATCATAGATGTTAGATGTGACAGGGACGGGGAAAACGCGGACCGCAAGTTTGTAGCATCACCCAAACACACAAAGCTTCTTGTGTGCTAAGCTAACAAGCCACAATAGCAACTACTCTATTCACAGTCCGAGCTCACTTAAATCAAACCATGTGTTTAATTTGTCGGTTATTCTTAAAAACATTCATTGCGTCTTGTGTCTCAACAGAGATCTAGCTGCCAGAAACTGCCTGGTTGGTCACAAGAACATCATCAAGATCAGCGACTTTGGGATGTCTCGAGAAGACGACGTGTACACCATCAAAGGAGGAGCAATGAGACAGATACCCATCAAATGGACCGCACCGGAAGCCATGAACTATGGTAGGCTAAATACACAGAGATACAGCTTCACTAATTTGAACAAGTTGTCGGTCCAAAGTAGCTATGGTAGAGGCAAGCTGCGATGGGAGTATTTTATGGCTGGAAAGAAATATGGTCTCAAAAAAAGGTGGTGTCTGGAAATTTGGCACGACGTCATTTGTTTGTAAGTATATTTTGTGACACAAACCAGGTTTCAAATATTGATTTCTGTTGAGACAAATGAATATGAGAGTGTTATGTGTGTGCGCACAGGGTTTTTTTTGGGGGGGGGATAGCTTGAGTAAAAAACATTTATAATTCTATATTGGATATCTAGGTTATTTTGTGCATGTGTAATTGATAGAAATAGAGGTCGGACCAATGACCTTTTTTCCCCAATTTTTTTTCCCCTTGAGAGCCAGTTTCATTTCTGAATACATTATCCTATTGTTGACTTTCATGACGTTGTCTGTGGTGTTTTGTTTGCCAGAGGGGTGCGTAAGGCACCGAGGTGAAGCCAAGGGTACCATTCGCCCTTGAGGGCGTTCAAAACCCATGGACGATACCATAACAGACAACAATTGTTCTGTTATACCATGGTATTATACTAGTTATCCCATTTTCATTGTTTCTTTTCCTATGCCAGGCAAGTACACCACCATGTCCGACGTGTGGAGTTTTGGCATCCTACTGTATGAGGTATTCTCTCACGGTAGTTCACCCTACCCAGGCTTGAACAACACCGAAGCTAGAGACAAGGTGGAACAGGGTAAGCTTAGGAATTCTGGACTCGGATCTGCTTGGTGGTGTAGTAGTCCAGTTATTTTTTTCATGAGTACAGTACTTTTTTGTCTGATTTCAAGCAGGAGTACAGAAAACTGTACTTGAGATTGAGAGCATACGTGTACACCGTGCTAGTGCTGTGCTTTTGAAATAATTTTGTATTTGATCGAGTATTCGGCACAGATACTGAGGTGAAAACCGTTTACCAATATCATATATGTATTGATATATCTTGATATATTTTTGCGAGATAGCTGACTAGCTGATATTTGACAAATGAGGGCTAATATTCCTCATGGACACTCTCAAATCATGAATGTAACGTGGCTGGCAACAAAAATGTGGCATTTGACAAACATTAAAGCCACTCAACTTATTTTGTCTAAAGTTACATCATGGACGTTTTCATCATCTGCTCATGAGATGGCTCATTTTTTTCTCAAATATTCTATTTGGTAAAAGTTCTATTCAGATATTTGGAGGATGATCAAATATTAAGATATCGTTATATTTGGCAAAGCCCTTCTCCTTGCATGAAAAGTGGGTGAGAGATCTGTGGGCAGGACACATTACGTGTGCACTCTGGTTCGCGCTAAATAAAATGCAAGTGCATGATTAATGTACCGTAGAATCTTAACTTGAGCACAACACATATGACAGCAATACCTAACTCTCTCATTGCAACCATTGAGAGGTATGCATGGAGTCCATACATGTATAGTCAGGGAACACTCAGTGTGTTATTGTCATATTGACCTCTTACTCAGGGTCAAATACAAGGTTGCACAGGCCAGTCTCGGTGAAAAGCCTTCCATTCCGAACCTGCGTAAAGTCGCAAATTGCAAGTCGATTGCAGGTCACAGTGCAAGGCCAATCACAGTCAATTCACAACATATCCCAAAGAATCTTGACGAAGGCATTCCTTTTCCTCCCGTCCCCCCACCAACCCAGTGGTGGTTACATTTTTCAACTTCTGATCAGAGACTTTCCGATCTTTTGTTGTTGTCAGGTTACCGTATGCCAGCACCCCAAGGAACACCTCAGGAGATCTACACACTCATGTGCCGATGCTGGGAATACCACGACGAGAACCGGCCCAAATTTAAAGAGGTCCACTCTATACTTAAAAAACTCACTCATACCATCAAGTAAAAATGTATCATGTTTGCCGGGAAAGGGGGGGGGGTTGCTTAGTTGGGGGTGTGAGTTAATATTAAGATGATTTTGGAACAAGGCCACAGAAAAGTACAAGTTCCATGGTGATAATCTGATTTGTTGTCGTCATCAGAAGACATCACAAGACAGTGACAAGTCAGTCCACACTTGTCCATTTCAACGTAATCACAGGTCCTCACAAGCTATCACTCACAAGTCAGAAGTCAATCGCTGGTCAATCCCAAGTCAGTTACAAGTCGAATTCAAGTCATTTGTAATGAACTCTTAACAAAGACACTTCTTTGCCACGGACCTGTTACATGTGACCCAACTAGTGATATGACTGTTGTTCGGACCAACTACATGTATTTGACTTGTGACTTCATCGTGATCCCACTTGTGAGAACAACAGGTTTAAAAAAATCTTGGGAGAACTGGTGGAGAATCGTACATGTATCTTCACAAAATTCCAGTCGTAGGTTATCACTTTGAGTATGGGGAGGTCAGATGTTGAACCTAATTACAATTATGATGAAATTTCAGTAAAAACATGCATGTACATTCTATTTCTTTTTTAAAACATGTTTCCAGCAGTTGTACATAAATGTATGAAATTTTATGAAAATGTAACATTCTCTATACCACGTTGGTTGGTTATGAGCTATAGTGTAAAAAGTATCATTCCTATTTTCTTTGTCTTTCATGAGAGATCATCTAGAAGCACTGAAAATGCTTCTTTATGCCTGAACACAAGCAATGCCTTCCTTAAAAAAAGCTGCTTCTTTTGTACTGATCATGTTAGGAGAAAACAGGAAACTCGCCTTGCATGAAAGATATTTGTTTTTGTTTTCCATTTAGTAACTTTTGTAGTATTGTAAAGTTTTGCTAGAACAGCAGTGTTTTATTTTTTACGTTTCTATTTTGTTAAAGATTTTGTTTTACATTTTGCATCACAAGAATTAATTTTCTGTTAAAGGCATACACATTTTCAAATAATTTTTGTGAATTTTCAAATGTCACTGAACGAAAATGAAAATTTGGAGTGACGATGAAATATATGCTTGCATTGATGATGTTTCCCACCAAGTATGACATTACACAACAAATGAACCTACAAATATATTTTCTGGGAAAAAAACCCCAACTATTTTGAGGTATTCTACTTCCCGAAGCTGCTGCATTTTTTCAAGTGACTCAATCATGTTGGGAAAAGAAAATGAGCATTGATTCAGAATACCTAGTAAAATAAGTATTTACAATAGAATTATATAAATGCTATCAAATATGCGAATGAAAAAAGTGAATTTACTTTAGAGGGACGCTGTACATGTATATTTGACTATTATTTGATTATTTGTAAGAATGGATTGAATTTATTGGAAATGTTTTACAAGGTGCAGCTATTAGTAGTATTATAGCAATGTCATACTCAGTGACCACCCTGCCTGTTACTCCCTGTATCACCATAAGCCGCTCAAAACAAAGGGCTTTATGGATTCATCAGGGAATAAATACAATGTAATACAATGTAATACAATGTAATACAGTGTAATACAATGTAATACAATGTCATACAATGTAATGCAATGTTATACAATGTAATACAGTGTAATACAGTGTAATACAATGTCATACAATGTAATGCAATGTTATACAATGTAATACAGTGTAATACAATGTAATACAATGTCATACAATGTAATGCAATGTTATACAATGTAATACAGTGTAATACAGTGTAATACAATGTAATACAATGTAATACAGTGTAATACTATGTAATACAATGTCATACAGTGTAATACAATGTAATACAATGTATTACAGTGTAATACAACGTACATGTAATACAATGTAATTCAATGTTATACAGTGTAATACAAGTGCTAATGGGTTTTAAGGCAATCCAATGTCTTCAGTGTAACAGAGACATGATTTGTAAAAGGTACATGTATATATCTTTCTTATACTTGTGTATTAATTTTTCTTTGCGAATGCATGTACGTATGAAAAAAATTACCTAGATTGTGGGATGTACACAAATGGTGTATATATTTATATTTTTCGTCATTACCATGTAAGGGTTTGGTTTTTTTGCGAGGAAAAGGAAATGTTACGTGAATGGGCAAATATTCCGTCATAATTTTCAGGGTGTACAGCCTATGCTTTGAAAATATCCAATGACTTAAATCAGTTTTGTGAAGATTTATCTGAGTGTGGATGTACTTATGTAGGGCTCTCTGTTGCATAGCCGTTGTAGATTTGTAGCATATTCTATTTTATTGAAGTAAATAGGCCTTTGTTTGATTGAAATTTTGCTCACTATTTTGAAATAATGGCTCAAGTTGTAACAAGTATGTAATAAATTATGAACTGCTTAATGGCTTTTTAGTGCATGGTCAAAGTGACAATTGCGTCTTTGATCATAAAGTTGGGAAATGCTTACTGCCATGCACCCACTCCTAACCTGACCCTATTTGTGACCCTATATGTCACCCTATTTGTCACCCTATGTCACTCTATTTGTCACCCAATTTCTCATACCCACAGTCTGTATTCTCCTTGTTGGACAGTATCAAGTATGACAGTAAAAATGGTTGATTGGTTGTAATCTAGCAGAGTACACTCTCATGTCACATCTGAGGACAGACCTTTGCTTCTCTCTCACACGCATGAATAGATGCATTATATTTCATTGATACTGAAGTTAAATGACAAAAAAGTGTCCTCAGTAAACGCACCATGCAAAGGTTCTATCCCAACTCTTCTTGAAGAAAAGCCCACAAATTTAATGGATGTCATATAATTATAAGTAAGATTTGAGGCTTTGCATGGTGGAGATACGAAATAATGAAAGGTTTGCGAAAACACCATGTGCCAATAATTTCTCAACTAAGAGAATGGTTCTGAAAAGAACCAGAGCTATAAACTCGACGTTCCGGTCAGTATGCTCTGACCGTCTTCAGGAGAGTGCCTAAACTCTAAGAAAGTGAATACTTAAGTACAAGGCGAAATCAATGAAGTGTGGAGTTGCATCCTGTGAGGATGCCAAGTAGACGGGATCCTAGAGCAAGCTTGGTGCCCACTGAAGTGGAACAGTAGGGTTGCAGTGTCAGTAGAGGGAGGACCTAGGGTATAGGAGACCCATCAGTCTAAGGCCGTAGCTGAGGACCTAGGGTAAAGGAGACCCATCAGTCTAAGGTGGTAGCTGAGGACCTAGGGTATAGGAGACTCGTATAATAATGTGTGATTGGGATCACTTCACAATCGCTATCATGATATGCCATAACCTGCATGTTCACTTGAAATTGTGAAATATGTCAGTGTACATGTATATCGTAGTTTTAATATAGTGATAATTAGAGTACAATTTGACACATTTATTATGCTTGAGTATTATTATTATGAGAAGTATGTAATCTGAATGATGAATTATCAGGTCCACAACTCCTAAATTGTGGTTAGTTTTATTTGAAATTTTGGGATTTGAGGGCGGAAATGTAATTTGTATTGAATGCTAAGTGGTGGTTATTTTATGTACATTGCTATGCAAATATTTGTTAAATGGTTAATTGATGGCAATTAGTGTGGAGATGTCAAATTTTTAATTCATAAAAAAATGTGATATAAACTTATTCAGATCAAGTATATTACTCAGATGACAAATTGAAATAAAATGGACTTATTTTTAATTTTGTGCTCCTGCTTGCGATCTTATTTTAAAGTGTTTAAGAAAAGGTAAACATCATGGACGAGTAGAAAAATACATGTACAATTCATCTAAGACGGCAAATTCATTGCTATATATTTTATTTTTATCAAATTTTCTTTACTTTTTTTTTTACAAAATAGTAAAACAGGTACATTAAAAAACAAACAGATTTGGCAGAAAAAATAACCTACACCATCAAAACAAATTCAAAATCAAATTTTCAGAAAGACTACCCGCAAATCAAGCCAAATATCAAGCAAGAACAAATATTTTTATACAATAACAATGAAGCTTCACAGTGGAAAACCCCCCCTCAATATTGCAATATATTTTCAATTTTCAAAGAGGGATTGTTTTAGATCATTGGGAACTATGACCTTTTGGCAAACATTGGTGTAAAACCTGCTTTACAACATTTTCAGAATTATGAACTAAAGGGAATATAAACACAAACATCACAAAATAAAACTACCAAATTATTATCAAATACCTTATCTTAATCAAAAGAAACGCTACAACTGGAAATGTATGAATACAAATTTAACAACGGTAAAGAAAATTGGAAATTCTGACGTTCTATATATAAGGCGATAAATATAATTTGTCCCTGTACTTACATTTCATTTTAATATCCAAGATACCAAATATTAATTAAATTAAGTTAGTCAAAAATATGGTTGTACTTTCCCTCCACCAATAAATCTCTCTAAATTGTATGTTAAAACAAAAGCCTTTGGTTTAAGAACACATTAAAAAATTGGTGGGTGCATGAAAAACGGAACTGACCCTATGATAAGCAGTGCCTTATTTTCAGCATCAAAGAATGCCCAGTATAATTGTCACACTGATGGCAATGGAATAAATGCTACAAGAATAAATTTCGACTTTCTTACAAATAACTCTACCAATTTATTAGTGGGTGAAAAATAACTTGTTTATTTTTTTGTCGATTCCTTTTATTTATATTTGCTATAATTTACCTATCCACCAAATAATATTAAGTATTGTGGACTTTATTTAATTTCAAAAATGAGACTGTTTACTGACATGTCCGGCACTTCTCATTCACAAACTATGCAAATCATTTGGTTGTTCAATGTTATGAGGCATACAGTTTAACCACAAAGAAATAAAACAAGAAATTGTACATCGCATTTCAATCCTTCTTTAAAGATGTACGTGTACACAACAACACATGTACCCAGTGTTTTTTTTGTTCCCTGTATAATTTGACTTGGACTTTGAGAAATCCGTCATGCCTCATACAGGATCACACATGTAAATTCCCGGAAATATTAGTCAAAATCATACGTATTCTTTTCTTATAGTTACTATTTGTATAGTTATGATGAGCAGAAGTTACTTGGAGAAAAGAACTATTTCTGGCAGCCCTTAATGGCCAAACACTACTCTTCGTATCCATATTGGACTCATTTAATATTGAAAGGAAAAAAGTTTTCAAATAAGTACATGTATCGAGAGTGAAAAGCACCCGTGCGAAACATCACGAAACGTGATACGGAAAGGAAACGTGCAATTAAAATTAATGCTAGTTCAGTTTCATTTCCGAAAATAATATCCTACATGTATAAGAAAGGCAAACTTTCCTGGTGAACCTAAACACTTAGCTGTAATAATCGTGGTGAATTTTAGGTTTCTGTTTCTGAGGTACTGACGTGCAGTTGTACAAAAAAAAAATCTAAACGAGGGGGGGGGATGGATTTGCAAATACTGAAAATGTTGATTGGTTCAGTCTTATTCCTCCATGGTTCAGTTGAGTGTACGTTTTGTACTTTCTTTTACATGTAAGTTAGAAAATGTAGAGCTGATATAAAACAGGGACATTTTTATAAACAACCCAGGAGTATCTCAGATTCTGTGCTACATATCGTACATGTCACTGAATAAGCTCAGCCATATTTGGGCATTGTTGGGCAGTTTGCCAACTGCTTTGCACATTACCTCAGATCAACACAGACACTCAGCTACCCCTTTTTACAGCACATACAATTACACAAGTATTTCCTTTTTAATATTATAATTTAACATTAGCTAGTAACAGTTATTAAAAAAATAAAAGGCACATTTTGACAATTTTTGTCTAGTTACAGAGCTGGGGCCAATTTCACAGAACTGTTCAGCAAAAAGTTTTTCAGGGAAATGTTTTTTTTTTTTTTTTTGAAAACAGACGTATTAGTAGTATATGTTTTCCTTTTGTACATATCAACATGTCAAATGTCTTACTGTGTAAATGTTTATAACACTACTGTCCAGTACTAGACCTTGTGTATATTTGTTAATTGAGTTCAGTGTACGTCAACGTAAATTCAAGCATAATTCTAAAGTCGGATCTTGAGTGGCCAAACATGGCTTGGGAAAGCAATAGACAAGCCCCATTCACACAGACCACTGACGAGTAAGCCTAACAACATAGAACTACCAGTACAAACTTACTACAAAACGAAATACATAGTTGTAGGTTTAAAGTTGAGTTCCCCTTGCTAAATTTTGAAGTTCATCCCGAAAAAAAAGATTCCTTTTCTTAATTGCTATTTTTTTCTAACAAAACAACAGTTATTCGCTTTTGAAATGAGACATCGACCGAAAACAATTGACGTATCGCGGTAGAATCACGTCAACGCAGCTTGTGAAATATTGTCCAATTACATGATGTACAAATGGACGTGGAACGTGCAAAATTTGAGACAAACAAACGTATACGTACAAAATCCCCATAGGGATGTCCAAGGGGCGTGGCTAACCCGCAAACGGGGATAGGTCAATCGGCCCAAATGTTTACTTATTGAATCATAACTTTACAATTTCAAATTATTGGCTACCAGACAATAATTCTGTTCCTACAGGATAGGCTGGTTCCCGCCTCACAATCAGTATGGATAATGTCTGGAGCAGGAACCAGTCTGGTCACAAAGCTCATCTGTTTGTTCCTAAAACAAAAATCTTATTTTGAAAGGGTTGCAAACGTCCAAAAAGGAAAAACGAGGTTTTTGGTGGGAATAAAACATATAAATTGAAAATTTATTAAACAGAAACAAAAATAATTTGAAATTGTTGAAGAGCACTGGGAACACAACTGTAAGCTAATATATGTTTGTTAAAACTACATGGAATTATGAATATGCATGACAGGACTATGAAATTGGCCCCTGAACATGAATTTTAATAGATCTTTTTCACTTAACACCTATCCCACTGCCGTTGGTATGCATGTGTAGCATGTTCACTTAGTAAATTCATTCATGGCACTTTCGACAGATCCACGCTTTGTTTTTTTCAAGGGACAGACCCCCCAAAAAATCGCTCTGATTTGCAGTCAACCATCTCTCAGATGTCTTTTGTAACTTCTATGGCTGCTGGTTTCTTCAAAACGCTGAAGCAGTCGGCACACATCCCATGGCAGATCCATGTGAGGGCGCTCTAACCAAGGTGTTTCTCGGAATATATGATGCTCCGCTGCCATTTTATCCCAGACGGTCGTTGCCGTGCCGATGAACGGACTGAAGATGAGGAAGCAATCAGCTTTCTCGTCTCTCCACTTCCAACGGATCAAAAATAGATCGCAATCGCGACTTAAGAATCAGACATAAGCGAGTACTGTTTCAGCTCTCCATCTGAAAAGTTTTAATTTTAACGTTTGCGCCACACTCATTTATTGTCCTACTGAGCGAAAACCAACAAAAGCAGTATCCAACGTGCTCCTGCTGCATGTAGCTTTTGCTGGTTGAAAGCTGGAGTCCAAACTGAACAGCGCCCCCAAGGGTCCAATGTGAGACATGTTGACTCAACTTAATAAGCCTGGGTTAACTCCAGGTTTCGTCGTAACCTTTCCAGTCTTTGGTTGGCGCTAGGTAGACCCGATGACCGTTGAACATAAAACTCACCACTCCCATGTAGCCGGCACGTGGGACCCCAGACTGGACGAAAAGGGGGAAAATGTCCAAACAAAATTAAAAAAACATGAAGTGTAGTGTTTTTCTTTACATCCAATATTATGTGTTCATATATGAGCATACACGTTAGCACGGAGTCCGTATTCAATTCATCTTCAAATTTGACGCTGCTTTACCTTGAGGTCTTGCATGATTCCCAGCTGTTTGGTCAATAATTTAAAGCTGTTTTTATTGGTGTACGTAACCCGGACCGTCTTCTGGCTGAGTGTGTTCTGCTTCAATTGTTCCATCGTCACCTCTGGAACCCCGTACACCTCTTTCTTAAATACGGGATCAAAGTTTTCCTGGAGACATAACATTCAAAGAGACGTTAATTTTTTAGAGTACAATTTGAATTAAAAAAATTGTTCTTGTTTGCTGGTCTCAGAGTTCCAGCCTCTAGTTGCCTGTGTACCTGACTCCATGACTCATTCACTCACTCACTCACTAAAATACTCACTGTCACTTGTCATTAAAGGGCCCATGAAATGTAATTATTTTTATGCAATCCTTGAAAATGCACCATTGTGTCCAATTAAGTTTATTTTAAATTTTTATTTTGCTATTTTATAAGACAAGAGCATTTTGGTGCCTTTTTGGTTATTATGCTAATGCAAATTTCAATATTCATAAGAAAAAGTGTGATGTCATTTCAGGCAGAAACCTCAATGCTACAGCTATTTCAGCACCAACTTTGCCAGCATTTTGAATATGTTGCTGTGGTAAATTTTCTTTTCTTTAGTGATTCGTTGTGTCAGTAAATGACAAGCCAGTCAGCAAAGTTTTCTCACACATATTTTCGGTGAACACATTTTGGATTCACATTTTGAACAGAAAACCCCTAAACTGAACAGTGTCTTCCTGAAATGACATCACAGCAACAGCACCCTCATTTGTCAGCAAAATGTTTCAAAAGTACACATTTCAGTAAAATTAACCAAAAAGAGATGTCAAATAGTTTTCATACATTTAAGAGGAGTAGAAAGTTGCATTAATAATGTTCCCATGTAAAATCCAGGTCAGGAGCCCTTTAAGACTTGCTGAAGTCTTACCTTGGCCTTAAATAAAAAATAAAAAATATTACCCTGTTATGCCGATGAATGGAGGCCACATGCATGAACTACAGACTGCCAGTGAATAGCTATGCTGAATCGATTGAATGGAATTTTTTATACTCTGGAATCAGATTTATGACAGATAAGCTTGTCTCGTCTTGTTTTTTTTTCAATTATTTAACCCCTCAATCATGCATTCCCCTATATGAACTCACCTTTTTTAATAAAGACAGATCCAGGTTCGTAAAAGCCACCGATTTCTTGTTGAGTTTGATGTACTTGAGGTGTTGCTCAAAGAACTGGCCCCTGCAATGCAATGGTATGAACATAAGCAAACTGGATTATGCTAATTCTGAATGACTACTTGAATGATCATGAGTATGATGTTCAGACACATAGCCTAACACAGCAATGCAAGAAACCTTAAGAAAGTCTCTTCGCAATACTTGTTTCAGCTTTCTGTCTAAATATTCACATTTCTTACTAAAATCAAAAGCCAGTTTACTCAGAATAATAAATTTTTTTCCAGGTTTTAACTCCTGCTGTTTCACTTGAAACTTTGGTGTATTTGTTGGGGTAGGCAAATCACTTGACTATAACATACAGTATAAGTACAAAGTCTGTCACAAGTCCATCACAAGTCTATCACAAGTCCAGTCACAAGTCAAGTCGCATGTCGATCACAAGCCAATCACAAGCCAATCACAAGCCAATCACAAGCCAATCACAAGCCAATCACAAGTCCATCGCAAGTCCTTCGCAAGTCCATTACAAGTCCATCACAAACAAATCAAAAGTCAAGTCTCAGGTTTGGTAAAAAAATAACAGGGAATTATCTGAACAAAGTACATGTAAAGCCTTGTCATAGTTCATTTGAATAACTTGTGATTTGACTCGGGACTGGATGACATGTGATGGACTTGGGACTGATGAGGACTTTGTGATTGACTAGTGTGGCCTTGTGATGGGCTCAACTACATGACTGATACCAGAGTTAATATTTGTATTTCTTTTGGCATACCTGCTGACACCGACTTTTCCAAAGGTGTCCGTTCTGGAGATTTCCGGCCGGATGCAGGCTCTGTTCTTCCGTTGGGATGGCTCTCGCATCCAATCATCCCAAAACCTGACCAGGAAGAAACAAGTTCACATCAAACCAAAGTTTATTGAAACCTTGTCATCGATTATTTGACTCTTTGTCATATTTGTCAGCAATAAAAAGCCTAGGGAGTTGTTATGGACGAATCCAGACACAGGGCCAATTTCACGGTGCTGCTAAGCACAAAACTGTGTTTAGCACAAAACAAGTCTGGCTTATAAAAGCAGGTTACCAGCCAAAACTCCATGTGATGTATATTGCTTGTGATTAGCATTCAGCTGTTGTTTGCTTAGCATGAAAATCACATGGAGTTTTGGCTGATAACCTGCTTGTACTAAGCCAGACTTTTTTGTGCTAAGCAAATTTTTGTGCTTAGCAGCGCCATGAAATTGGGCCCTGATCACTGTACACCCAAGAGGCCCCCTTCAATGGAGAAACCACTGTGCGTGCTATTAGACAAATCAACTGTCATAAGTAAACGTGTGACCCCCAAAAATTTTCTTTTCTAAATAAAATTTCTTTTAAAATGTTATTCTATTCTATTTTATTGAAACGATGGAAATGGCATACATATATACTGGTTCCAGAGCCACATTTGAGTTTAAAGATCAAAAAAGTGTGCGCAGCTTCAATTTTTGTGGCCAATGGGCTATCCTGATTGTTTCAAATGGAGATCAGAGGCCTAGACCTACCCTTGCGGCCATTTCGGCTCTAGTTCTAGCCATACTTCCTTCCTCATCATCCAGCCTAGCCCAGGAAAGAAGTCACTCCGATACAACAGCTCTGTCAACAGAGAAAAAAAAAAAAACACTCATGAAGAAAATGCAGTTGGAAGCAGCTTAAATGGACTCAACTCAAGTCTCAATGAAATGGCAAGCCACTGCTTGGTTACTTTGCACATGTACACATGGGCTCCTTGCACAAGTACACCCCCCCCCCCCCCCCACACACACACAGACCCACACACGTGTGTTCACCCATTCTGGAATTTGTATTCCTGTGGAGACATTTCTTTGTTCTCGTGTAGTAAAGTTTTCGAGTTTGAAATTGAAGTTTCAAAATGCTCTTATTTTAACCAGAACTAATTTCCTGGGCTGAAATTTGGACTAAATATCCCTTTTCTAAAACTCTTCCATTTGCGACAGATCAACCTACCTTGGAAATTCCTAGTTTTTGAGTAAAATCTATATATCTATTTCGTGAAATTCTTGTGGAGACGTATTCATCTATAGAAATGTTCTTCTGGAGACGTATACAATCTTTTGTTCCCTATTGTGTTCATTTCTCCGTAAGGTAGTAAATTCCAGCACACCGTTAATCGTGCACGTCCTATTGTCCCTCTTTTGTTTGTACTCTTAACTTTTTAGGAAGACTCCCATAGGTTTTGTACACGACCCCAATCGCGGACGAATGCTGGGAATCGTGGACGATATTGTTCTTTTTTGTTCTCTGGTTTTTTTGTCCACGGTTTGAAAAGATAAACACGTACACCCATCTTTGTAAACACCGGCAATCGTGGACCCCCTATTGCCTGTAATCCTCATTCCTTTGTTTGTACTCAAACTTTTTAGCAACAGCTCTCATTGGTTTTGTACATGAATTTCAATCGTGGACTATCGGTCAATCATGGACGTATTGTTTGTGCCCTAACCCTTTTGTCCCTAGTCCACGATTGCCAGTGTTTACATACTCACACACACAAGTGTGTATTTGCCTGAAATCAGGGACCCCTTATTGTTCCTCTTTTGTTTGTACCTTAAAATTTTAGGAAGACCTCCCATATGTTTTGTACACGAATCTGAATTGGGGAACCTCTCGAGAATTGGGGACCCTATTGTCCTCTATTGTTCAACATCCCCAATTGAATGCAGAAACAAACTCACACACACAGGTTACCAAGGGAGATTTGGGAAAGACCCTTGGGGAAAACCACAGGTAGGGACATTGGGATGCAAGGCCTACTAATTAGGCACTATTGTTCACGCGAAAACAGTTTGGCTTTGTGCATATTGAGAATAAAATTAGTCATGCGTACTTCATGCAAAGCAGCACGCGCACACGGAGTGTCAAAAATCACTATCTATTTGTCATGCTTGGAATCCATTTGCTATGTACAGTCAAACAATTTTTCATCATCACACATTACAAATTTGAGTGTGGAAAAGCGGGACACTCATGGGGATGGACTGTTCCAGCAGAGCAGTTCAATTCTATGACTGCTGCTCAACATGAAGTCATTTTTGTTTTAAGCATTTCCTTTTGCATCTCTTTATTTAAATATAAAAACAAATTTACCGGCAGGCAGTGCCAGTCAGCAAAGTGTACATGTATTGTGTGACATTTCCAAATGTCACTCTCAAACATTTTTTTTGTAAAAAGAGGACCCTACGTGCCCTACACTCTTCTATTCTTAAAATTTATGAGAATTTCAGTTCAACATCCTCTGCACAGTGATATTTCAGGCGCCTCTCCTTCGTTCCGTGTGACATTTTTTCATTATCTCAGTCCGCTCTTGAAACTCCCTAAAGGACTCAGGATATATTTTTTTTATTGCATCTGCTAGCAAAATGTGCAAACAGAGAAGACACATTCTGACGGTGCCTCCAGGGGGCAAGGTAGGCTGGATGTCATAACGAGTCAATGCATGTCACTTTCAGTCCTCCCGGGGCTGGCAGTTTTATTGCTTTTTCGGGGGGGGGGGGGGGGGGGAGGAGGGGGAGAGGAACAATGTTGAGCTTAAAGATGAACGGTATATGCTATTTTTGAGTTGAAAACTGTAAACTATACATCTCAATATTGTGGGGCCGAAAACCACTCAACTCTCAGAAGTGATGTTTGCACACAAAACTCAGATATAAAACCCTTTTTTTCTGAGGGTTGCAGATTCCCTTACATTTTTTTTCTTAAAAAAAAAACACTTAAATGTCAAAGTAAGTCAAGAAAAAGAATTGTTTGACGAGCATGGACTGTTCATCTTTAAACTTACCTGCGTCATCTGATATTCGAGCCTCCTTTCCGTTGTCATTCCACGCAGACACGCACCACAACGTCGGGTCCTCTTGCAATAACGGATAGGTGGCTAAGAAGTACTCAAAGAAATCCACCGACACGTCTAAATCATCTGCGTCAAACAGAAAAAAATTACAAAAAAATTAAAGTACAGAATTCAAAAGACTTGAGTTTGAATAAAGGAAATTAGGATTACATCGTATGTAATATCTTGTAATATTATGTCATATATTGTGCATATTATTCTTTCTTTTTTAACATAAACTGAATTTACAATGTAATTGTATTGATATTTTCAGTAGTTTGAATTTTTCCAATTTGCCAGAAATAGTCTTTATGACAAAGCATGTACACGAACATGTACGTGTGTATTTATATCTTCATGGCAGGAAGACTAATTAAAGACATATATGTAGAAAAGAAAAAAAACAGATTATTCAAAATAAACTGTGTTCCTGTCGAGGGAATCTCCACTCTGACTGACTGAAACAACAAAATAACAAAGTACATGTACATACATATGCAACATATTGATTACAGAAAATATGAATAAACAAGTACATGTGTAAGACTAAATTTAGAAAATCCAGCAATTTCTTTTTGAATAATAGTGTCTAGTTATCCTAGGTTTCTGTTTAATTATGCATGTAATATTGATTGCACGTCTTTTATTGTCAACAAAGTTTAATTCAGCCGGTGGATGTGAGTAAAGTTGTTTTTACAAATAGACCAAGTTGAATTGAATTGACCATGATGAATCAAAATTAAAATCTATAAAAATATCAATAGTATCGATGATATGATAAATGACAGATGTGTAGCATACATGTTGTGAAACAGCCTTTGGTACATGAAAGGCATAATGCCCAATTCGTTATGGGCTTCAATGATGTGTCCGTAGCAAGACACAATGAATCATCTGTCAGGTTCTAATCTTTTCAGAGTTTTTTTTTTTGCCTTTACACATTCAAGTTTTAATGAAAATTGTTATGCAGGATCACATTGCCAGCCAAAGGTTTTTCATTTGAAACCACTGATATACAATATGTACCATCGGCCACCATTATAGAAGCTCTTTCAAAGAGACACAGGTGTTGCTGGGCAAGCTAAGAAACCCGACACCTCACAAGGAGTGTTAAGAGGAATACAGCCTGAACCAAATGATCCCTGGCTAGCGAAAAGCTTCGAGAACTTGACACCCCATTCAGGTCTTAATTGTCCTCTGGGGCTGAGGTGGCAAAATATGGTGAGTCATGTGTTCTCCTGTTTCCAAAAGATGCCTCTCTGGAGGAACAATTCTCATCAAGGAAACCTCAACTGTCATCTCGACAGAGAGATGGAGAGATTTCACCCCCAAAACAGAAAGAAAAAAATGAAGCGAGCGTATTCTTTTTATCGCCGCTACCTCTACCACTAGGGAGTCAAGATGTTGTTTGTCCAGTCGCATCTTCATCTCGGAAGCGACTCAGGGTTCTTGGCTCTTTTTTTCTCTAATAAGACTCTCTACGTGTTTGCTTAAGAGGATCTTCTGGAGTGTTTGTTTGTACGACGGTGTGGGCGAGGGGACGGAAATGTTATTCTTGGTTGATAATCGCTTTGAGATTCTTGCACGGCTTCATTATTATTGACAGCTGAAGCGTCAATGACCAGGAATCTTTGTAACAGCAAGGTTCTTCCAGAAATACAGGAACACAACACAGGTTTTATTTGGAGTTTTGACTTCATCGATGTCACACACACTTGAAGCAATGTACATTACATTCAGTACTGATTGAGAGCTTGTGAGATAAAAATGAAAACCCGACATTACACTTAACATTTACATACTAAGATTCCATCACGTGCACAGTTCTTGCCTCATTTGGGTCTTGAATGGCATGAGGCTAATTTTTTTTTTTTTTTTTTAGAGTTTCAGGGCTGAGATTGTGGGGAAATGGAAAAATCCATGAAATATTTGGCACAGGAAGTTGGGATCAGAACAATGTACGGTGTGTGGTACATTGTACATGTACATCTATGAATTTGCCTTAAAAGGCACTCCTGTAAAATGCCATTTGCCATTCTCTTAAACAAATGTTTGATGAGAAAAAAATATAGTAAACAAAATTTCTCAAATCAGTTTTTAAAAAAATCAGGAAATCTGGAAATATCCGGACTACATTGTATAACATCAACTCTAGTGAACACTGTCATTAAAGCTTGAACAATCTTTCAGGGATAAAATGTTAACACCTTAAGGATTGCTAATGGCGTTAAAAAGTGTGTCCGGGGCACCTTTAATAAAACACAAGAACTAAAAAAACCACCATAAATGATTGTTTGCTTCTGAGCGATACATTTCAGGCGAACTAATTTCACAGGGTACAGTATTTGGTATCATCCCTTCACTGTGAGCAAGGTTTCCTCATCAGACCAGTAGGTTCATTTCCGGGTAATTATCAATGTTCCAACGAGCCTTTAAGGAGAATATCGGGGGGGGGGGGGGGGGGGAGAAGTGAAGTGGAATGTGTAAAGGGAAGACGGATTAGGGACTTAGCCGAGGAAATTAGTTTTTGAAATTGAGGAAATTGGCCTGACATACCTTCTACAATAATCACAGCGTCATGGTTGAATTCATGAAACACTTTATTTAAGGCCCATTTGTAGTGCCTGGCTATCTTGTAGTACCCCTCAAACTTCTTCTGCTGAGCTGGTAAGGTTATACTGCTTAAATCCGGTTGCTGTGGAAAGAGTAAAAAAATGCACTCTATTGGATCAGGAATTCAAGATAACGGATCAGGAAAACTTGACAGCAATAAGCCAGCTCGGTGTTCCGACTGCACAGGTGCACCTCATGATTTGACCATTTTCCTTTCGGGATAAACAATTCGCTGCACAATCGTCAAATCTTGTTGCACATGCGCAGTTTGAATACCGATTTGGCTTTCTGAAATACCGGTATCTACAATTAAAAAAAAACATAGGATCTCTATTTATTAAAGTAGAACATTTGCGATAATGTATACGTACAGCATACATGTGTGGACCAGTGTATAAGACTGAAGAGGGTAAAAATATGGCAAGACGTGAAACATTTACAATGTACCAATATTTTTCAATGTTTGTTCCTCCCCCCCCCCCCCCCCAGGAATGGCTGCATTACAATACATGCAAGTCAAATTTTGTACTGTCAGGACATTCCAAGTACAAAAGAAAGCTCAGACTTTGTTTATGCTTCACTGACTTCCTGGTTTTCACCTTGTGTAAACAAATTCAGGGGGGAAAAAAAATTTTCTGAGGTAGAAATGTACATTACATTTCTACAGATTTTTGTTTGAAGCAACAAAATTGCTCAAAATCTTAAGAAGGGCTAAAGTTTCAGTTAAAAGTGGCCATAGTTTTGAGAATACAGAGAACACTGTACATGCCCTGCTGGGTCTCATAACTGGATGCCATTGCTAACCCACGGGCACACTTTTTAATAAAGAACCACCATCAGTGATTGCTTTCTTCCAATCGATACCATTTCAGGTGGAAATTCTCCAGGTGTTTGGTACCATTTTTCTTTACCTTTAGCAAAATAGTAGGTCAGATTCCAGGTAATTACCATTGTTGCCTTTAAAAAAGTATATGGATTGTTCTTTGAATGAGCCAACACCATACTGCAACACAATTCAATATCAGATTTAATCTGCATTAACAAATCCGTGGAATCCTTGATTTACGAACGCAGCAATTACACAGTATTGGATTTACCGTAGCTCATTAAACATATCAATCACAATGGACAGCGGTGCAGTCAAGCATGGAGCCTTTGATAGGATCTCCATATGGCTAAACGGCAAATTGAACTACATGTATTACATGTAGTTTGAAGGAAAAAAACAGATTGAAAGCCAACAACCAAAATCTGCAATTACCTGAGAACAGGGCTGACAGAATCTTCCTGGGGAGAAAATCTAAATTCAAGGACCTGCAGAGCAACATACATGTATGTAACACATACTGTACTCATACTGACATACAAATACATATTGTACACACACATTTATTTAGCTTAAGCCTTAACTGAGGTTACCTATCTGGGGCAGTGTACTGTTTGTACCGGTACATGTAAGGCAAATTCACTGGATTCAGTTAATTGTAACTTTAATTCAATTATGATCAAAATATATCCAATTACAGGGAAAAAAATAATAACGGGGGCGACTGTTACAATCATTGCTAGACACCGGGGTTCCAGAACTCCCCCTGTAGGAGCGGACCAAAAGTTCACCCAAGCATATCTTTGGGATCAATTTTTATGCCCCAGAGGCCTTGGTTAAATTCAAGGCACCAGTAACGAGACTTCCACAGTGCCGTTCGAGACTTCCACGGTGCCCTTCGTTCAACTCAAGAGAATATTACAATCAAGGACCCAGCATCGATAGACAGAGACAGTCGGCAATTCCAAATAATTAAGAATCCAATTATCTCTGAGTACCTGCACTGAGCCAGCGATAAAAATCTATGGATCCGTAGCAAAAAATGAGAAAAAAAACCCATAAAAATAAAATGGATAATTTTTTATTCCTAGGATCGACCGCACAGAGCCGATCCCGGAGTGATAAGACACATCTGTTTTCATGTCTGGGAAATTGGACCCGAATCAATAGCCGAAGCATACTGTGACAGGGCTTCGTTTCAAAATGTGAGGTCTACAATTCCAAGAAGATTTATTTTTAGTTGGGAAAAACATGGATCTTGGGGCGCACATGCTTGTGGAATGTCAATACAGGAAAGAGATTATTACGCTGTGAGTGTCAGGCAGGACTGTTGACAAATGCAATTTTGACATTTGTACAATGTAGGCAACATGTTGGGACTTTTGCTTTTTTTTCTTTTTCTCCAATAGCCATGCACTTTTTTTGCTTTTTGCAATTATAATTTCGGAATTTCTACAGCTACATGTACACTTTTAAAAAGATGTGTTATTTTGTCTTTGATATTAACAATTACTGAAATTCTTGTCTATTCTTGCTATCACCCGCAATGTGAAGCACAATATTTGGCATCATTAGAAGCAAAAAAAAAAACCCCTTAAAATTTCATGTATCAGCAATTCTTTCAATCCCATGGAAGTATGACAAAATTTGTAGGCCCAGATATCCACCATAATCTCTCAAGGGTTGAGATAAAATTCACCAGGGATGTCGGTCATTTTTTAGAACGGCCTGGTCCTGTCACACGATAGCATTTTTGTAAGATGTGTCAAGCATGAGAAAAGTTCTCAAGCATTGTAGGCCCTACCGATCGGTAATTTTTCTTGGTGTCCCTCGATGAGGCCTTAGCCAGCAAGATATTGCCCACTATGCCCAGTACTATGTGTTCAGTATTTTTATAAAAGTGACAAAACCTCCAAATATGTGGACAAAATGACTTTTATTTCAACTTAATACATGGGTCATTCTATAAATTTGGGGTCCAAAGTGTGACATTTTTCCCGTCCCTGTTACCTTGGTACTTTGTAATTTGCCATTCAAGCATCATTAAAAGTGACTTCAAATGATTGTTTATTTGTTGAGTAGGTAGTTTGCTATTCATAATCACTCTTGGAGGATGACTGCATTAAGGAGTGCATCAGAATTATACAATCATAGATGTCAGATGTAACAGGGACGGGAAAAAAAGTGGACCCCAAATTTATAGAATGACCCACATGTATATCCATCCAGTCTTCCAGGAAAAATAAAGAGGAATAACATGAAAATGGACATCTTGTATAAAACAGTACTTGTTTTTTTTTTTTTAATCGGTTTAATATAAAATACTATGAACTTATAACATGTACATGTACAGTGTACATACATCAGATCTTTGCAGGTGTACATTGTACCGATGTGCTTTGTGTTGCTACAATTTGAAGTAATGTACACGTAAGTTCACATGCCTTTTCATTAGTTTGCAAAAAAAACCAGACACGAAATCTACCCAGGCATTCCCAGAAACAAAATTTGTTTTTAATACAATGTACATGTACATGTACGTGGAATATGAAAAGTGATATAGTCTTCCATAGTGTATCACTTCTGTTTATGACAACCCATGGGAATTGCTGCATATTCTGTCTTTTAATTTTTTTTTAAACTCATAACAGGCAGGTGGCATTGGTGGTGGGAACCATTCGTATACCTCAATTATTCATAGAGCTGTAACTAATGGCTCGTTTCATGTAAACGCACTTTGCAAATATGGCAATATCGGGATTATGAATTCAATTAGTGGAGTGGTGTGCACAAAGGCAATTGAATGAAAGGGAAAGGAAAAAAATTAATAAAAAATATTTTAAAACTCTAAAAAAAAAAAAAAAAAAAAAAGTATACCTGCAGCAACATCCAAGCGGACTCGTGCTTGGATGAAGAACAGGCAAACATTGACAAAGGAAATTAATTAATGGTTCTTGGGGAGTGCTGTGGGTTTTATATTTTTTTTATGGTTTGTATTTTGAGAACGGTTGCCTTTTTAATGGACAAGGGACAAGGGACAAGCGATAGTCACACTTTCATTTTAATACAAGATAATGCAATTTTTTAATTCAAGATTAATGTTCCATTTTAAATCTTTTTATCTATACATCGTCTGTTTTAATCTATTGTTTTAGTTTTGTGTGGTTTTAATTCCTTTTATGGTAATGTATTCATTATGTGTTTTACTGTATTTTTGTTGTTATTTTTGGTCATTATTATATCATATTTTTATATAATCCAGAACAGTTCATTGACAACTGATGGGGCTACCCTGGTAAAATAACACGAAATAAATCAATAAATATACATGTTACACTCAAAATCAATTATAAATTCTTTGTGTACAGCGAACTGATTTATAATACTAAATTTAGGTAATGGCAATTAATTTCGCATTAACTCTTTTTTTTCTCATGCAAGTTCTCACGCAAGATCTTATTAATTAAAACAAACTCACGAAGTCAAATCGCAGCACTGGAATTATATTGATGGAAGAATACTGTGTCTTGTGTTCTGACATGTATAAATGAAATTGAATTTTTTTGTCTCAGGAATGTCGCAAATAACTAATATTCTGTGAAGGCCAAAACCATGAAAACCACATCTAGCCAAAAATCATGTGGAACTAAACAAGCACATTTCTATAGGGAAACTATATAGAGAGACAAGGATAAACCGTCACCAATGTCATGCTGATGAATATTCTAAGAGTACTAAGTACGGGCCCACAATCGAAAATCCGACCCTGCAGACGAGCTGGATGGCCACTCAGCATTCAAGTCAGGGACCCTGGTACAGTCAAGGAGGTAATGCAATCCCTCAGTGGACACCCAGCAAACATGGCAAATGGATTGGGAGGGTGGGAAACTGGACTATGGGACCGAGGCATCGATTCGGCGGTCCGCGGGGGGCGATGGCTTAGTTTACCCGCGAGACCGGCGTGACTTGGGTCGTAAACAGGCACGAGTGTTGCCAACGCACGGCCTGTGATCACAATTGTATTGAAATCTTTGGGAAACTTATGGCAAAAAGGGGCAAGTGAGTCCATCAGCACGGAAGAAAAATGAGATTATTGATATTCTGGTGGAGTTATGGCTGAATAAGATATATACTTGAGATAAATGTACAGTACGTGAACAGACGTTGACTTCATGGAGTCAGTTCTTCTAAATTTCTGTTTTTGCTTTTTTACTTAACTGGGTTAAAATTGCAAGCTAGAATTCGCATCTGAGGCAATTTAATTTTTTTTATAAATACAAAATTTCACAGATTGCCATTCAAAGAAAATTTGCTTTACAGAATAAAAACTGCACAGCAGTTTTCTACCAGTTTATAAATTTCTTTGAAGAAATCACTCACTAAATGTCAATGGTTGCATACATGTACATCCATGTACATGTACGCGTAATGTAGGTATGCACAATGTTTTTACCAATGAACAATTTGAACAGACCTGGATCACATATTTTACAGCGACTGTTCAATTCATAAAAAGTACTGTGCCAGTTTGAAGGACTCACCTTTATGTGGGTGACTTTGTCGCCAAATTTTTGGATTGCTTCGGCGGTGGCTTGATGTCCACAGTCCTGGCTGACGATGACTGGAAACTGAGCGGAAGATGGTCTAATTCTAGGCAGAGGAAACAAAAGTCAATGTTACAATGTCAAATAAATACAATAGAACTTGTCGGGGTATATATCGTCGGATGCCCGGCAGCATAGCATAGCAAGTACCTTGTAAACCATTAAAAGGTACTAAATAATGGGTCTCATATTTCTCATAAACTTTATTTACCTTTCTTTAATAATAGACATAATTTCCAGCGCCTTGAGTACCTAATTGTTGGTAGATACGTGCGCTATATAAGACTCCGTTATTATTATTATTATCTTTCCTTAAAAATGGATAAAACACGTGTAGACACTTCTCACTTTTCGTATCCACCTTTGACATTGCACGTATCTTTCGCCTTCAGAAAGGGAAAAAAGCAAACTGCTTTAACCATTTCTGGCAAATTAGTGTCCCCTCGAGGCCCCGTCTGCATTGCGTGGGTAAGGCCGGTTAAATTACAGCATGTGATACTGCTAACTATAGAGCATGTGATACTGTAACTATAGCGGAGTAATTCGGATGCGACCCAAGATTGCGATAAAAGACCAGCTGACTGTGCAGAGAGCGCTGAAGGTCAAACATATCTGGGGGACACATTGAGACCTGGGACATGAAGGCTGGTTTGCTACAACCGTCCACTTCACAGGAAATTACTAATAACTGAAAACCATGACCCCAGAAAAAGTGACATCAGATAGGGGCATGTATACCTACATTGTATGTACAATGTATCACAGATTCTGAGTCTTGAACTATTGATAGTGAACATGTACGATACAATGTACAAATGTACATGAAAAAGTGTACATGAGTTTGTTTCTGCTTTCAATAGGAAACATTCAACAATAGGGTCCCCAATTCCCGAGAGGTCCCCTATTTGGATTTGTGTACATGTACAAAACATGAGGGAGGTCTTCCTAGAAAGATAAAGTACAAACAAAAGAGGGACAATAGGGGGTCCCAATTGCAGGCAAATACACACTCGTGTGCACACAATCTTGTTTTACTATACTCTCTAGGACAATGCTTTGTCTTTTCCGGTGTCCCTGTAATATAACACTCTCCCATAGACTAAGCACACAAACGCATGACCGAGGACCGATTTCAACAAAAGATGAACTCTCGAGGACAACAAAGAATCTGTTGTTTTCCCTTTGTCTGTCTGTCCTCGGGGTGTATATAGTTCACGTACATATGTACGTACATGTACAGACACACAGCTTCCATTTTAATTTGTTATCTCATTATATGCAAAAGTTCCAGGGGACCAAACTTCAACACTTACTCTAACAGATTAGTCAGACTCCTTGTGATGGCGCTGGGTCGATTGCAGGCTATCACCAATACTGGAATGGCATAGGAAGAGTACGGGTACTTGACCTGTTTTGCTAGTGGAAGCTGGAATGGGTTGGTCTTGGAGGGCTTGGGTTCCTGATGGGCCACCATGTCCAGGCCCGCTGGCAGGAGGTTGGGCTGATCAGGGGATTGGTTTCTACCTGTAAAATGAATACAGAACTTGTATGATGAAAACTTTGAGCACTGGAAATGTGAATGTGTTTTTTTTTTAAATGGGTTTTTCCCCTTCACCTACATGTACATGTACGTCATGCAATATCTTAAAGCACTGTATACTCCATACATGTACAATGTATGTTGTCCAAGAGCGTCACAAGAAAAAAGGCATACACTTGAGCAGGGCAGACTTGAACCCACAGCCTTATGGTCTCTGAGTTATCAGCTAAAACACAAAGACTGCAGAGCAAAATGCTTGTAAAATTACATGAACTCAAATTTATCCCTGCAACCCCCCTTCCTCATGCCGATACCAAAAACGTATGTCAGCATGCTACATTGATCACGGCATTTTACCTTGATTATCCAATACATGTACATGTACATCAAATTAATAGCATTTATTCGGGGTGACCTTTTCCAAGTTCTGCAACTGACATTCAGTGTTTTAGCCAGGGTGAAATTATAGCGCAGGGCAATTTGGTCAGAGGACTAATGCGAGCGGGGAGCGCGAAGCCATTATGGCAGGGGTCCAGCAGGGGGACCCTGAAAAAATTTGGAATATCGATGCTCTGTGGTGCAATCTGAGGCGATTCCTGGCCATTTACCCCTGAATTTTGCTCTGCCGATTGGGGGAAAAAAATTCTGTAAAAAACAAAACATTCTCCAAAATACGAGACGACACAAACCCTCTTCAAACCCTCAAAGCAAACTCTTAAGAATCCGGCCCTCCTAGGCAGTTTCCCAGACATGACTTTGACGAGTGCATGTTCTGCGTAACGATCCATATGATAAATGGACTCAATTTGTTTTTAATGGCCTCTAGAAATTCTGGAAATGCATCATCGGCAATTTGCCCTTTGGGAAGCACGGGCAATGCCACACTTAACAAAAATGAGATTGCAGACCATATTTTTTTCTCTCCTGGTCATGCTGGTTATCATGCTGGGCATGGCATGGAAGAGAGATACGGATACATGCATGTACATGTATACCTTATGAAGTTATGAAATATTTGGTTGGGAGGTAATTGCGGAAAGATGTTTTCATAAATAACTGACACCCAAAATGTACATGTATGTACAGGTAAAGTGAAAATGTATCGTTGGCTAGAGAAATTTAAAATGGAAACTCCATTGAAGAAATAAATTTGGAATTTATTCTGTAAATTTGGGTACACTTTTTCCCCCCTCACCTGTTACGTGAAAAACTGAAATCTATGATTTTATAATTCTGAAGGACTCCTTAATGTGGTCATTCTCCAAGAGTGATTATGAATAGCAAACTACACGTACATGTACAATGTACCTATCTCAACAAGTTGAGAGGTAACACTAACAGCGACAGGATAAATGTCACACCTTGGACCCAAAATTTATAAAATGACCTGTACATGTAAAATAGTACGTATGGCCAACAGTACAAATATAATTATTTTTGTTCAACCCTCCTAGATAAGGAAGGACAATGAAAAACCAAAAATGACCGATTGTAATTTGTCCTGACCCTTCCATGTCAAATATCTACAGGATGATAGAATTTCAAAAATTGAAGGTCTTCTTAAAATCTTCCGCGCATTTTATTCAAAATTCATCATTTTCTCCACCGTGACTTGCCCGTTTTCACTGCAATTGTAATAAAATGTGTGCAGTGGAATTAAAAGTAATATCTTACTTTTAATAATGGTTTCCTTTTGTTGTACGATGTCGTGCAGGAGCTGTTCGTTAATCTGCATCTGTTCCTGCATCTGTTCCTGTAATCGCTGCAACCGCTCATTCATTCCCTCCGACTCGTCCAGCTGAAACAAAAAATGCAAACAAAATTGCCATGGTTACTGGAGAAAAATGAATGCGTTGGACTAGGCAAGGCCCAGTAAAGAGAAGACAATGTGAAGAAATGAAAGTTTTAGATGTGAGAGGAAAAACCCCCGAAGAATATTCTGAGGAAAACCCATAGGTAGGGACCGAAAACCCAATCCACATGTTGGCCTAGGCAGGAATCAAACCCGGGTCACAGTGGTGGAAGGCGAGGAAAGTACCGCTACGCCAACTTGATGCCAAAATGCGCAGTTTGAATACCGAACCACGTTGTCCCATTACCCAATCATCAGTTATGCTAATTGAATAATGCCTCTTATTGTGTCATTATTTGTCTGGCAATGAGACAGGTGTTTTTTGTTCTTATTTCTCTGTAACCACATAATTTGCACTGTCTCTACATGTACGGACCGGTACTTGTACCAAGGCTGCACGTGTCATTCCATATTAGTCGGATTTATTAACAAGCTAACAATAATTACTTCATGTACCAGTGTCACAAAAAATTAGCCGTGTCATAAACTATTTGGCAAGCTCTCTGAATTGCCAGACACTAAACTATGCAACATCTGTTTGGTTCATTAATTCATTTCATGGCTAAATTCACAGATCTGCATCGCTGTGTAATGAAATGCGATCGTGATTGTGCCGTCTCACATATCAAGGGCGTTACACAGTTTAATTATCCACAATGGCAAATTATTTAGTATTTACATCCAGGTAAATCCATTAGGCAGACACTAACTAGAGTGACCATGTGAATCCTTTCATCATTAATTACAAGGCAATCCTGTAAAAAAAGGCTTTATTTGGAGTTGCTTTTTCGCCTCCAGCAAATACAAAGATCCGGCTGAATTATTGTGCTGTAAATAATTTAATATTTGTAAGGTAATTATTTCATAACTATGGGTGGATTTTTAGTTCGATGTCTTCATTTCAAAAGCCAATAATATTTGTATTGCTTGAAAAGTAGCAATTTCAAAACAAAAATCTATTTTTTGCGGGATGAACTCGAAAAAATAGCACAAGCAGGGCAACTTTAAATGTTACGCAACTTCCAAACGATTCTCCAAATCCTTCAGATAAAAAAAAATCACCCTCAACTCCAATCGACCTATCGCCGTTTGTGAGTTAGCCACGCCCCTTAGACAACCTTATGGAATTTTTGTACGCTAAATTTTGTTTGCCTCAGATTTTGCGAGTTCCGCTACCATTTGTATATCATGTAACTGGACAATATTTCACAAGCTGCGTTGACGCAATTCTACCGCGATAGGTAAATCCCATCCCCCCCCCAAAAAAAACCCAAATCAACTTTCATCCACTTGTCTCATTTCATATATTGAATAATACGATAAAGATTTTGCATCTCACCGGTTTCGTGCCTTGTTCCGCTTGCCTCGCAAACAACAAATAGGCTGCAACGTTCCACAGTAAAAACAGCATCAGGCCAAGGCCTATCAGCTTCTGTCTGCGCAGGGCCATGGCCGTGTCCTGTCTACAAAGATCCCACACAGGCTAGGACGAGGAGTTATAAACCCTGGGTGGAGGTGGTGGTGAGTGTTCGCTGGCCGTCGGTAGCCTGGATGACGAGGTGTACGAAGCACCTCATGTCAGCTGACCGGCGACGAGGGAGACATCATTCAGTACAGCCTGCAAGATGGGAATTGGGAGGGGGAAAAAAGAGGGAAAATGCAATTTATACAATGTACACTTTTAACTGCATGTAAGAGATACAATACATGGAAATTGTGGAACAGCAAGACTTCACTTTCATTTCATTTCGATATCAACATTTATTTCCATAATGCAAATTTATACATGTACATAATCCGTAATTCATTTCCAACATCCGACGAATATGTCAGGTTTCATCGGAAGTATTATGAACGTACATATGGTGCATGTAGCGGTACGTGCCCCTAAAACAATTCTGCAGTAAAACAGAACTTTGGACTCTCAGTGATGCTGGACTAGGAAAGGCCTGCATGTACATGTATAATTGTACATGTAATTGTAAGGAAATACCGGTACATTGTACGTACATGTACACGTATGAAATGCTTAAGCGTAAACTACACTTCAACCACTAATTATATGTCCTTATGATAACAGACTTTGCACCTTTACTTTGGGTCAAGAATATCCTTAATTTGTCATAAAATGTATGCACGTCCATCGGGATCGAAGAATGCGTGGAAAGATCATCATTTGTTGCAATATCCAGTAGTGTCAACTGCATATCCTAACTCCAAAGGCAACTTTGTCTCTCTGAATCCTCCAAAATCCACCATTGTGCCGAAATGCAGAACTATTCTATTAAAATTCCAACTACATGTATTTAAGTAGGGGCACAAAACGCTGTACTTTCCTCAACCCCCAAAATTCCTCCAACATTTCCTGGTAGATTTGGAAGGATCTGGGAAGAACAGGTGAATGATCTGAATGAAGAACCATACCACACTGTATATGAGGTATGATCCACCTCTGAAGCTTAAAATGTTCAACTTGATTCAAGTACTGAAACACCACCCCACCACCATTTAAAAAAAAAAATGAATCCATCCAGGAGTGTTAAATTTTAGTGGGCACAGGAATTATAATGACTATTACAAGTACTATACATGTACACGTACATGTAGTTGGTGTTGCCCCTGGCCTTACAGGTATTGACAGGCAGCTTTATACAGTGTTTGTTTGTGTACCGCGACCTGAATGCAACCTTTACAGGTGTACCACCCATACAGAAATCAATACCATAGAAACTTGTGGTTTTGCCCTCCAGATATAACACAGTTTGTAGCATTTAATGAAGTTTGAAGTAGTAAATGGGCATTCAGTAAAGAGGTTAAATACTGTTTATCAATACCGTAGTGCCCTGGTGACTATAGAATATCTGAATTTATATACGTTGTATTGATTCCACTAAAGTACAAGCCAGAACACCTATACATTTGTATGGTTTACAAGCTACCTGGTACATACATACATGTACATGTATGTAGACACCATATGTTTTCATTTGTTACTTTTTGAAAGAACACATTGAAAATAGTAAACAAACAAAAATGCACATGTTGTACCAGTATACAAGTACATGTACAATGTACCGGTACATGTGTCTAATTTGTAATGATGTAATATTGCCCCAGATACCGGTATATGAATGTGAGCACTGGGTTCAACCAAAGTTTAAAAATGATTTCTAGCTGGCTATTATCATGTGTAATTATCATATAATGTAAGAATTTAACTTAATTTTAATTAACGTGCAATGTATGAAATTCATAATTAGTTGTAAATTAGAAGCGAGCAAACCATTCATATCATTTTTCTGGCTGTAAAAAAGAATTTGGCTGAAGTGGATTACTCCAAGGCCCCGGCTGGAAGCACAACCAGAGCACGACAATTGGATTACGCTTCGCATTCTATTCCCCCATAATACAGCCAATCACACATTCCATTTAATGCAGTGTAAATCCCACGGTAATCTTATTGCAACCGTTTCCAATTTCTATCCGTCAACGCGGTCGCTGCGATGCAATAAGAAAGAGAAAAAAACAGGCCAGCAGGAGAAAAAACTTAGAGGCAAATGAATTAATATCACCTCAGGTAAGATTAGGAAGAAAGCTTAGCCGGGCAATTCCTTGGAAGATGCGCATCGCATCGCGCCGTTCCGGCCGAAACTAAAATGCCAAAGTATCTCTGGGGCAGTATCATGTGTGACTAAAGCGAGGTGTTTTTTTCCCGACGAGGACGGTGAATACTGTATCTTTTTTTTTTCTTCGGCCGGAGGCTACAGCAGGCGCCGAAGATGACCAGAAATAGAAAAAAAAATCCATGCATCTTCAGCGCCTGCACCACTGGTTACGAAATTTGTTTCTTGATATTTTGCCTGCTTGTAATGAAATTACGATTGATTTTACGTTAGTGTATGGGACCGACACACCAGGTTAAGGACAATTTTTAATTAAATTTCATTTTGAATTTGTTTTAAAAGCATGATCTGTTTAATCTTCCCCCATGGTGCAAATGAAATGTCATGCTTAGTCCTATCTTTCTACATGCACTGGAAGTAAATTTTTTTTTTCTTAGATTTCCTTTTCTAATCTATCTCTTCTTTGTATACCCCTCGCCTCGAGTGGCCCTGAAACAACTGATCTGCTAAGTAATTTTGTCAAGAACAATGTAGTTCTCCTGCTGAAGCTGTTCTTGACCCCTCTGGTTTTCCCCAATCCTTCTGTCAACCCCACCAGGAAGCGTCGCCTCAGTAATCAGACTCCCTGCCTTTCATCACCCAGCTCCGCAGGGGAGGGTTTACCCTCGGCTAACCTCTTCATTCTCAGGGTGTTTGTCAGGATCTCATTCCTGGATGAACATTCTTCACACAACTACAAGTACCGGTACAGTACATAAATGTATGTGTACCAGTACCTAAGAAAGCTGTCAATTGAAGTGGATAACAGATGTGAAACACGTTCAGCGTTTTAACAGTTTGTTTAAAGAATCTGTCAACATTGTCACTCAATGTTGACTGCACTCAGCTTGTTCATAAGATTAAAATTTAACAATGTGGAATTACAGTTCAAAGTAAGAAACATCAAGATCCATGTACGTGTACATGTACATGTATAATTTACATGTACATGGGCAATTTGCTTGGACTCTTCCGTTTCCACAATTGATCTGCCATATCGTCTTCCGTGAAGGAAACTTACCGGGTATAGCACATTCTCATTACCTACAAAATGTACACGCTATTTTCAAGGGTTGGTGTTACAGTTGATATTAAAAATACAGGTACCGTATGTATGCAGTTCAAAAGATTGAAGAACAAAAGGGTTCCAAAAAGTACATATTGTACTTGAACAATACCCAATATAAAGTGTGTATTACATTAAGACAGTAGCAACTCAAAAGTGCTGCCTCAAGGCACAGGCCCCTTCTCTCATTGCAATAAAAACTGACAAATTGCTCTTAGGCATGTTAGCCTGCCAGCCCTGCAGATACACCCCATGATGCACTCAAGTGATAAATGCCTCGGCAACCCAATGACGACACTCTTGGGTTCTTACAGCGCCTCCTCCTCCAGCATCAGAATAACATCCTCCACATTACTCACTTTTCCTCGCTTGTCCGGAAGGCATCTGAAGGTCCTTGAAAGGCACACTATGTATTTCTGATTGAACAAAATTTAGAGATTTATTGGATTAGATGGCCACTGTGCAAGTAATTGCAGGCCGAAGGGAGCAGTGTGTTCTTAGAGAGGAAGGATAATTCATCATTGGCAAAGGGCACTGCCTTTTGAAATATTAAATTTCCCCTGAAGTGTTTTAAGGGAGCAAACAGGATTCTAATTTCAAAAATGAAAACCGCATGCGATTTGTCTTTGCTTTCAATTTCATAATTTACATTTTTTTATGTGGTACATGTACATGTACATTCACCGCTTTCCTACAGCAAGTGACAAGAACTTGTAAATACTGTAAATTATATTTATGAAAATTACAAGGTTAACCCTTCCAAAGACATTTTAGGATTTTGCAGGAGTGAGGAAAGTTAAAAGAATACAATGTCATGTCAGTTTTCTGCTGAGTTTTTTTTTTTTTTGGCGGTTCCACCGAGTTAGAGATTCAATTAATAATTGCTACCAGTAAATTTTGAATGAAATGGAAACTTGTTAAAAAAGTCAGGGAAATTTGATACTTTCTTCTCTAGTGAGCTTCACGTGCATTAAAGTAGTGTATTGTTCATATTTAATAGATGTAGATACCGGTACACATGCAGTATCCACTAGTTATTTCACAGATCTACATGTATAAACAAAAACTAAGTCCATCTTAAATCAAGTTGTTTTTGATAAACAATTCAATACCAGAAGAATCCTTACACATTTAGTCATTACGACGAAACTCTATGTCATGTATGTGTACATAAAAGCATGATCACAGTCTAAGCTTGACAATAAAACCTGATATCCGTATATGTACACTGTACATGTGTAGACTGGCAAGTGCTGATTATGCATGCATACAGGAGACAGTTGAAATCAAGTTGCAACAGTATGGCTCCAAAAAACCTAAGACAGCACTCAAAGTCTGGATAAGGTGTGAAGATACCATCGGTCCATCTCGTCTGGACGCCGCGGCAAAGTCTCATAAATATTACATTTGTCCCGCCTCCTAATGCACCTCCTGATAATAGATGCTGTGAATCAATACTATATCCACTCTGCCGCCACAAGGCAGCTCCAGCTACTTGTAATTTTTTTTTTCTTTTTTGCCAATGTATTTCCACTTGATATAGATCTGCGTTTAATGGATGGTTTGGTGTTTGGGGCACAATCGACAATAAAAACACAAATTGACGGTCTGTGGTGGCTTAATTTTACAAGTCGGTCAATAATGGCTTGCAGCATGCATCTTCCCCAAATATTGCTACTTGCACATGATACAGTTTCTATTTTTGAAGAGAAACATGCTTTTGTTTCCCGCCTTTGCACAGACCTTTTTGAAGGTTGTCATGGATACACAAGTATTTATGTACATTTGCAGTGCAGTACATGTATGTGTACACATGCTAAGGGGCCATGAATTTGTAGTTGTACACAATGCATGAAGGCAAATAACCAAACGCAATTTTGTACAAAATTT